TGTCGGATCAACGAGGGAAACTCGATATATAATAAGGCGACTGCGGTGCAGCACAGCCTCAGCCGATAAAAAAATGACCGATTTGGGACCTGGATTGGTGTTCAAACCTAGCTAGATGAGATCTCGCGGTTGAATGTCAATTGCCAGATCATGTTCAATCGGATGAGAGTTGCACTGAGTGCCCAAGGCCTCAGTGCTTGGAAGGATATCTGTGCTAATCTCAGACAAGATCAGAATCAGTATGACTATGCACAGATTCCCAGAATCCCAAAGCGCGAAATCGAAGCGAAAGATGGGGAGAGTGTTGCCACGGGGGGTTTGTTTGGGAGACGTGGGAGCCGCTAAGGATCGGCGCCAACTTCTGCACATTCGACGTGGCCATCACACTTTGGCCACGGTTGCCTGCTAAGACATTTACTCAATCGGTACTATTAATTTTGGGATGCGACACACATCTAACATTACATTGAATTCTTTTGAATGCCACGCGGTTCAACGCCCAAGTATGAGTGGCCCTGGAACGTCAAGGGATGAGACTGTTGATGCAGTAGTACCCCTCCGTGAAGATCTTCTAGAGATAATTGAGTGATAACAAGGTATTAGCATGGGGCATCATCTGGTATCCTTTATTTTATAATAGATGAAGCTCATCGTCATGAATATCAAGTTGAAGTCCAAAGTGTTTTCTTGTTTTGGTTTTTCCCTTTTGGGAATTGCTTATATCATCCCATGTTGACACCTCGACACCTGAGCCCAGGGCAGGTGAGACACGGTGATATCATGGGCGTTTTATACTCTCTACATGTATAACAAGAGACACGGTATTCCCCTATTTGAGTCAGACCCTAGAGGCTACCTGAGCCAATATCACCTCAATTTTGGCTCGTGGGTACGCGGAATATCACAACCTCCGAGTTGATATTGCGGTCAAGCGGTTGGGGATGGTTCGAACGTAGTGGGTCGCTAGCCCTGAAAGGTTATTGCGGTTGGCTTTGGCTTTTGCAAGGGTTGAGGTAATCTGGAGCCTGTTGGATATGTAACGTTAGTTGGCTCTCCGGTAGGCCACCCGGAACCAGATCCCATGACCTAGGGCATGAGATACGAGGCCATGACCAGGTCAGGGCCGTACGTTGGGGTCACTGGAGTCACTGGAGTCGTCGAATGGAATGAATGGAGTGGCCCACTGGGGCCATTCGAAGCCCGAGTTAGTCTGTTCGTGTAGAGAAAGAGAGAGGGACTCGGCAGAACGTGATCCGTAGCCGATGATTGGGCGGTGTTGAGATTCCATTGCTCTCTGGCATCGATCGTCCTCTTCCTATCTCAACTCAGCTTCATTCTGTCCTTTGCGGCTGTTTGGTAGTCAGGTACTACCCCCGTGTCTCCGCCTCCCCGCCAACTTGTCCCCTTAGCTCCTCTCGCATCCATCTCCAACATTCGCCTCCCCCCCTCCCAATTCTCCTTCTCCCTCTCCCTCTCTATGCCGCGTCGCTAGTCGTCGAGAACCGATTCCTGACCTGCCCTTTAAGGGCATCCGTGCCACCATGTCCTCCCAAACCTACCATGGTCATTCCGCGACGTCACGTCAATTCCCCGCCTATAACCCCGTCACCGCAGTGACAGCACCTGCGGGGACCTTGCTTCCGGGCACTAAGGTGCAGGTCGGCAGCCATCGCGTGGTAGTGGAAAAGTACCTCTCTGAAGGTGGCTTTGCTCATGTCTACGTGGTGCGACTGCCCAAACCTGTCAATGGCTCCGAGACCGCAGTGCTCAAGCGGGTTGCCGTGCCCGACAAAGCGGCCCTCGCCAACATGCGCACCGAGGTCGAAACGATGAAGAAACTCAAGGGCCACCGGCATATTGTGACGTATATTGATTCGCATGCTTCGCAGTTGCGCGGCGGTGGATATGAAGTGTTCTTGGTTATGGAGTACTGCGCGGGCGGGGGTCTGATTGACTTCATGAACACCCGGCTTCAGCACCGCTTGACAGAGCCAGAAATTGTTAAGATTTTCTCGGATGTGGCTGAAGGCGTTGCTTGTATGCACTATCTCAAGCCCCCTCTTCTCCATCGTGATTTGAAAGTTGAGAATGTGTTGATCTCGGGCAAGGGGAGCTCCGCCACTTACAAGCTGTGTGATTTTGGGTCCTCCGCACCCCCTCGTCCTGCTGCTACTTCGGCCGCTGAAGGTCGCCTGATTGAAGATGATGTGCAGCGACATACGACATTGCAGTACCGCAGTCCGGAGATGATTGACGTCTACCGGAAGCAACCCATTGATGAAAAGAGTGATATTTGGGCACTCGGTGTGTTCTTGTACAAACTATGCTACTATACGACTCCGTTTGAAGAGGTTGGTCAGATGGCTATTCTCAACGCAACCTTCAAATACCCCTCCTACCCATCGTTCTCGCCTCGGTTAAAGCTATTGATTGGTGAGTCTCGGGAATATCTTCGAGGTCGACGATCTGCTACTGACACATTCGCTTAGGTTCAATGCTTAAGGAAGACCCGCGCAACCGTCCCAATATATACGAGGTGATGCGTGAGGTGTGCAAGATGCAAGGAAAGGATGTTCCGATCAAAGACGTTCGTCATCACCCTTTCGTTTTTTTTGTGGAGATTTGATGCTGACGCCAGGTAGATATATTCCAATCGCTCTGTCTCAGAAGCGCGCAAGTACCAGGAGCTTCCTCCTACGCCTGTAGAGGCACCCGCAGCTGGGGCAGTGTTCTCTCCGCCGGTGCAGGAGACCGAGATCATCCCCGAGATTGCGCCTATGCGACGTGGTAGACCAGGGAAACCCCAGTCGTCCCACACTAGCTCCGCGAGACCCAGTCCATCGCCGTACCGGAACCCGGCCGGTGGCTCGTCGACTGATCCGTTCGCCGCTTTAGATGGAGGCGCTTCCCGAAAGAAGACGGTAGAGGAGATGTCAAAACGATTCCCATCATTGGACCAGTTTGACATCTTGCACGAGAAGGGTGACAAGTTTGAGTTCGAACCAACTGTGACAGAATCGAAGTCCGAGGACGAAGATCTATCTCAGCGACTCACCAACGCCTTGGCTGATGACGCCTTTGCTCGCCACCAGTCACCTGAGCGCGAGCAGAAGCCAGCTTTCAAGCGACCATCTCAAGCGTCACCCGTACGATCTCCCCATGCTCGCGAAGTGCCTACACGGCAGCCGGCCCACCTGTATCAGCCCACTCCCCAGCGGCCAACGATGGTGTCGACCGGTACCATGACTTCGCCCGCTCAAACACCTCGTCTGCCAGAACCGAAGATATCTAGTCGCCCGATTTATCGATTCCCCTCGTCCGATAATGAGCGGCCTTCCAGTCAACCCTGGAAGGCAGAAGACAAGGCGCCGTCGCCTCCGATGTCAAGCCTGAAGCCGGAAGCGAGCCCTCGCCTGTCATCTGACCGTATCTCTACTCTCTCTAACTCTGCGCGTCCATCCATGGAGACTTTGCGACGCCCATCCGGGTTGGAGATGAGCGACCCCGTGGGACGCTCCAAGTCTGCCGTGGCAAAGGCTCGTCCCATGTCCGTACAATCACCGGCGAGATATGACTTACCGCGTAATTCTGAAAGCCCCCGCTCCTCTTTGGATATCTCTCGTGCGCAGTATGAAGGTGGTGCGCCGCTACGATCTGTCCGCACCGACATTGATCGGGATGCTGACCGAGCTAATATTTCTTCGGATGTTGACTATCTACGAGCAAAGGAGGAAGAGGAAAGCAACCGGAAGCGGGAAAAACGCTCTAGCGGTAGCCACAAACACAAACAGCGTGGCAGTCTCTCTACTCTTTCGCTCTCGGGAGGCAAGAACTTGTTTGCCGGACGATTTGGCGATGCTTTCCGCCGATTCGAGGCGGGCAACCAGGATAAACCCTCAACACCCTCATCCGAGGGAGTGCCTCAGCAGAGCTTGATCGGAGGGTCTGATTCAGGCGAGGAGCGCTTTTCGCCAGACAACGATATTGCTCTGGAAGACGCAGACCGCGACGATATCTCACCCGAGATGCGTCGAGAGCTGGAGCGTCGTCGACTCTCACAAGAAGAAAAACGGGTTGCCAGTGCTGCAGCCGAGTATCGCCGCCGGGTTGCTGAAAAGGGCGACGGAGGAAGGTCGGCCAGCGATGGCCCTCGCTCCCGTACCATTCAGAACAAGGTGCAGTCATTGCTGGGAGAGTCTAACAAGCCCGTCGTCCCCAAGACAGCGACTGGATATGGTCACTTCACAGACACTTCCTCTTCTTTGCAGGCAAAGCAGAGTGAAACCCAATCCATTCCCAGTCAAATCCCCGCGTCTAGGACATCCGGTCCTAGTTACAGCGCCCGCGAGGGCTCCATAGCTACTCCGGACCGCCGGGCCGACAACAGCGCCCCAGCAGGACTCCCGCAATCTGGCACCACCACCAGCTACCCATCCACGCAACGCCCCGCAGCCAGACCAACCGCACCGCCAAAGCCCAAGAATTTGCGCGTTGGCGCGGACACCTCGCGACCTGGCACCAGCCAAGGCCAGGGCCAGAGTCCGTCCTTCCAAACAACCCCGGCAAGCCCTGGCGAAGACTGGGAAGCCAACTTCAGCAAGCGATTCCCCAGCCTCTCCGGACTTGAGATGGAGACGGAGATTGAAATCCCCAAATACGCTAGTTTGCGGACTCGGGAAGTGTAGAGTACAAGATAGAAGTCGTTTTGTTTCACATGATGCGGTTTCAGCGTGTGTACGTGTGTTGCCCTTCGGGCGCATCTCCGGGAATGACTGGTTCCCTCGAGCTATGCATATATAGACAGTGACATATTGGACATGATCTCAGTTCTCGGACTTTTATTCTGTAATTCTCCTTAGTTTTTCCAACACATGTCGCTCATGATATATCGACGCATGTGCTTTGATACCTCTCTCACCGCCCTTGTTTTCTCCCCGCAAGACTAAGAACCTCACTCACTTCGAGCTCGCCTGTCGTTTCTTCTTTCAACAGGTAAAGCCATGGCTCCTGTGACCTTGAAAACAGTCGATGGTGAGTTCTATCCTGGTCAGCAGCAGGGTCCCAAAGCTAACGCGCTATACAGACGACCTAAAAGATGTCATCCAACAGTTATTCGAGATCCAATCCGCCGTCCACGGCTACCTAGGCCCAGAGACACAGCAAGAGCTCGTGCGAAAGATGTACGTTAGCTACAATGGCTCTTGACCCATTTTCACAACCTCCATTCCCCCCAATTCGCAACCAAAACCAAAGAGTCACCCACATCCCACGACCCAACCCAGTCCCCAGACTCCCAACCACAAACCAACTTAACAAGAAAAAAAAAAAACTAACGAACAACCCAACCCAGCAAAAACCTCACCCTAGCCCTTTCAACCCTTTCGACACACACCCAGCTCCCCCCAAATACCGAAATCCAACCGGACCAAACGACAGACCCCTCAAACCCACCCTTATCCAGCATCCAACTCCCACCAGAAATAATCGACTACGTCGACTCAGCGCGCAACCCCGATATCTACACTCGTGAATTCGTCGAGCTCGTCCAGCGCGGCAATCAGGATCTGCGCGGGAAGCGTGAGGCTTTTGCTAGTTTTCGGGATGTGCTTGCTCGTGAGATGAGAAGTGCTATGCCTGAGTGTCGCGGAGAGGTTGATCGGGTTGTTGTTGCTTCTGGGGGAAAGGTTCCGGATTCCGATGGTGGGCATTGAGGGCTCAATTTATCTGGTCTGGTCGGGTTTTGATCTTGACGTGCTTTGAATTGCTGGATTTGGATCGGGATCGTGAGACTGGTGCATTCACTGGAGTTTCTTTTCTTGCGGCATTGTGAGCGTGGCGCTTATGGGACTCATTTTTGGTTAGGGATTTACGAATTATGGGATTAAAGATGCTTTATCGGCCTTTCTTCCTTGAGCTTTTGGCTACATGTAGATTCTCAGGGCTTGTACACGACGGATTGCATCGATCGGATTTTATAGATGCTTTGTATGAGCGTGACAGTGGGGATCCATGGCTATGAGGTTGGCAAGTGACCTAGACGTAGATAATGCAGACCATATGCTCATACCTCCCAGGACTATGTTGGAATATTTTGACCAGTCAAGCAGATCCCTGGGTGTTGCCGGGATTAGGGCTAAAAGTGGACTTACTGGCTCGGAGGCCATAACTCGTCCAAATATCCAAGATCCTCTTTTAGATGTACTTCAGCCACCCCCACAAAGCTTGTTAATGATGTCGGAGTGTGGATAGAAGGCCTGAGATCCAAGGCTGCAATATCCGGCCTGAGTGATCTCGGGGGCAAATCTCGGAATGAGACTTTCCGACTACCAATGTCGACTCGAAGAAGCCGATCGGCGGCAGCATGCGTGTTCTGCCGCCAGAAAAAGGTACGGGACTATGTCCCTATGTAGTTTTCCAGGGCTGACAATTAGTAGTTGAAATGTGATGCACAAAGACCGCAGTGCGGCAACTGTGTGGCCAAGGGAATCGATTGCCAGGTAGGGGCCGTGCACCAAAAGCCAAGGTACGAAGTAGATTCCCCGGATTGAAATTGTATAGGACTGATTATTTATATTCAGACCAACCAATCACCGCATTGCAGAACTAGAGCAGGAGAATGACATACTTCGACAGCAATGCACTCAGCTACGGAACAGCAATGCCGGTCCGTCTGGGAGAGTGCAGTCAAAGCAAGCAAGTCCCATTACATTGAGTAGCCCATCACGAACTCCATTGCCAATTTCAAGAATAGGAGGGGGCATCGGTCTCTCGCGAAATGATTCCTCCAATGAAACTAGAGATGCATCGCATCCAGAGGTTCCGGAGAACGACCACAGGAATATATCGTTGTACCATGGTCCAACGAGTACAGTCTATGATGATACAAGTCCGAATTATACTGGGCAGAATCGACCACCTTCGGATGATCATTCCAATGAAGAGATGATACGGCATCTTCTTTTCTCTCAGACCGCAAGGCAGAGTAAGTTGTGCACCATAGAAGATCTATATGTATGATACTAAAGGGGTATTCCAAGGACAACTCGAGTCTCTCAATCTAGCTGCAGGAAGACTTGACTTTGATGGGGTTGATCCCGAAATCGGCATGCATCTCCTCTCCATATACTGGAGTCGTCAACTCTACACAGCGCAGATAATCTACCGGCCAGCATTCATGCGAGACATGGCCTGCGAAGGACCCTACTTCTCCAAATTGCTATTGAATGCGATATTCTTTGTAGTATCGAAACATTGTGACAGTCCTGAGCTTCGCTCGGACCCAAATGACATTACTACAGCAGGATGGAAATTCCGTCAACGGTTTACCCAGCTTCTCCGGGATTGCTTCGACAAGAGCGAAATAACCACTCTTCAGGCCTTACTGATTATGTCTAATGCTCTTTTCTCGCGATGTGATGAGAGGAGTTTATCGTGGCTCTATGCCGGAAATGCCTTTAACATGTTTATTGATCTCGGATTGCATGTGCTCCCTTCCCCCGATAGTATTCCTGCTGAAGAGCTTGAAATCCGGAAGAGAGTACTTTGGGGTGCATATTGTGAGTCCGGAAGCACCAACTGGCATTACCACAATTGAATCTAATAAGTCTACAGTAATTGACAAGATCCAATGCCTTTTCCAAGGAAGACCGCCCCTTCTCAATCATGTCAACATGAGGGCATCTTTGGACTTCTTGGATGATTATGACGAATTGGAGCCTTTCCAGGATATTTCATACACGACCATCAAGCCATATAAGGTGGTTCCATCATTGAATGTATCTTTGCTTACCAAATTCTGCGAATTGACAACGATCGTCGAACGTATCCTGTGCGAAATATACTCCGAATCCCGAGAGTCGAGTCCCGCCCACAAAGAGAGTGTCTCAGAGGATATAAAGTCCCAGTTGAGAAGATGGCGACAAAGCCTGACGCCTCAGCTTGATTATCTATCCTTTCCAGACCAATCGGTTCTTTTGCCTCAGTCTGCATGTCTTCTGTATGGACTTTCACTCAGCCGATGCCAATCGAAAACCACTGACGAGATTTAGGGCTCTATTTAACGTGTTGATCATTCTTTTGCATCGCCCATTAATCACAGGAGGCCATGGCGGCGTGATCAATTCAACAACCGCCCACGAGTCAGTAAACGCCTGCACGTCGGCTGCAAATCAGATTGTTCAAATTTTGCACGACTACTCCCAGCATTTCTCATTAAGCAGCGCGCCATATATGTTGTCCTATGCGACCTACATCAGCGCAACGATCCACGCCCGAATAGTTGCACAGAAGGGAAGCAATTCTACCGTCTTTCAATCTCTGGTACTCTGTCGCAATATCCTACTCGAGCATACACGTCTCTATGCTGCAGCAGAGAAGGCCAAGGAGAATCTGGATAAGCTGATTTCTCACCTCGGGATTAGCACCCCGGATGACAACCAGCACACAGTTACTTCTGTGCAAAGTCTACCAGGTGAAAGTGTTGTTATGGACGACTCCAACATTCCCACTGGCGAGCAAGGATTTCCAGACCGGACCGTTGGCTTTGGGTCTCCTTTGCTGAATTTGGAATTGTCCGATCTCGACCTTGAGGCGATTGCCCAAGGGTTCCAGGTTGATGTCGAATCACTTTCCTTTTGGCATTCTCTAGGTGCATGAATAATGATACATGTTATGAAATTAAAGACAAGCCCATTCCGAATACCCTATATTTTTCATTGCATGGGGGACACACCGTCTAGTTACCGTAAGGCCCAGAGGCAGTCTTACTCGCCTTCTGAGTGACAATCTGCATCTCACTCGCCAGCGAGCTAGTCAAAGCACCAATATCAGTCACAACATTGACAAAGTCATATCCAAGATCGGCATATTTTTTCGCCTGAGTTCCACTCCCACAGTAAATACCAGCTTTCTTGCCAGCCTTGTGTGCCGAAGCCAGAACCTTCTCAATAGCCTGCTCCAATTCAGGCGCAAACGTGCCAGTCAGTACGGGGTGCCCGATGCCATTGCCGAGATCGAATGGCCCCACAAACAACAAGTCGAGCCCATCAACAGCGGCAATGGCATCGACATCGTCGAATGCTTCTTTCGTCTCAATTTGCACAGATAGCAATAGGTTGGCATTTGCCTCCGTAAGATACTGCGTAGCAGTCACATTTGGCCCAAAGCGTTCCATGGGGAATGGTGAGCCGAAGCCTCGCTTGCCCTGTGGTGGGAATCGGCATGCCTCGACGAAGCTCTTAGCGTCTTCAACGGTTCGTACCAGAGGAGCGAGGACTCCATGGGCACCTGCGTCCAGTGCTCCTATACAAATACTTAGAATATTGAGACTTGGATTGACAACGTATCACATACGTTTGATCATCCAGGATTGGAAATCCGGAACTCGGACGATGGGACTGACTCCATATGACGTTATGGCGGGGACAGCTTCGTGCATTGCGGCATCTGGAAGAAGGTGAGTATCTCCTAAATACACGAAGATATGCATTGCCTACCATCAATGTTGCCATGTTCACAGTCTACCAAAACCCAATCGTATCCGGCTCTTGCTAGAGTGCGCGACATGTTGCTGCCGGGCAGCATCTGCCACACGCCCAACGCGAGTCCACCCTTGTCGAGGACAGATTTGACACGGTTTGTTCCTTGCATTGTGAGATGAACAGATGAAGAAATGAGAATGTCGAAGTTCGTAGATATGTTGACAAGGCAATACCAATATCCGACTTCCGGCTGCTCACTTCCCGAGAGGCAAGTCTCGGCTCTTCTCCGGGGGAAAACACATCACATCCCACATCCCACTACATCACCACCCCACGCATTCCGGAAAGTGTCAATCCGACCTCCACAGTTCCGGGGAAACACGAATGAACAGCCATCTATATATAATCTGCAATCCCCCACTCAAAATGTCACCCTTGAACATAGTCTCACATCTCACATTATGGTGTGCTCCTCCAAAAAGTCCTGCGAGGGCTGCTCATGCAGCAATGACGCCCCTCAGCCCCAGTCCATCAACATAGAAGACTGTCTTAGTGAGCTACAAGCTCTACGACGACGCAATCAGGAACTAGAGACCCGCATGGGTGTCACAAATGAGCGCGACAATGCCCAAGTCCCCGTCAAGAAACCGGGGCGGACACTCCGGTCTTCATCGTGGTTCGATTGTGCCAGCAACCCTGGTATGACTGCCATCTATATGGAGCGGTATTTCAACTACGGCATTACCAGAGAAGAGCTTATGTCTGGAAAACCCATGATTGGAATTGCTCAGACCGGGTCAGATATCGCACCTTGCAATCGCCACCACATCGAGCTCTCCAAGCGGGTTCGGGAGGGTATCCGAACTGCTGGTGGTATTCCGTTTGAGTTCCCTACGCATCCTATTCAAGAGACTTCCAGACGGCCTACTGCTACTCTTGATCGTAATCTTGCGTATCTTGGTTTGGTGGAAATCTTGACTGGATATTTCCTTGATGGTGTTGTGTTGCTCACTGGCTGTGACAAGACTACACCGGCTTGTTTGATGGCCGCGGCTACTATGGTGAGCATTATGCTTTCAGAGACATTGATCCATCAATGCTAACTTCTCACAGAATATTCCTGCTATTTGTATGAATGTGGGACCTATGCTCAACGGTTACTCCAAGGGAGCCTTGACCGGAGCGGGCAGTGTCTTGTGGCACGGACGAGAGCTATATGCCACGGGTGACATTGACGAGCACGAATTCATGGATTACATCGCTAGAGGGTAAGTCCTTCCGAAGCATCTAGTCAACAATAGAAGCTAATTGGAAACCCAGAACACCATCAGTCGGCCACTGCAACACCATGGGAACTGCCTCAACAATGAATGCCCTCGCAGAGTCATTAGGAATGGCACTTCCGGGATCAGCCGCCATTCCCGCAGCATACCGCCACAGAGCTCAGTGCGCCTATGAAACCGGTCTGCGGATCGTGGAGATGGTAGAAGCAGATCGAAAGCCATGCGATCTGATGACAAGAGAGGCATTCGAGAATGCTATTGTGGCAAACGCCGCTATTGGCGGCAGCACCAATGCCCCTATTCACATCAATGCCATTGCCCAGCACGCGGGCGTGGAAGTTTCCATGGATGATTGGGATACCCTAGGATCAACCATTCCACTCTTATTGAACATGCAACCTTCTGGAGAGTACCTCGGCGAGGAATACTACCGTGCCGGCGGTCTTCCCGCTATCATGGCTGAGCTGTTGGACCAGGGCAAGTTACACGGCGACGTCCTAACTTGCAATGGCCAAACTCTCGCCGAGAATGTCCGCGGGAAGCACACGTGGGATCGGAAGGTCATCCGTCCATACGACGACCCATTAATGAAGAATGCCGGTTTCGCTCATTTGAAGGGAAATCTGTTCGACTCCGCTATCATGAAGACATGTGTGATCTCGCCTTCTTTCCGGAAACGCTATCTTTCAAACCCCGAAGACCCAGATGCGTTTGAAGGATCTGTTGTGGTCTTTGACGGTCCAGAGGATTATGAACATCGTCTGGAAAGCTCAGCGCAAATTGACGATAAGACTATCCTTGTTATGCGTGGTGTCGGTCCGATCGGGTATCCCGGAGCGGCAGAGGTTGTCAACATGCATCCCCCTGGTCGACTTCTCAAGGATGGTATCGACGGATTGTTCTGTATTGGAGATGGTCGGCAGTCGGGAACTTCTGGGTCTCCTTCCATCTTGAATGCTAGCCCCGAGGCGGCGGCCGGAGGAAACCTTGCCATCTTGAAAGATGGGGACAGGCTTCGTATTGACTTGCGGAAGCGACAGGTTAATCTTCTCATTAGTGATGAGGAAATTGCACAGCGGAGAAAGGACTTGGGTGTTGATGGATATACTGTTGCTCCAAGTGGTACTCCATGGCAGGAGCTGTTCCGCCAGGAAACTGCACAGTTGAGTGAGGGTATGGTGCTGAAGAAGGCTGTCAAGTATCAGAGACTGGCCCAGGAAGGACAGCCCCTTCGTCATAATCATTGATGTAATTAATGAAATTAGAAATTTGACCTTTTGTGACTGTTAAAATAGTAATAGGCCATAAGCCGTTTGTCACCACCTTTATACAGTCTACATGATCAACCCGAGGCACTCGAAAATGGATGAAAAAGAGATGCAAAAAGAGAGTCCCAAAGTAGGATGAGACATGAACGATATACTCGCTTCGAGGCTTTTTTCGTGTACTATCCAAAACTTCATCAGTGGCATATACACATTTATGACCCCAGCTGTATTTTCAAATTTATTCTCAGAACATGCTCAAAGAGCTTCAAGGGTTACTCTTGCTGCATGATATAATTAGAATCCTCCCAGAAACCACCAAAAGCACCAGCCTGCATGAGGTTCGTCCAGAAGGTCTGATTGTAGTCAAAAGAAGATGAGCCAGGCAAATCACTTATCCCAGCCATAGAGTCCAGCATCATATGTTCGCCAGGCATCACGTTCCCGGCTTCATTCAGAGAACTTGGCGCAGATCCACGCAAAAAGAAAGACCCATCCTCAGCCTCCATGGTAGCTCCCGCCATATCCCGCCCTGCCCTCTGTCCAGTGAGATGACCAGGAAGAGTTTCACGAAGTGAAGCAACAAGAACCGGAGGCTGCAGCACCTTACCACCCTCCAATTCCGCCCTCTCACGAGCACCCCAAGCCTTCAAAATCGCCTGCCCAAGAGCAACATGCAATGGACTCCGAAGATTTCGACTCAACCCTTTATGATATGGGCTTTGGCAGATAGCGTCCCATGCACGTTCACAGAGTTCACCTGTGGTGCGGTGACGGATTTCGTTGGCGAGGAAGATGTATCCCGGTAAGGGTATATGCATGTTACTGTACCATACCAGTCCACGGAGACTTGCCGTGGTATGGATCGTATTATCTGATTCGAGCATGTGGATTGCAGCTAGAAAGGCGGCGTCTTGTCGTTTGTGATCTGGGTCTGGGGAGGAAGTGCCTCGGCATACGAAGTCGAGGACTCGGAGCTTGTAGAGGGATACGCGTGTCATTAGGAGGGTGAAGAGTTGGAGGGGGATTTTGGTGTCGCAGTGCTTTAGATAGGCTGATTCCATGTGTTTGCAGTAGCGGTCGAGGTTCTCGGAGATGTTCGTGTTTTGTTTTGGGGGTTTGCTAGGGTCTGCGGCGCACGATTCATTGTTGGGGTGTGCATTGTTGGAAATTTTAGGATTTGGTCGAATGCCATCGGGTGCAGAGGCAACGGTTATTTCGATGCGCGTGAGAGAAAATGTCATTTCGGTCATCCCAGCGGACGGTAATGGAGGCTCTTTAGATTGGGGGTGAAGATCTGTATCGTTCACGTTAAGGGGATACCGGCAGTCTGCTCCCATAGAGGACAACGCGCTGATTGGCGATCCAGTAATTTCAGCTATTCGCTTGTCAAGAACAACTATCTGCCACCAAAGTCGCCTTCTTTGCTCAGTCTCGAAAGGAGAAAGGCCGAACTGGGCACCGTCTCGATGCAGACCAATGCGGGTTGCCATGCGAACAGCGATGCCAATGAGGCAGAAAAGAGACCGAGGGTCAATCCAAAGTCTCATCGTGATCTATTCAGAAAACTCGTTAGCATACGTCAGGATGCCTGGCAAGAGGCATGTCTTGTTGCTCACAAGATGATGAATAATAAAGGGAGTGGAACTTACCAGATATAGGAAATACGCCTGGAGTACCATAAAATCGGAAGATTTCATGAAATTAACATCGATAAGAGCTTGCTCCATAGCTTTGCGATATCGAGCGAAAGCGGTGGGCTTGTCGTCTCCAAGAATATTGTGAACGTCCTCATCATCCATAGAATTTACGGCTGTAAGGTATATTCCAAACATGAGAGCGCTGATAGGCTTCGGAATGTTGGCAGGGTTCGTACACGCCTCAATTATCTGAGGTTGAAGCGTGGGAACATGGCTGATCTTCAGAAGAGGATTCACGTTGTTTATATAGATTTGCCATAATTGGATAACCTGAGTTGAGGATGGATGTGAAGTGGGCTCGGCCTGCAAGCTACCCGCGACAAATGGAAAGCCGCTGGTGTCATTGAACATAGTGTCAAAAGCATGGTGGACAGTTGGACGGTCAGATTCCTCGTCGGAGGAGCCATGTAGCATTTCATCAGCAGCTCGGTACTGAACACAGTTAGCTATTCGTCACATTCATACTTTCTTCCGTTCCATACCTCATTATAGTATGCGAACCATTTAGAGTCTCTGATCGCATGTTAGGACAATTATGAAAACTCAAACTTTCGAACTAGGAGGTCATCCAAGATCCAATACTTGCCTTTCTTTGGTTGTCCTAGATGGATGTTCGTTCCGGGGACCGTCATTGGAGGATATTTCCTTGTCGTGAGGCAGCCCAGATGCACCAGGATTGCCCTGATCAATAAGTGACACAAAATCAAGCCCGTGTCGTGTCATAAGCTCTTCATACTTTTTGAGTCTTTCAGCCAAGTCTTTACCCTGGGGCTTTGGGGTGTTTCTTTTCCCACGAGGCCGCGAGGGAACAACAGTGCATTCGGCGTTTGCTTTAACACAGTTTCTGCAGGGCTTCTGCTTATCACACCGGACTTTGCGCCTCTGACATAACATGCAAGAATGCCCTCTTGTGATGCCAGACATGTTTGAATCCACACGTGTGACCCGAAGTGTGATAGGAGGTAGTGCTTAGTGCTCAGACGCAAATATATCGGGGCAGCCCGGCAAGGGCCAATAGTCACATCAATCTGTATTTTTCCTTGTAAGGAAGCCCAGACTAAGCATCGAGTAGTGAGTTAGCGTCTGATTGAATGTCAAAATAGAAACACTAGCAGACGTTGATGCTCGGTCCCGAAGTCCTCGGTCCCGACGTCAGACTACGCTAGTCCATAAAAGGCATAGTCTGTGATCCCCTTTTTATAGTCCCTTTCTATTGCATTTGTATCTAATAGAATCGATCTCGTTAAGAGCATTCTACGAGTATATCTCGCCCAAGCTCTGTCGAAGGCTTACATAGTGCCCACACTTCTACCAACGGAGGGTCCACAACAGTCACAAGTTCAACGCCGACCGGCCAAACAAGGCCAGATAATGAACCAACCGGTCGCCCTCTACTTGGTAGAGGATATGTACTATCCTTCATTCTACTAGCAGTGCAATAATCTTGATTGGTGTGACCAGGGGTTTGGTGTCCCCTACTGCCAAGCCTCGATATCACACGCGTGCTCCATCACGAAGCATTGCCATGAGTCCACCCAAACAGCCCTACCTCGTCGGCGGAAGAGATACTGACTCCCCGAAATGAGGCCCGGTGGCTCTATTATGAAAATGTATCTATTTTGAAAAAGCTACGATTTACTCAGGTGCAATTGCCGGGGGTGTTGTTGGCGGTGTTGCAGTCGCGGCAGTATTTGGGACTGGCGTCATCTTCTCGCATCTGTGGAAGAAGAGGCAGCAGCGCAAGCAGAAGGCACTCGGTAACGAGTTGTTGGACGAACGGGCCCCTCAAGGGAACCAAGCAGACACACAAGCTTCAGTTGGGGAGACGACGCAGACCGAAGAACTTGACGGAAAACACCACCCCAACGAGGTTGAAGGCAGTGAGCCTTCTCATAAATTTACAGAAACCCACAGAAGCAAGTCGAGGAATGTGACGTATGAAATGGATTCTAAGGTATTTATTGCTGAGTTGCCAGCACTAGACGTCCCGGGGTGAAGCGATACAAAGCATGTTTATGGGAAGCAAGGAGTGGAAGATGGTACCATCACCGTGGGGAACTCGTTTAGATTACGAGAAACAAATAAATAACTCTTTCATTGACAAGCAAGAAATATATTTAATCTGTTTAGTGGGACCATTCTTTTTTTGTTGCATACAAAGCTTTACAAAGATTCAACAAGACACTGTCAGTCAAATGTGAAACTAACTTTTCACCTTCACTAGAGCCCAAATGGATATGTTTCGCCCTTTCCAAGGGGCGTGGCAGGTTGGATAACCTCGAGAGGGTTGACGGCTTGAGTCTCATCAAACCAGATGTAGCCGTCAAACTGCTTGTGCAGAATAGCCTGCGAGTAGTGGGAGATTCGCTCAGTATCAGGGCGATAGATAACCCCAATGAAACGCTGAAGCCGCTGTTCAGCAGCCAGAGCAGACCTCAGAGAAGCATCTATGTTATCCCGACGTAAATCCAGCACGAAACTTGGTACCCCAGTATTATGGGCAATAATCTCCCAACTGTCCTCTCGAGACGGACGAACATTCATGACCTCCATATCATCATCCCACTCATGAGCAGCTGCGACTGTCCCAGTATGAGTACCACAGCCAAGGATAGTCACGTTCTCGCGACATAGTCGCTCACGACACAGCTGTCCAATGTTGAGTTCCCTGCGGCGGAAGCCCATACTGGTATAGCGGGCATCCCCAACATGAGAGTTATGCGCCCAGACAATGGCTTTCTGTCCCTCATGATGCCGCAATAGACGCTGCAAGGTCTCAAACATATGCATGTCACGCAAGTTCCACGAGCTCGCGGAGTTGTAGTACATAGCCTTGTAGTACTTCTCAGCGTCACGAACCAGATGAGCATTTTGCTCGCCACTATGATACTCATCACCATCTCGCAAGTCACGTTGAGCATATTCGAGCCGTCTCCCAAGAAGATCTGCCAACATTTTCATCACGCCTGCTTCACAGTCTCCCAAGCCTCTCAGGGATGCCAGGCCATACGCAGAGGGATCATCAATCCAGGGTTCTAGGCATCCATATCGCCGACGAGCTTGCTTGCTTGCTTGTGGATCTACCCGGTCCAGGTAGTCAATCACGGCACCGATCGAAGCTCCCATGCTGTAGAGGTCCAACCCATAGAATCCGGCTCTTCTCTCTGGTGGCAGACGCTGGTTTCGATCACGCATCCACTCTACCAAGTGTTGCATTTCGTAATTTCTCCACATCCATGTTGGGAATCTGTTGAAGGGTTCATATCCCTTTGCGGTGCCTCCGATTTGAGCCTTTGGTCCTGGGCGCAAGCGAACGTATCGATCGATCGCCTCTGCATCTGGCCAATCTGCTTCCACTGCGACCATAGTGTAGCCATGTTGCTCGATGAGTCGCTTGGTGATTTCTGCTCGTGCTGAGTAGAATTCGGATGTTCCGTGGCTGCCGTCGCCCAAGAGTATCACTTGTTTGCCTGCAAAGGTGTCGAAATGGGAAGCGAAACTTTGGTCTTTGATAGCAGGAAGGGGATGTATTGCTGAATTAAACAGTTCTTGAAATTTTGACATTTTGTTTGACCTCAGAAAGAGGGAAGCTGATCGCATGGATTGCTGATGAGCGCTGTCAGCTGATGAAACCGGTCAACCCGGACACGATGAATGTCTTTCCTGCTGATAGAGATACAGCTACTGTCTCATCATGCGAAACAACAATTTCTTTTTGTTCTTCTGTTGTCCGGGACATTTCCTAGCGAATGATTTACATTGTGGCGACTGCAATCATGATGACTTCACCCCGTCAAAGCCGAACCATAATGTACCAACACCAATAAGCGCGACAAATGAACGCTTCTCACTGCAAATGAAACAAACTCAATGCAATCTTTGAAGCCCCTCATTCTACTCAACCTCACTTGTAGACAAGCATTCCACAATTTCAAGAACCACGCCCATATTCAACTGACCTTCAGCACATATACTTCAAGAATGGCTCTCCCAATCAACAGCCCATCCCCACGCCTGGATCGCTTCGAACAAGCGATGGAATCACTTTATGGCAGTTTTACCAGCATAACAGACCCAGCAAGCTGGAACCCACCACCAAGATCAGGCGGCCACGGAGGTCGATACCTATGGACAGACGCCTTCGGCGTAGTTAACTTGTTGACAATGCACAGCCAATACAACATATCCAAAAAGCAAGGCGAATGGGATGACCGGTATCTCGTGCTCGCAGACCGCCTGATTAATACTGTGCATGATGTCCTAGGTAGAACCCGTGACGGTGACTCCCGTCTGCCAGGAGCAACTGACACGAATCCGCTGGGTGGTGGGTTGAGAATCGGTAAGACAGACGATCATGGTCCAGATGCAGATGGACAATATCACCACTACCTGACTCTATGGATGTTTGCGCTGAACCGGATGGCGAGAGCTTCCGGGAATATGGAATACAACAGACAAGCTGTGAAACTGGCAAAAGCTATTCATCCAAAGTTCTTCGTCGGTCGTACCACAGCCCGCCCGAGGATGGTATGGAAAATGAATATGAGCCTGACAAAGGCATTGGTTGCATCAGAGGGGAATTTGGATCCTATTGATGGATATGTTATCTTTCGCCTGCTGCAGGCTTCAGCCGTTGAAGCCGGTGATGGCGAGGTCTTGGCCGAGGAGATTTCCGACTACAGACGTGTGATGAATCGTAAAGGAGAGCACTATGTTTCCAGTGACCCGTTGGATTTGGGAATGACCTTGTGGTCTGCACATTGGTTTTCCGAGCGAGAGCCTTGGGCTGCCGAACTAGCCAGGGGATGTTTCGAACAAATGTGTCAGTTTTTGTTGTTGTCGCCTGGAATCTTGTGAACATACTGACCTATGATTCCAGACAACCTATTTGAGATCAACCGCTACTTGGAGCGAAATATCAAGTTTCGCTTGGCTTTCCGTGAATTTGGTGCCTGTATGGGCATAGAATGCCAGGCCGAACAAGCCAACGAAAAAGAGAGCGCCGTTAATCTAAAGACTTTCTCGACTGCTATTATTGCTGCTTGGGACCCATATATGGAGCTCTCCATCTCCGATGATCTGACCCCAGTGGACCTGAGGCCGATCACTCGGGTGATGTATGCAGCTGCGTTGATTCCGGGAGGTGAGTCAAGCCAATCCGACCAGATTCAATCATGATATTGATGGTATGCTTGTCGGTTTAAGCGTTTCAAAGTGGATTTCTGGGCCCTGAAGCTGAACCGACACCCGAAAAGTAAACAGACCTGTCAAAGTCGCAGTACATGGATGCCACATCAGATGTATTGTATCAATTCAGGAGGTCGTATGGAAAATATCTCCGATTCAAAAATCCTATTAATATTAGAATGAAAAGCACCAAAGCCCTTGGTTTCTAAGCTCAAAACAATGCAATCTATCATTACTTGGCGTATTCACAGATGAGCAAAGGGCATGTTGAATACACAGTGTCTATATCCCTGGCTCTCCAACCACATTCCTCCATGACGCCAGCCGTCTAGGCAGAATGTAGATGGCGTATACAGCGCTCAAAGCAATCAAAAGACCGGACCACTAGTCAGACATGTTAGCAACGAGATGTGAACTTGGACCGGCAAGAATATACAAACCTTTTCTAACCATGTATGGAACCAAATCGCAGTCATGAAGAGCATCCACCATCCCAAGCCAACGACACCCCAAACAAGACGGAGTGACCATGTCCCTGCAACTCCGCCGGATTCAGTGGTTCCAACTGTAGGGGGGCTATCGGCATCACTCGCCTTGCGCTCGCGCCCCGCGTCGCCGGTGGGGCCAAAGCGAGAAGGAAACGCAGGAGCGCTAGCACCAACAGCTTCAAATGCCAGAAATCCTGTGGCGAGTACCAACATGAGCACATGTCCGCTGATATCATGTCCACCCCTCCAGGCTCCACCAGCTGCCTTGCATGTAGCGGCCGTAAACAACGCTTCTAGGTCGGTGGTGCCAGTGCCCAGTTCCTCGACCTTCTCAAAGGCACGCTCGCACTTTCCACCCGTGACCACGAATCCGCGGTCAATAATCGCTGGCCCAAAGAACCATTGTGTTGAGAGGTACCATGCCGTGGTCGCCAGTGCGTAGCGTAGAACAGCCTGGAGAGTGCGGCGGAGACGTGTTTCTTGTTGTGACGAGGACTGTGGACGAGATGAAGAGTAGAGAGGTTGGAAGAGTAGGAGCGACACGAAAGCAGCCGTTGTCCATAGCCATCCGATCTTCACGAAGTACACGTTGAAGACATTATTTTTCCGGGCAAAGTAGTTGACGGGGCTTTCGGAGAGGTGTAGATCTGCAGCGAGGGAGGGGGCCAGAGGGCTTGCAAGTTGCGTATCCCGAGAAGGATTCGCTGTTGGTGAGATGGTCGAATACAGTGAGCCAAGCAATAGCGTTGCAGGGTATACAAGGAGGGCAGCCAAAGGGAGGGTGACAGGTCGCAAGGTGGCTGCGGCCATGGTCGCAAGCACAGTGGGCGTTTCAAGCAGAGGAATATGCGCAGTAGAGTATGAATATATCGAAGAGTTGAGTTATTCAAATCAGACCACAGAGCATATTTGGTGCAATTGAGAAGGTCGAAGCAGGATAAGTTGGCGATTCGAACAGATGACATCAGGCTTTGCCGAGGCAGCCTGTGTGGCGGCCTCAGGCAGAATTAATAAACAACTTGAATATTCAGGCCAACACTTTGTTTTCTCCTCACAAGGATGAGAATAAATGATCAGATTGCTAAAAAAATATCAAGTATCCGTATCTGGCTTGGGATATACGGTCTATATCTGAAAGTACAATGAGCCACTAAGCTCGTTTGTGCAAGATAGTTGGATAGGAGATATAGTTCAAGTAGTCTTCACCTGTGAGTCAGGACACTTTCTTTTTGTGTCTAAATTATTGTCTTCAACCCAGCTTTATGAAACAGCATTCAGTTTTGCTTCCTTTAATCTTTTCTCTTCCCGTTCGCTAAAGCGATCGCTAAAGAGACCGATATGAGGGCGCATCACAATCGTATATTTGACAAATTCTTCCATGCAATCTACCAGACGATCTCGGTTACCACTAGGCATGAGTCGTTGATCTTCGGATTGACCCTCATCCGGGAACTGTGTATATGCCCTCGGGATTGAAGATTGATTCGGAATAGTAAACATGCGCATCCACCGACCAAGGATACGCAGGGAGTTGACGGCATTAAATGATTGCGATCCACCGCACACTTGAGCAATGGCCAGTGTTCGGCCTTGGGTCGGGCGGACGCTTCCTGTGCTCAGAGGAATCCAATCAATTTGATTCTTAAAAACGGCAGTCTAGAATTGCAGAGAAAAGGACGAGTGAGCAAAAGTTCTATGAAGTGTTGCGATTCTCGCGACGAAGATGCAACTCACCAGATTGCCGTGTTGTTCGGGCGAAACCCAGACATGTCCGTCACTCCATTGGCTGAGGTTTCGGAGCTCCTGTACCTTGGGATGATCCGTGTCGACGTCGTTTTTCACTGGAAGGCCTTGGGGATCAAAGACACGTACATCACAACCCAATCGGAACAGAATACGAGAAGCCTCCAATGCCACTAGCCGTGAATATGATCTTCTCCGAAGGCTGCCATAAAGTACCAGAACTTTCAACCTCTTGTTTGTATTCCGTAGGTTCTGCTCGGCCATATCGAGTGCGGTGGCCAAATCTAAATCGTTGATCCAGTCTTGAGTTGCATCATCGTTAAGGATGAACGGCCTGTACTTCTGGCGAATATCTGGATCATCCTCATTCACGGGCAATGACAAGGATCGAAATGAAGCATCAGGTTGGCGGGTGTTTGCAGCCACTTGAGGAAGAGCAAAAGACATCCTTTTGGAATAGTTTGGCAACAGAAATTGTCGCGCCAAGGATGCAGGCCTAATTATCGGCACTCTTTTTGTAAGGAGATTCAGCATATGGTAGTGTCAAATGCAAATAATACAAGAAATAAGGGACAGCTTTAAAACAACAAAATATTCAAAGATGCAGTTTGAGCATGTCACTGCTGACTGGTGATTGGACAAGTTCGTAAATGGATCTGTCTTGTGCTTGTGATTGGAGGATCCGATTGGGGTTGATATCCGTTAGTTCTGTTCAATCTTGACATCTTTTCAGACAAGAAGATCTGTATCATATGGCTCAAACCCATATTCTATATCCTGAGTATGAAGGCAAGGCAATTTGAGAATTCGAAGGGATCCGCAACTTCATCCGCGAGAATCCGTGATAACCAGCGCCGTTCTCGCGCACGACGAAAAGAGTACATTCAGGACCTTGAGCAGCGATTACGCTCGTTTGAGAATCTTGGCGTAAAAGCCACACAGGAGGTTCAAGCAGCGGGAAAAAAGGTCGCAACAGAGAATGTTCTGCTACGATCTCTGCTCATGCTCCACGGTGTGACCGAAACACAGATCAAAGCATACCTGGAATGGCAAGGGCAACCTCCAAGCTCTATTCCATCTCACTCTTATCAAATGCTCTCTTCAAAATTGGAAAACAACCTACAAAGAGCGCCGCTTCTACCTTTTGTGGCATACCACCGTTCGGCAACTCCACCTCACAAAGAGTTGAACAGCTCGCCGCATGAGCTTATGACTATTGGTTCCAAAATTTCAATACCGGAATCTAATGTAAATGGCAATGTGGGCAGTTTGGACAGTCAAGGATCCTGTGCAGAGCGAGCATCCACACTCACTCCCGCCACAACCGAATCAGAGACTGAATCACCGCAGTCTGATCCTCGCCAGAACACAGGTCAATTCACGTCATGTGAGACTGCCGCGGATATTATTGGAAGTATGCAAGCCCATTCGGACCATCGTGATGTGCGATCCGAGCTCGGATGTAATTCGGAACCACATTGCATGGTGAAGAATATGTCCATTTTTGAACTATTAGATAAATCACAGACATGAATTTACGACAGAATATAAAACCAAGGATATCAATTGAGTATATTGGCTTATGATAAGCCCGTCTTGGATCAATGATGACCATGTCAAAGCTTGCTAGTATAAGTCGCGGTCTGCGGAATGCCAAACTTGGAAAGATCCTCTGTACTCTTCCCATCAATAGCCAACTCCGCCAGAACACGACCGAAGGCCGGTGCGAATTTGAAAGCATGAGCAGCTCCAAGGCCAACGATTATATCCCGATGCTTTTCCAAGGGGCTGATAACGAACTGTCGAACTGGCGTAATGGTGTACTGACAAGTGACGGTTCGAAGTGGCTGGCGGCCATTGTCTGGCATGACTTTGCCCATAAATGAGTTAAGCTGCTCGAGCAACTGGGGGGAGTGTACATAGGTACGCTGCTCAGGTGTCATGAAGTTGTTGGAGGTATCACGGGCAGCCTTGATGGTTGGCTCGCCGAAAGATGGGAAGCCGTAGAAACAAGGATCGCCGCCCCAGATCCACACAGGGAAACGGCTAGACTCCCAAGCTTGCTCTTCTGTCGGCTTGAAATATGTCACTTGTTCTTGCATCACTGACAATGGGATATGTACGCCGAGAGGGGCGAGAAGCTTGTTTGTCCACGCGTCAGCTGCAAGAATCACTTTGGCTGCGTGAACTTGTCCCTTTGACGTCTGGATGACAACAGCAGAACCTGACGCCTTGGGAATCACGCGGTCCACTCGTGTATGTTCTTTCAGCACCGCGCCGTGGGTACGTGCCAGGCTTTGCATAGCCAAGACGGTCTTTGCAGCATGAGCAATGCCGGTATCGGCTGTATATACTGTATCGACAGTATCCGGAATATCGAACTGGGGCCATCGCTTGTTCACTTCCTTGGCATTGAGAACCTCATATGGCACATTCCGGGCATCCAAACTTCTCGTGAAGTCCCCGATGGGAGTTGGGGCATCTTTAGGGAGGAAAAAAACACCACCGGTAATCGTCAACAGCTTTTGATCTGTGGCCTTTTCGAGGGCAGCCCAGTCCTTATAAGCAGCTTGGGCCAGAGCCACATATTCAGGTGATGAGTTTGTGGTTCTGACAATGCGCGATGTGTCATGAGAGGCACCATGAACGTGACCCAGCTCGAACTGCTCAAATGCGACGACTTTCTTACCCTTTTGAGCGGCGTGGTATGCCGCTGCACTTCCGAGGACACCAAGTCCCACAACTGCCACGTCGTATTGCTCCATTATATCGGTGTGTATGTGTAGTGAAATCTGTCGTAACTGGTTGCAAGATCAACTCCCTCAACAGCTCATGACATGGCCTCAATTTATGCTCTCGATGGTACAGATCTATAAGCGTGGGGGGGACGGTGACCGGGCCGCTCACGTGTCCGTTCCCCTCAGCAGTTGAATGCTTGCAAGGCAGGGAACCAGTCGGCTTTGATCAAATCTGGTACTCGTAGGATCTGGTTGAATTGCTTTGGTATTGGTTCGGGGGGTTGGGTTTGATAATTCCTGGTTAGAGACGGTGACTGCCCGTCTCTCCGTTCTTCCACACGGTTTTTCTAGAATGAACGCTCCGTGCTTGTCCATATCAATCGCCTTTGCTAGAGACCGCGTTGGATGACGCATAATACTGGCAGACGGTCTCCCGGAAGTTTCAAGGTGTCTGGTATAAAGGATTGAAGTACAAAGACAGGGAAACGGCAAACACCTGCCAACCTGATAAACAAGGCCGAAAGTGTCACGCGTGGGCCCACAATACTGACTCGAGGCTAGGCCAAATGTGGCAAGGGCTCCTCCCGACATGTCGAGGCGACACATTCTTGACAGGGTGGAAAAACTTCTTGACTGCACTCTGGCTACATATACTGTAGAGAGTATGCAACTGTATTTATTGTAGTGAACCACTACAAATGTCTTTCAGTTGGGGAGACTAGGAGTCTTAAGGCTCTTTGCATCCTCCATCGCCATGTTGAAATCAAAACATTTAAAAAAGAATACATCCAGTGGCTTCGAAATGCAGATACGTCCAACTAAAGAGCATCTTACTAACACACTATATATCCAATCCCACTCCGGAGAAATGCCGCTTTGGTCATCCAAGCACCGGGTCCTTGATAAGGACCGCGGAGAACCGGAGCAGCCTCTCAAACACCGTCAGATCTTATTCCTTTCGATGGGAAGAAGCGAAAAGCAACAAGACTCTTAGTTTTGGAATCATCCACTTCAGTGAAATCCCGAAAGCGCTGGAATCCAGCCTTGATAAGGACTTTCTGGCTCGGGGCATTGCTCTTTTCCGTGATGGCAATGAGCTGCTCCTCGACTGCACCTTCGCTATCCACCATATCCTTCTGGACTTCAATCTCCCTCTCCGTTCGAGGAAGTCCCGCCCAGAACTTAAGCCAAGCACTGAGAAATTCCGTCGCGATGCCCTGTCCCCAAGCCTCAGTTCGGAGCATGTACCCCACCTCGGGCCAGCCGTGGTCTGCAGGATAGAGATGACATCCACCGATGCCGATGAATTCACCCGTGTCTTTTAGGCAGATAGCGCAGTTGGCGGTGATAGCATCATTGGGGGCCAGGAAAGGATCCAGTTTTGCTTTGCTCTGCTCGATATTTTGGTCGATGCAGCCAGCCTTGGTCCACTTCATGACTGGTTCTTGAGTGCGCAGAGAATGCAATGCTTCCAGGTCGCTTGCTTTGAGACTGCGGATTATCAATCGACTCGTTGTAATGTCTGGTCGGTCCTTGTTCCCTGGGAGCGGGATAGTAGGCAAGAAGGACCTGACGGTCACGATGTCTTGTGTGCTCATTTTGTAGGTGACCGTTAGCTGGAGAGAGTACAGTGGGAGACTGTTTGACGATTTCAAATGCACTTGACAGATTATTCTGAGGTTCAACTGTCGAGAGATGACTCAACTCACTTCAAATTGTCTTACATTCGTGTTCGGTAGTTCCCGGAAATTACGCGATATGGCTTAGCGTGTCCTGGGCTCGAAAGAGATTACTGGACATGTACATTCAATTTTTGGAGGCACTTTGCAAATAACAACATTCAGAATTTTTTGGGGCTATTATGAAACCAGTCTAGCTCCAGTATTTCGACTTCAAAAGAAAATAGAAAAGCCAGTAAAGCCACGAAGACAAATAGAGGAAGAAATATGAACCATTAAGACGGAGTATTAACGACAGTCTTCAGTCTGAAATAAATGGCATCACCTCGTCCAAACCGGACTCAGAACACGGTTTCGTCGCGGTTTCCTCTCCAGGCATTTTTCTGCTGTTGATAATTATCCCTGTAGCTGGACTCTTCGTCAACATATACGGTGGCCTCCTTTTCGTCACGATAAGTATTGTAGCCTCTCCGACGGTTTCCTTGCTCAAGTAGAGCATAGGTGCTTTCATCCTCTCCGAGAGCCTGCTCTTCGCTATATTGCTGACCACCCTGGTTCTCGTCCCGGTCGTTGATCTGAAAACCATAACTTTCAGTATTGTCCTGTCTTTCTGTATTCCACCGATCTCTGTTGTCCAGGTGAACGTCATTTGTTCGCTCGCCGTTATGGTGAGATCGGTTTTTGCGAAGAGGAGATTCACTTCGCCTTTCTACTCTTCTGTTAATCCCAATGCAAGGGCTGTTGAGTGGGATTTGGTCTCCGTCACAGTGTGAGATTCCGTTTCGAGTCTAGGCCGCTCGAATTTGTAGTCATAAGGCTTTCCATGCCATGGAAATTGAGTTGACTTGAGAACTTTGGGTTTGATGCCTTGGCTAGTACCGGTTGAGTCGTTCTTGAATTTGACGTCTTTGATCTTCATGGAGTCAACTCTTGTGAGGAAGAACACACTCATGTTGTCGACTGTGGCTCCACAATTTCCTCTGATGCCGACCCAGAGACCAGATACAACGTCCATTGGATACTCGGTCTTCCCACCGTGGCCACCGCAGTCAAATGTACGTCCCTTCGAGGTGGTGAATTTGATTCGGCCGAGGTTTGTACCCTTGCCGTTTCCCCAGAGGCTCAGTGATTTCACAGTTTCGGAGGCATCTTCAAATATGAACTCGGAATAGTCGCCCCATTTCCCGGTGCCCATTTTGTTTATGTTCTCGTCATTGGAAAATTTGACAGAGACACCAATGATATCTTTACCAGATGCCCAAACACCGACTCATTCCACTAGGCCGCCAGTTTGAGCAAGAAATTCTACCGTGCCGCCGTCACTTCCGCCAATGACGCCGAGGTTGACAAGAACATTCTTTGGATAGGTAGGCATAATGAACTTTGATGGCAGAGGGACTGTTGATGAAGTCGAGCGATTCCGAAACTTGAAAAGCGATGTCAAAGTAGATGATAACTTTGTATGCTGAGTCTCCTCTGCTTCCCGTAACTGAAAACGCAGAGGGCAAGAGCTACATATATATACTGCCCATCGAGAATTACGAAATACCTCAAATTTGACTTATTGCATTAAACCATAAGTTACCACCTCCCACCTACATTACTTCTCAATCCCATCAGCCGCACTACTCCATGTAGCCGCAGCAATGTCAACGTCGGAAAGAATGGAGAAAAACCGAAAGGAAAATCAAAGAAATTGTTGTTAGATTCTGTTCGTTTCCGCCCAATGAGGCAAGATGGTCTATTAGTCTATGTGGATGCAATATATCAAACCATTATTCCTTGGTATTGAGACGCTCTTCACGCGTTTCTTCCAGTTTCGGTGGCGCTGGCCTCCCAAACAACTTTTCCATTAGGGCATCGGACTCTGCGGCATAGTGACACCGGCTTCGAATGGCCGCGCCGTACTTATAGAACAAGAACGGCAAGGGCACACAAGCAAGCGCCAGGAAAGCAGGAATCGATGAAGCCCAGTGGATGCCCAGGTTCTTGTACATGGGAGTGGTGAACAGGGGAAACGCGGCACCAAATATTGAGCGCAAAGCGGCGTTGGCGGCCAAGACTGACGCAGCGTAGATTGTGTAGGCATCGATCAAGTAGTTTAAAACGGGAAGGAATACCATGACCATTCCAAAACCAAAGGGAACTCCGGCTGTGATCGAAGCCATCCAGTGGATCGAAGGTGAGTTGGTCCAGGCAAACCAGAACAACCCAACGACTAGCGCTATAGCGCCAATAAAGGCCTCGGGGAGTCGGGCTTCGGGAGCAACTCGGCCGGTCGTCGAAAGGACCTTCTTCTTGTATCGGAAGTACATTGGGAACGTCGCGACAACGGAGAATAGGATACCAACCAAAATGCCCATGAAGGCGAGGCCGCTCTTCCCTTCACTCCAACCACGCTCTGTTTGATAGACAATAGGTATGGCTGCAAAAAATAGATACAGACTGTAAAACCATAACGTAAGTTTTTGACTGGGCCTGACGGGGTGATTATGGAGTAATTATGATACTTACATGCCGTAAATGATCGAGAGATAGATCGATAAAAGAAGGACGATGGGCTCACGGAATAGGAGTACCCAGGGCCGAGAGAGAGCAGTTTTCAAAACTGCTCCCAGATGCGTCTTTCCCTTGTCAATCTCGATTTTGCTGCGGTACACTTGCCCGGTGATTGAGGAGAGACGTGCGGCACGCTTGCTCAATAACACCGGGGCATAGGTCTCCGGCAAGGTAAGGACGGTGATAATCGCGAACAATCCAGAAAAGGCAGCAAGGAGTCCCTCCACCCATCGCCAACCAGCATTTTCCGACAAGAAGCCACCGACGATGGGACCCAATGTCGGTCCGAGGAACGGGGCAGCGCAGTACAATCCGCTAGCAAGACCGCGACTGATGGCAGGGAATGTGTCGGCAATAACACCACCCGACACGGCGAATGGCGCGGAACCGAGACACGCAGCGAAGAATCGTAGAATGATCAGTGTCCAGATGTTCTGTGATCCAGCGCTTCCAGCAGTGAAGGCTGTTAGGCCCACAGCACTCGCGATCATCATATATCGACGCCCGTAAATTTCACTTAAGGGCGCCCAGAACAAGGGACCGACGGCGAATCCGATAACGAAGAGCGAAATACCCAGGAGAGCGATTTCCTCGCTGACTTGAAAGTCCACGAGTATTTCTACAATGCCACCCGAGTAGGCAGACGATACCAAGGCCACCGCCAGTGTCTCGATGCCTACCAGAACCATGATAAGCCATTTGGTCACTGCAGAAAACAACATAGGATCACAGGGGTCTTCCTCCACCCAGGATACTTGGTATGGATCCTCCTCGGTGCCGGCGCCATCGTAGTGTTGATCAATGATGTATTGAGAAACACTACCTTGGTCGAAGATTTTGCGCCAGGTCGGAATTCCCTTGGGAACATTTTTCTCGACAGAGGCGACAGTCATGACTGTGATAGAGGCTTGCTTACCTGGCCGGCTCGAAGGAAAGTTGAATCGCGGAAGCCCATAAGGGGCGACAGATCACTCTAAAAGATCACCCTTGCTTCTGTGGACCCGGTGTTTTTCACTATCTCGAGGGAATCCCGATCATTTCCATAATTCGTGCTAAGATTTCTCATGCATGATCTGAGAATGCTGCAACCGGAATGATGATTGGCGGTTTCAGGGGTGAATCGGAGTGGTAGACCCATATTTATCCACTCGAAGGTACGAACTATGGACGATCTACAAGATAGTTCCACTGAATTACGTATAGAACAGAAAGAACACAAACTCAGACTGGATGCAAGGGTTTTGTATTCGCACGATCTGACCCGTCTCATCCCTAGTATATGTTAAACCCGTGGAATCTTTTAGCCATTTAGATCCACGGGTCCAACTATCTAATTAGCAGTCGCTGATCATTGTGTCGCATTGCTAACATGCCTTCCTAATAAGGTATTTCCTGCGCCATTGGAACAGTTCGGACTTCGGGCGCATCTGAGATCCAAGGTCCCAGCCCGACGATCGGGCCCACTCGATCATAATCTCATAGGTGATTGGATTATGGGTAAATAAAGAATGAGATAAAGTTGCGCAATGAGAAGAACGGAGGATATTTCACGGTCGCCTCATGATGACACGAAATGTCCCCCATTATTAGAAGTTACTGGCTGTTATACCTTCAATTGAACCCGTCGTTTTCCACCCGAACCCTGCGAACTGCAACACCACAATGTCTAAATTGATTCTGGCGGTGGCTTCTGCCTCGCTTTTGTGGGTAAGCTTATCAAAGCCTAACTCGAGAAAAGTACCCTTGTGTTTCAGGGCATTACACTCCTCATTTATCGTTTATTCTTTCACCCTTTGGCGAATTACCCAGGCCCTCGCTTAGCAGCTATAAACCAATTGGTATGCCGCTTTTTATGCTTGGAGGGGAGATCTCCACATCCAGAATCGGAAATGGCATGAGAAATACGGTGGGATACGATGTTATTTCTCATAATCTGTCACAAAGGCTGACTATCCGTACAGGAGATATCTGTGCCTTTGTAAATTTTGATCAAGGGAAAGATTTCGCGATGCCGTGAGTAGACACCATGTCCTTGCCTTTCAGGCAGTTGCCGGCAGTTGCCCTCACCCTTTTCCACTTCACTCCCATCCCTCCACTGTTTCCCTCTTGCTTCAAGTCGAAGGCAATTATGTCGAAAAAAGACCAACTGCTAGCTTACACCTATAACATGGTAGACCTAAGCGAGTTCGATAACTCCGAAATCAGACGGGCAGTCCTGCCGCGTATAGAGAGCGACTATAAGCGTACCCTAAGAATCTTTAACAAGTTAGTGTGTAGTTCTCTATAGAATTCCACAGATTAACCATCTTCTAGATTCCTTAAGCTGCATCCCGAAGCCAAAAAAACCTCCCGACCTTAAGACCTAGAAAGACTTCCTTATCTAGGCTGCTAAAGGGAAAAGAGGCCGAATCGAGCCTTTGCCTGCTATAGAAACCGTGTAGGGGTTCCGTAGGGACTTTTAAGCCGGGATGTTATATATACGAGATATCGAATTTTCTAAAGAATTTTCCACTACACTTAGAGAGGTTTGGGGATTCAGACTGGAGCAATCCGAATACTGACGGCCTGATTTTGATCATTCGCAAGAAATAGAGTATTTGAAGAAGTAACCGTGAGTAGCAAACTGTTATGCCATGCCAGTCGCCAAATACCCAAAGGAGGATAGAGCCGAGCATGGCGCAGCCAGAGTGGGGTCTCCCTGCATTAGGAAATATTCGTCCGCCTCCAGCCTCCGCCCGAGGTATAACCCAGAAGAGTGAAGATAGCTCGGTCCCGATACCCCCGACGTCTCGATCAGATCGTGAATACCCCACGGGGACCCCGCATGAATTGAGAAGAAAAAATATTGGCCAAGAACTCCCCAGCTTCCTGGACTTTGCATGGCACCGTCCCTGCATTCAAAACTTCTTATATAGAGCTATGCTCCCGTCGATCGTCAACCATTGTTCAGTCAACTTCCCATCATTTCGATTTTTTACTCAATATCTTACAACATGACTTCACTCAAGTCTAATCATGAGGAAAGTAAAGATTCTCAAGGGGCCAAGACTACTCTCAATGCATTCCACCTCGAAGAAGTCGGTGGCACCGAGGAACTGCTCCATGTCGCTGAGCAGGCGGCCGAGATTCGGTGCAGCCCCTGGACCAAGAGCATGTTCCGGCTGTATGGATGCCTGCTTATCTCCTACTTCTGTGGGTGTCTCAACGGGTTTGATGGCTCCTTGATGGGCGGGCTTAATGCCATGGAATCTTATCAAAATGCGTTTCACACGCAAGTACATATCTTCCTTCGTAATTCACGACAGTGTCTGACTTCATGACAGAGGAACCACAGGATCGCAAGTCGGATTCATCATGGCAGTCTACAACATTGGCTCTGTGGCCGCGATTCCTTTTACAGGCCCAGTTAACGACTATTTTGGCCGACGCGTGGGTATGCTTGCTGGTGCTCTCCTGATTATACTCGGGACATGCATTCAGGCACCCGCACATAATGTTCAGATGTTCATTGGGGGCCGCTTTATCCTCGGGTTCGGAGTGTGTTTTTGTTCCGTCAGTGCGCCATGCTATGTGAGCGAGATGTCTCATCCCAAGTTTCGCGGAATCCACACGGGGTTGTATAACTGCATGTGGTGAGTGACTACTTGATCTATCCAACATCGAATAACTAACGTTGTGAAGGTGGCTCGGCTCCATTATAGCAAGCTGGACAATCTACGGCTGCGCAAAGTGGGACAACCCCTACGCATTCCGAATCCCCATCTGGTGCCAACTCCTCTCCTCTGTAATTGTTGCAACCGGCATCTGGTTCATCCCGGAATCCCCGCGGTGGCTAATCGCAAACGGCAAAATCGAGCAAGCTCGGGCAGTTCTGACTCGATATCACGGCGAAGGCTCAGAGACACATCCAGTCGTGCTCCTGCAAATGGTCGAAATGCAACAAACCATCCGCCAAGACGCCTCGGACAAGAAATGGTGGGATTACAAAGAACTCATCAGCACCCACTCCGCACGTCGTCGGCTTATCTGCGTGCTTGGTATGGCTTGTTTCGGGCAGCTGAGCGGTAATTCAGTCACAGGGTACTACCTCCCTGTGATGATCGCGAATGCGGGGATAACATCTGAAGAAACACAGTTGTTGATTAATGGATTGAACCCTGTGATCTGCTTTATAGCAGCTATTATTGGTGCCCAGTATTGCGATAAAATTGGCCGCAGACCTCTCTTGCTTGTCTCAATTGCTTGCTGCTCTGTCTGCTTCGCTGTTATTGCCGGGACGTCCAAAGCCGCAATTGAAGGAAATCCCCACGCGGCAAATGGCACGATCGTCTTCGTCTTTATCTTCGGTGCGATCTTTTCCTTTGGCTGGACCCCCTTGCAGACGATGTATATCGTTGAGACTCTTACAACCACAACTCGCGCGAAAGGGACAGCAGTGGCCAATCTTGCCTCTGCGGCTAGTAGTGTCGTGATTGGGTATTCCTCTGGCCCAGCATTTGCAGACATCGGTTACTATTTTTACTTGTTTTTCGTCTTTTGGGATATTTTCGAGGGTGTTTTTATTTACTTCTTCTTTGCCGAGACGAAGGACAGGACTTTGGAGGAGATGAATGAGGTTTTTGTAAGTGATTTTGTTTTCATATTCGATATGAGGGCGTGCCTTTACTGACTATTTGATTCCAGGAGGCGAAGGACCCGGTCAAGAAGAGTCTCGAGAAGCGCAACACCGAGACAGTGTTCAATACTGTCCATGCGAATACTACAGAGACGGCATAGGTAGATTTCGCAATATCGCCTCTCGCGCTGTGTCATGAATGTTGTGGTACTTGGTTGTCGTTGCTCAGTTTGTATTGGTTCTGTTTTAAATGCAGAGATAACAACGTGATATACTCCATGTCTCTTTTGTCTCATCGTGCTAGTAGAGGAATGCATAGCCTGTCAGCCCATCGTACACTTTCATTTGGCTCCGTAGACTCAGTCGCATTCATAAGGTTCCGTCTACTCCAATGATATATTATAATGATACTATCATTCCAATAACTACCAAGTGATACACCAGGCAAACAGAAAATAAAGCTAATGGGCTGAAGAAACGCGGCCAGATCAGGCCAGCAGCTACGCACAGGCACATAGAAACAAGGGAAAGGCAAAAACACTCTGGCATTCTCTGGAGAAGGAAACAGCAAACCTCTTATAGTCGGCCAAATTTGAAGAAGAAACTTTAGAAATCAAAACCCTTTCTCCCACGTGAAATCCTACGATTAGATATCTGTGAGAAGCATGAGAAGAATAGGAAGAAAGGGACAGATATCAGCAAGCATTCTGCAAGCCAGAGGAAACAAGGACATCGAGGAGAAATATTTGCACGCCTGCAAAAACAACAGACCTCGAACCTCCGGCCGCAACAATCTCCATAAGACGTTTGGGTCGGACCTAGCGTTATTTGGTCAGGGACTTCCTTTCAGATAGTCCCTCAGAGTCCATCGCCAGGCTTGAGAATATTTGACCATCGCTGTAGATGAATTAGTGACTGGTCTGGAACCTCTTTTGGTATGTGAACTCACAGTATCCCAAGGCCGGCTGGAGTCTACGTAGCGCAGATCCGTTCCTAGGCGGATAACATTCTTCGGGTCATGGTTGATGCACGAAGCATGAATCTGCCGGGAAATCAATATAAACCTCACTTTACTCCATACTCACACCGGACACAATTCTACTCACCGCATAAGGATTATGAAACACCACATCCCCGGCCTCATACGGCGTGAGAAGCCACCTCCTCCCATGCTTCTTCGCATACCGGAGCGGTCCAACATCCAACAACCCACCCGACATCATATTCGCATTATACGCATCCTTCATCTCCTGGTCTGTCATCCCCGCAGCCTTCGCACGCTCCATGAACTCCCTCTCCGTCTGCTCACCAATATCATGCCCCGTCTCCAGATAAATCAACCCACCACCCTCAATACTGATATCCCCAATAGGGACCCAAGCAGTGACAAATGTATCCTCGCCATGCCTCAGAAAGATCTGATCATAGTGCACACCAATCGCCGTATTCTGCGGCATATTGTTCCTCAGCAACGTGCGACGAATACTCAAAGTATTCTCTCCCCACCCCATCAACTTGGCAACAAACTCGTGAATGGCCGGATGATGGCATAGATCCTCCTTATACCAATCTTCATAATGCGCCTCAAGCGCGAGATCATTAAACTGCTTTGCGACTTCGGGGTCTGAACCCGTCATATCGGGTGGGCCAGCGCCCACGCCGGGGAAGTTGAAGCGGTTCTGGGTCATGTCGAATATTCCCTCGACTGGCTTTGTGTTGGGTGCAAGGCATCCTGTGGGTGCAAGCTTTTCGAAGTATTTCTGGCGGACCCGGAGGACATCTTCGCGCGGGAGGACGTTTTTGACGAGAAGGTAGCCGTCTTCTTTGTAGCGGCGCTGCATTTCCGAGACGGGGGTGTCGAGGGTTGTTGGCGTGAGAAGACCGATTGATTCGGGCGGGAGGATGCCATCATTCACGAAGAATTGTTTTTCGCGGAGAGCGATTTCGGATTCTGAGATTGTCGCGGAGACCATTTTGATGAAGTAGTAGATAGGGTCAGGGCAGGGGAACAGTAGCCACAATGTCGTCTTATGCTTTGGACGAAATTGGAAATGCTGTTGAAGACAAAAGTGCACTTTCGTAACGTCGCCTTTGATCGGCTTGATAAGTAGGTGGTTCTTTGGACCTCGGAGGGGTTGGTTCCATATACTATATAGTATTTCCACATTGCTCCAACTCTAGACTGGGTGCATGGACGGTATAACTGTCACTGCAGGTACCCGCTACCCTTCCATTTTATCCCAAACAGGTAAAGAAACTCCGCTCCCAGTCCTGGGCATCCCAACCGCTGCTATATCCGATGCAACTCTGGTATCTCGTCACCGCCAGAGTGAGGCTCGAGCTCCAAAGAAATAATGTCGGGAGAGCTACATTGAAGTTGATGCCAAATCTCGGGTCCGATTTCCCGGAAACAATCACAACACGCCCAGCTACGAAACAACATACGACATACTGTCTCTGCTTTCCACCCTGTACCAGCCATAAATAAAACAATTCTCCTATACTGTATACTATCCCTCCCAAAGGCCCACAAGCTCCGTGCAAATATCCTGCGTCGGCCAGCCATGTACCGCCTCCGTTGTCGCCAACAGCTCCAGCACTCTTTTCCTCTCGCGCGGATCCTCAACCATGTCACCCGCAAGCCATACAGCCATGCAGGCCACCAGTGAGGGTCCCGGAGTTTCAGGTCTACATTGAGCAATCGAACAAAGGAGTTTGATTTTTGAGTGGACCTCTTTCTGAAGATCACATCGTAGGTTAGCTCGAGGCATGAATTCCTTGCAGTGGCGTTCAAAATCCCAAAATGACAAGAGAGAGTGAGGACGAATAAATGAACATACAAGCACATTCTTCCATGCCGAGACCCGATTCAGTCCGACACGAGGTTGGCGGGGATTTTGGATGACCAAGAGAATACCCGCAAGTGAGATATATGCCCACGCACTCGCTAGCGGAGTCCTAGTCAGTCTAGATGAAACAATGAGATGGCACATTCGCGGACAACATGCGCCAAACCCCAGAGTCAGTCTACGTACCGTGCCAGTCCCCATGATACCTTACATCCCAAGATGAATTCGTCTCGTCGTTAGGATCTCTCCGAACATCAAAACAAAGCGGGTCATACGACGCGGGCCGCTCAACTTCCCATCGCATAATTCTCTCACATAAAGTATCATAAAGATCCGCATTCATACTTTCATCCCCGAAGCAGAAATCCAAAACATCCAAACAATGACTAACCGCACTCTCCGCCCACGCACTATCCATTGCCAAAGGCCCAAGATGTGCCAGCATCTCAGCAGAGGCTCTAATAGCAGGCGGGCGATGCCGCTTAATCGACGCATAGATCTCCTGCCGCAATCCCGCCCAAAAGGCGGCACGGCGAAGGCCAGAGACGGACGAGACTTGTGAAGCTTGGGTTTGGAGTAGAGCGCGCGTGCCTATGCTGTGGCGGTATGTTGTTTCTGACCCTGAAAATGGGCCGTCGAGTTCTTCGTGCAGTCTGAGGATTATCGTTGCTGCGAGAAGGTCGTCCACGCGGTCATGGTGGACACTGTCGAGTTCGGGTATAAGAATGCTCAGACAACGTTGGTAGTAATGACTCGCTAGGATAGAGTCCACTTCATTGCCAACAAGGCTCATGTGGCGGGCGGAGAGGGCCAAAATTGCATCCATCAGTGGGGGGTAGAGCCGGGCTCGGACTGGGATTTGGATGGCGAAATGGCGGTCCGGATCGCAGAGGTCGAACTAACGTAAAATCAGTGATTGGCTGGCTCACGGTCTCGGTCACTTGCAACATGCTCACAAATGAGGAGAGGCATCGCGTGAAGTGCTGGAAGAGCAAAACCTCAGTGGCATCTTTGAACGACCAGCGGCGAGTGGGAGGACTGCAAGGCGTTTCTAGAGGTAAATTAGGTGCCGTTTCCAGGGGTAGCAGGGCCGAGCTTGGAGAGGTATGGAATGTCGCCGACGACTCAGCGATTGCAGGGACCGGCTGAATGACTCTCGGAGATCTGCTTGTTTCCAGCGTAGTATCATCCGATGGCGACGGGGTACTCGGCCCCGATGGGGATGGGGAGGGCCAATCATCTTGGGAGGGCTGCCGGCGGCTGTGGTGCGCCTGAACAGTGCGGTCTGTTTCATGGACATATCGATATCGGACTAGTAGCAATGGCATATGTCAATAGATCGACTCCATGGTCTGGCCGAGATGATGAAATACTCTCTCCCGAGATTCTTTGCGGTTTCGGACTAGCAACCTCGACGTGCTGAACAACCTGCTTGAAGCGCAATATTTTCATTGATTTGAGGCAGTCTACCCCAGTTCTCTCGCACAGGCCGCATCGCGGCTGCGCCAAATCACCTAGATGCTGTCAGTGCGAGAACCGTCGACAAAGAGTAATGGGGACGACAGACATTTCCGGTGCAATCGGCGGCATTTGTCACTAGCATCGGTCAGCAAGGGATTCTGCAAGCTAGACAAGGGGGGTGTCCTGCCAGGCAGTCATCTCAACAGTCCGCTTTTGAGGATCTCATAGATTGACTGGCGGGGGCGAACCAACGGACGTGGGAGCGGAATAAGATAACCTGCAACAGATGCGCGGAGAGAGCGGGAAAGCGGGGAGACACTACCTCTTTAACACAGAAACCACATTGGGAAGTTAGTGCCGCTTGATTACTCGTGTAAATGAGGGGTATGGATAGTTGGGCTAATTGTAGTTGGGGAATGACCAGGAAGCTCGGTAAGTAGTGCTTACCTTGTCAGGGAACGGCAGATGTATACAAGGGATAAACATATACATCAACATATAAATAAACATATAGATACTGTCCACAGTCCATAGCGTTACTCAAGACGGTGGACGTCTGAGTGTCGATTGTCTTCTCATCATGTTCTCCCTCTCAATAATATTCGCCCTTCTGGCTGGCGCAACCCAATGCATCTCATGGCCTCATGGCCCATTTCATACGGAGGGCAAGAATATTATCGACGCCACTGGATTGCCATTCACGTACGTCGGGATCAACTGGCCCGGCGAGGGCCAGACTATGATCCCTGAAGGCCTGCAGTACTCCTCTATCGCCGACATCGTGGCCAAGATCAAATCTCTCGACTTCAACTCCGTTCGTATGGGCTGGGCAACAGAGATGGTCGATGACATCCTAGACAATGGCGGCGACGTCAGCATCAAGGATACGATGGTTAAGGCACTTGGGCCGGAGCTGGCTCCAAGCATTATCTGTCAAATTCTCGACCACAATCCCAATTTCACTGAGAATACCACCAGACTCGAGGTCTGGGATGCTGTCGCAGCCGAGCTCCATAAACAAAAACTACACTTGGTTTTCAACAACCACGTTTCCAAGGCTATATGGTGCTGCAGCCCTGATGACGGAAATGGCTGGTTTGGTGACACATACTTCGATGTCGCAAAATGGAAGCGTAGTCTGGCGTACATGGCTAAGTACACGGCAAAGTGGCCAGCTAGGACCGCCCTCTCACTCCGCAATGAGCTTCGCCAAGTCAACGGCCCTGCAAATGACACTTACGGCTGGTCACTATGGTACGATGAGATGATCGACGCAGCGAACATCGTTAATGCCGCCGCCCCAGACGCACTGGTATTCATATCAGGTCTCAACTACGGCCATGAGCTCAACCCCATTACAGCTGGCGAACCCCTCAGGCCTCCAGAAGATAAGAGAGTATTCAATCTGAGCGACTTCCACTACGCAGACAAAATTGGTTTTGAGCTCCACAGCTACGACAACTCAATCGCAAACTGTACTTTCTTCCAATACGAACTCTACCAGCGGGGGTTCAACGCTCTTGATGTGACTCCTCAAACAACCTCACGCAACATCGCTCCAGTCGTACTGACCGAATTTGGTTTCGCACAAAACAGTTCTGATTATCAAGGCGTTTACGCCTCATGTCTGAAGGATTTCCTCACTGGTGACAATCGCGTCTTGAACGCGAGTCGAATCGAGGGACCGATTGGACATTTTGAATGGAACTTGGGTGGCTCGTACTACGTCCGTGAGGGTATCGTGGATCATGATGACTGGTGGGCATTGTTGAACCATGATTGGAGTGATTGGAGGAATCATACTGTGTTGAATGCGTACCAGATTCCGTTGATACGGGAGACGCTGCTATAACGGTGATGCTCAAGCTCCTTAAGGTTTAAGCCTGAAGGTAGGGTTATATGTTGCCTTCATCAAATGCCTGTGCTATACCTAGCCACACAGCTCGACCTTTTGAGGAATCATCTTTCAAAGGTCAAGGTGAGTTCTCAATGGAATTCTGGGCCAGACCCTGCGGATCAAAATTTTAGGGCAGTCCCGTAACGAGGGGGGGTATCGCGCATTTGCTGTAAGCTTATTATCTCAGGATGGTTTGAGAGCGTAGCCCTCTTGTTCTCAGACAGGTTATCGTATTTGGATGGTGCTGAGGGTCAATGTAGCGGTCTTAGTGATTAAGTATGTTCATCAATGCATTTTCTGAAGGGAATCCGGAGGCAATATACAATTTACATAGGGCGGCAATGTCAAAAGGACCCCCTCTTGTTGATATTTGGACCCCCTCTCCACCTGTCTAAGCCTAATTAGGGAAGGCGTAGTATGTGTATTTCACGATGTCTTTTTTTAGTACAGTGACACAGCAAATGTTTTAACACTATTGGACAGACCGTTTTTTAGACCGCTTTTAGACCCCTATCGTAAACGGAAGAGTAAGTCTCTATCGTCTTTCTTTCTAAACGTTTTTGCTTTAGTGAGTGCTTTTTATAGAAGATAAGATTCAACTGTCACGGCGTGGCGTTTAGGGTGCGCACGCGTACAATTGTGCGTACTAAGTAGTATATGTATCGGTCCTAGGCATGTCAGCCTGACGGCTGACATAGTGGTCTTTTGGGCCTAGTTAGTATACGTGTATTGACCTCGGTGCAAGTCTTCACACACGCTACGAGGCCTATTGTCTTCCTCTACGCCCTTTTGTTCATTTTTACTAAGGAAATGCACTATGAAATACACTATGAAATACAATACACTATGAAATACACATACTAAGCCTTCTCCAATTAGGCTTAGACAGGTGGAGAGGGGGTCCGAATATCAACAAGAGGGGGTGCTTTAAACATTGCCCTTTAATATAGCAGAAAATCAAGATAACAACATATATTCGTGACCTTGTCTCGTTTGGTAGATCAGTAGGCCTTGTCTAGAAGATTTCTTGTAATGTGACTCCTAAGTGAGCCTAGAACAGTCGGAGATATCATTCATATAATGAACGAGATAACATCCTAGTCTGCGACCACGCAGCTGTCATCCCGGAACATAGCTGATTATATTTCCAGTCGAATATGAACAAATCGAGGTCGCCTATATCTGGTCAGCCTGTATTCGTTGATCGGTAAACAATGTCACTAACAATACGCGGACCAATCCCTTTTTTGACATCGTTCGGTGCAAACGATTCTAGATCCTGATGCCGATGAAGCTGAATTGAACTTGCATAAGGTCTAGCCCATATTCTAGCGCAACTTTACATTGCCAAACGAAACATGCGTCTGTGAAGCTGTGTGAGGAGAAGCTGGGCGATGGGAAGCATACAAACTGTTTTGGATATCCCGACATCAACTCATTCATCAACAGCGACATGATTCTTGCCTCGCCTAGGCGTAAATTGAATCCAGACAATTAATGCCACAAACATATAAGAAGATATCGCAAGTCGTGCATATAACAAGGAAAGCATCTCCAGCTGCCTAGGACTGTAATTTCGTATTATGCTGTCTGTTAATCCTGATCTGTCGGCTTCTAGAGAACTTGAAAGAACTTTAACTAAAGACTGGCCCGCTCACCGAGTGCTTGAAGCTCTTCCGCCACAGTGTTAGCTGCTTCGATGGCCATGCCATATCCCGCTTGAAATCCTGTTCCTCCAGCACCATAATTGTGAACTAGAACCCCCTGTCGACCCGTTCCATCGACTTGTATCACCTCCTTGGAGACACGCGCTCCTCCCTCACGAGATGGGCGTAGGCCAGAAAATGCAGCTAATATCTGAGTCTCGCTTGAGGCTAGGCTAGGAAGCATAGCCGTCGTTCGAGACAATATTGACTCTGTCTCGTAGCTGAATGTGTCTGCAGTGCTGTTGACATGTTCAGTCAGCGGAAGAAAACATACAAGCAAAGTCGAACTTGACATTTATCGGCGTAGGGGTAATCAGCTTTGCTTACCTGACCCCTTTTTGCATGAAACCACCGAGAATCACGTTACCATTCGAATACGGCCGTGGGATCACGTAAGTTTCGTAATCCTTGCCGTGTCTCATCACATTTTGCTGGATATGCGGGGCTTTCGCAAGGAGGATTTGGCCTCTGGTGGGATAGCATTTGGAGTCCTGGACTCCGTTCAAGTCTCGCGATGCATTACCTGTGCAGTTAAACACCACCTTTGTATCCTTGCTCAGAAAGCCCGAAGTAATGTCCGATACTCTTTTGCGTACAACCCGAACTCCATATTCCTCAGTGAGCTTCCGAAGTAGGTAGCGAATGTGCATAGGCGCGTTGAGCGTTATTGTCGTGAATTCTATACCATACGCAACGCCACTTGGAAGATCTCCTGCAGGTATTTCTTTGAACTTTTCCAGGGTTAGTATAGACAGAATCAAGTGAATGTAGTTGGAGGCATTTATCAAGTTCTTACATTTTTGAGGTACTTGGCCATCGAGTCTATCTTTGCAGGAGATGGCATCTCGTCCCAATACTCGGTTGAAGTGGATTCCTTCACAAATGCGTCTTTGTCATCTTTTGCTGCAAGACTAAGAAGATATGCATACCCCAACTTATCCCACCGCAAGGCATTTGCATCACTTGCAGAAATAGCAGAGAAGTTGGCACCCGCCCTAGTTATTGAGTCAGCGTCGCGAAAGTTCGCACCAGCAAAAGGAATTCACAAACCATGGCGAGGTATAATTTATTGATGTATCGCCCGGAAGGTGCTCTGCAATGATGGTAGTATTTCTGCCGTAGCCCCGTTTTGCGAGGACCAGTGCTACATCGAGCCCAATTACGCCGGCACTTGTAAAGTTGGATATCAACAACCTGAAGTTATCACTCGCTGAGCTCTTACTCACCCGACGACCACAATAGATTCGCTCTTCATTTTGTCAACTTCCTCGCTTGTTTGTTTAATGCAATATTAATGCGTCGACAAGCGAGCTATTTGAATGATATGGAGAATCTTAGGTTTCGGCTAATTCCGCGGGAAATCCCGCGGCGTCTGCCCCAAAATCTCCGCGCCGTGTGGAAATTCCTTTCACAGCGCACAACTAATAATCAGACCATACTCAATGGCATCACTTAATTATTACGTTCTATTATTTGGAGTTTTCCTTATCAGATAATATGCGCTATGCAAACACAGTTACGGCAACGTGATCTAATACTGACCTCTATTGAATGCAACCTATCTCGATGATAAGGGAGTATTAAGATAGATGAGCTAATACTATCATCATTTGATATGTCCCAAGCAATTGTAGAAAATTCTCTTTGGGATGTTCTAGAATATACAAAGTTCAAGTAGGCTAAACTATAAATTGCATGGCGGCATACTAGTATGCATAAGAGACTAAAGAAGATGGGGTATAAAACTTATTCACATACTCGCAAAACCCAAATCATGACGGTTTCTGGCCATATACAATCCGCACCTTCGTATACAAATGGTGCGATGTATCACACAATTCCTTGCGTATCCCTGCCAACAATGCCTCGATCTCAACACGTGACCACCCAAGCATTCTTGTGAATAAAGCGTACGTGTATGGTGGCATGGCTTCAAGCATGTTGACTTGATGGTATCTCCCAAGCTCTTTCAGCTTGGGGTCTTTCGGCCACGGACCTTGTGGCAGCTTTATCTCAGTTAGCAAAGGTAGAGTACCGGTTCCGTCGGACGGAAAACATACCTTGTAGACATCCTCTTTAACATTGATGAACCCTGCCTTGGCTATTCGATCTTTCCAGGTTGATGAAGATGTCATATCTTTGCCAAATAGCTTTGATGATTCGTGCATGTTTTTGATGGCTATCAAAAAATTTGTCGCTTTCAAGTGGCTGCCGTCATCTGAATACGTTGTTGGTTCAAAGCTTGCCATTTCAAGCCATCCATTGGGTTTCAGGTTTTCGAATGCTTGCTCGAAGAGTTTGTCGTGGTCACGAACTGAGCCTTCCAATTCGCGCCCATGAACATAGTCGAATGGCTGGCTGTATGACCATGGTTGTTCGAAGTCATCTATTTCGAAACGACAATTTGGAGGTACCCTAGAAGTAAGTCAATATCACATAATAAATAGATGCAACAGCTGTGGTACATACCACGATGGTTGGATAGGGCTCAAATCAATTCCTGTCCCAATTAGTCATAGTTCGACTAGGAATCATTTTGATGGTCATACCGATCACTTCTGACTCTGGGTTTGCGCTATACTGATTGTCAGTGGCATGACTTAAGCAGGATGAAGACCCGCGACTCACTCCGCGTAGTCAATAGCCCATATCCCTGTCCCTGTCCCAAGATCTAATACTCTTTTGGGATCTTTGACTGGTGCACGAAGTAGTTCTCCTTTTAGAAGCATTAAATAAATATGATGGCTCTGTTTCTTGTTAAAATTTGGCCTAGCGGTATTAAATCTGGGACAACTCACTAGATCGAGGCGATCTTGTTCTTGTTCGTCATTTGGCTAGCATGGGAATTAGAATCAAGACAGGTTTAGAAAGGTAGTGGGCTCACATGCCAGAATATATTCTCCTTCGTGGAAAGAGTGATACCTGCGACCATTCTGTATACACTCAGCGTGGGTTATGGTCAGGCTGTGACAGGACATACCTCATATCTACATTTATTAGCAGCCATTCGGCATAATAATGAGCTAGAAACACCTACTGGTAGTTCAACGCACTTGATGTGATGCTTGTGGTATAACTGGCCTCGCCAAGCCTGTCCGAGTCAGTTATCCTCATGCACAATCACTAGGTAATGTTACTTCACTTACGACCCTGGATATAATGAATCTCCATCGGAGTTGGACTAGGCATGTTAGTTATTTAAGGGAAAGCAGGAAGCCAAAAAAAAAAAATTCTCAAAAGGATTGATATTGTGCGACTAACATCCGGCTCGATGGGAGTCAACCCTTGGTGTGTGTCTCGATACATCGGCAGCACACTTGCGATCTATGAGCAGCACCACACACGAAGAAAGGGGCGCGTGGGAGCGATAAGAGAGACGGAGAGTGTGAGAACAGAAGACGACTCAACCACCACACCGACTGGAGTTTTACGACCCCTCCGGCTTCAAGACAGCAGTTAGCGTACCGGAATGCCGGGTCCAGCACTGGATCATTGCACCGTCAGCCCATACATGTAAGTGCTTCGGGCTCTGGGAAGGCGATGGGGTACCGCTTCCTTGGTTTTTTTAAACAATACTCTCGGGTAGGCAAATTTAGGGGGTTAGAGCACTCTTAGCGCGTTGATCGCTGAGAATTGATTAGTCGACAGCTGTGTGATGACCTCGGGATCCGCAAGGCCAAAAGGGGGCCCTTCCTCAGCCAATTTCTGGTGACGCGGAAAGCTGTGGTAAAGCGCATTTGTACGTGCGGGGCGTGAATTACCTCTCCTGCAGAGTCGTATCCGTGCATATATGTTTCCTGTATGAGATATGAGATTCTCCGGGCGCAAGGTGCCTATAAGCACCATAAGCAGCTCAGTAAGGGGGCAGAGACCCAGGGAGATCCATCCACTTGGTGCATGTATCTCGGGAAAAATCGTCTAAATTTGGTGGGGATCGGTTGAGACAGTCAGTCCCGACAGTCTGGTCCCTCGCCACCAAGATGAACAATCAAATTCCGCTCACCGTATTGTACTTCAACTCCTTTATTAGTGGGACTTTGACCCTTGAGGCCACGAAACCCTGGCTATTTGACCGAGATAAGGCGTTGTGATGAACGGATGGGCTAAACAAAAGTTCTAGGCGGGACCCGCCAGTTTGGGACCAGTCTTGGCCGTTTTGATCTATCACGCGCTAAATGTTTAGGACTTGTGTAATTTTATACATGTACATTTTTCATAGGGCTCAGTGGTATCTACAGAGACCTTTCTTTTTGGCAGGTTCTCCATGCTCATATAAAGTACCGATTTTAGTCGGGGTGAAAATTAACTAATATTATCGGAAAAAGCAAAAACAACGGCAACGTGTGCCGACCGAAGGATGTCCTCGGCCCCAACGGATTTCCCATTTGCGCGCAGGTGGGCTGTTGGCCATTTAGCACTTTTTAGGTCACTCCTTAGTGAACATGTTAGCTTCATCGGAATAGTTGGCCTGGTTTAACACCCTAATGGATCACGAAAGGCGCTTGTGAAATAAAGATAATCAAGAGATACAGCAGGTGCATTGGAACGAAGTGGTTCGTTGGATGATGGCCTAACTAATACAAAATTGGTATCAAGTTCACAACGCTACATAATATCATAAGCATCAAGTCCGTAGATTCATATCTCAGGAGAAGAACAATTCATCATCCTTGTTCACTTCACCAGCTTCGTAGCTTGGAGGGGGGAAATTGGGGGTATCTTCATGATCTGGACTTGTGCCATCATCGCCATCATACTGCGTCACAATAATCGTGGGTATAGCTCTCTCTGTTTGAAGTTGCCAAATGGTGGCCGGGCATGGAAGCTCGATGGTAGAGACCACCGTTGTCTGACAAGACAACTCGGCGGCCACGGCAACAACAGGTGGAGATTCAAGTGTTATAACAGCTGCCTCCTCTTTCTTCTCGGTGGCTGCGAGCTCGGATCTTGGTGATATCGTTTTGAGATGGCCAAAGACGGTTTCGAGCCTTTCGTAGCAGAAAGTCATGCGAGTCTCTTTCTTAAGGGCATTTTGACAGTCGCGACGCTTCCAGTTTTTGCGCTCTTTTAGTGTAAGACCGCCAATTTTGCTGCTCTGACGCCACAGTGGATCTACAAATGAGGAAAGATCGTTGGCGGCAGATTCAGCCTCGGCGATGGTAGAATTAATCCATTCGCCTTCAATTTCGCCCAATGCATGCAGCTTTTCATTTCGCAACTCTGCTGTCTGTTTCACAACACATTTGATCCGGCCGGATGCCTCCCATAGTCCCGCGATATGCTCTTCTGGTGATAAGGTTGGTTCTGCGATGGTGGGTCGATTCGAGGACTTGACAACTGCTGAGGGCGACTCGAGGTCGGGGCTTGAAGAAGAGCTCTCTGATGACGAGGAGCTGATTGATTGCGAGTAGTATCTTGATGTTAGGGGTTGAGAAGACCGCGGCGAGTTCGATTGAGATCGTGGTGATGGTGATGAATCTTGTTTGTCTATTTGGCCTTGTCGTACTGTGTCCTTCTTCGTTGAGTTTTGGATACGAGCAGCCATGTGGAGTCTGTCTGCAGATTCATTCCATCTCGTCGCCGACCGGTATAGGATCCCTTTGACCGATTGCTGACACCGATCCTTTGAACAGTACCACTTATCCGCTGATTTATGCCATATCTCCATTGTTGATTGATGACACCGGTCTTTTGATTCATACCACACGCCTGACGAGCGGTTGATGAGATTTGTTTTTGATTGTTGCCATTTCATGGTGGACTGCTGCTGCCTTGGCTCAACTGGTCGGTTTGCAAAATCTGTCGAGCCCATCTTGAAATAGAAAGGGCCTGGTTTTTGAGGCGAACTGTCTCAATCTCAATGTCTCGAAAATGTGCTGGATGGGAGCAAATAAAAATCCCGAAGGTGACAGTGAGTAAGAATGAGATGGAAATTCGAGAAGTAAGGCACAACTATATAAGTTGGGATTCGCAATATTTTAGGCCCCAATTTTTGAATTTGATATTCCACAGGGCTTAGCCACGAAGCTTGCTGCTTCTTTGTGGCCGTTTACCGTAACCACGTTGCTAACAGGCTGATCATGGCGGCATTGGAAGGGTGGAAGGCTGTGTGCTGACAGGCCGCAGCATTGTTGGTTGCATATGATTGGCCTTTCCGTATATCCTTTAGGCGCTACGCTAAATTTGGCTGTGGGGTTGGGGGCCAAACTGCCCACGAGGCTTTGCTGCGCCAAAAATTGCACTTTGTCCAACTCAAACCTTTTGAAGCAACTTCGCGAACTGGGTTGTGTGAGGTTCTAATTTTGAATGTCGTGCTTGTGGATAACCCTCACCCGCCGGGCCTCAACCACGAATATGGAAAATGACTACCTATTTCGCTTCTTTCTTTTCTTGTCAGACACTGGAGCCAAACTTTCTTATTAAAGCTTCAAAATTTTGTCTGTGGGCATGTCAGTGTGCAGATGTTCCAGGATGGGAGTATACCTCAACCTTGCGCCTTGTTCACAGCCCACTCCAACCCTATAGAGCACATATTACAACTCACAACTTGCCAAGAGAACAGACTCGCCCGTTTAATCTGCGAGAGGGGTATCGAATTCACACGTGACTTTCGGAAAGTTTGTTCCTAGAAAGTTTCGTCATTTCCTCGGATATACTACGGCGGGCGCGATTGATGGAAATTCCTCACGGCACTTGGCTTGTGGAAACAGCCTCAACTTAGTCCAAAATGAGGACAATTCCGGCGGGATAGCCCCATAGTATGATTTTCCGCATAGAATTGAATTAACATGCAATATTCCACTGTACCAGACTATAAAAGCAGCGTTATGGTGCTGCTACGACCTGGCATACCAATTAACTCGCAAGTACAATTGGCCAACAATGAAGATTCCACAGATCCTTGCGTTTGCTGCTGCTGCTACAGCAGTCAGTATTCCACGCTCTGAGAGCTCACCTTCCCCAGTCACAAACGTAACTATCTTTACACCACCCTCCGACTACAACATCCCACGTACGCTCTACCCCCGCAATGAGCAACTTCCCAATGGTGATATTCTTGCAACATGGGAGAACTATTCCCCAGAGCCGCCGCTGGTCTACTTCCCTATCTACCGCTCTAAGGATCACGGAAAGACTTGGACGGAGATTTCCAAGGTCCAGGATACTGCGAACGGATTTGGACTGCGTTACCAGCCGTTCCTATATTACCTTCCGGAGCGAGTTGGTTCATTCAAGAAAGGCACCCTGCTGCTAGCAGGTAGTAGTATCCCCACAGATCTCTCGTCTACCAACATTGATTTGTACGCATCGAATGACGATGGCGTGACATGGAAGTTTGTCAGCCACATTGCGGCCGGAGGAGAGGCAGAGCCGGTGAATGGATTGACCCCTGTGTGGGAGCCGTTCCTCCTTGCTCAGTGAGTTTCACAATGCTGTGATTGGACTGTGGATATCTAGCTAACTGTTTTATAGCCAGGGCAAGTTGATCTGCTATTACTCCGATCAGCGAGACAACGCAACATACGGACAAAAGATGGTTCACCAGGTCTCTACTGATTTGAAGAAATGGGGACCTGTTGTAGACGATGTGTAAGGGCACACTCTCCGATTGTTATAAAACTATCGCTGACGGTTATGTAGTGCGGAATCGACTTACACTGATCGACCAGGAATGCCAGTTGTGACCAAGGTATGTTCATTTCTACCGCATTCAACAATACAACCAGTTCTATATTCAATGAAACTGACCACTGCAGCTCCCGAACGGCAAATACTTCTACATCTACGAATACGGCTCCTTCTTCGGCACTTCAAGCTACTCCTTCCCTCTTTACTACAAGATCTCATCCAACCCTGAAGACTTCCTCTCAATCGAGGGCCAGCGCCTTGTCGTCTCCAGTGGCACTAAGCCGACGTCCTCACCATACATCGTGTGGACAAAATATGGCGGCAAGAACGGCACCCTCATTGCCAGCTCCGGTACCCAGAGTTCTCTATTTATTAACAAGGCTCTGGGTGAAGGCGAATGGACTGAAATTGCGTCGCCTGAGGAGCATGGTTACACGAGGGCGTTGCGTGTCCTTGAAGAGGATGGCGGTCGCTACCTGATGGTGCATTCGGCAGGCGTGTTGTCTGGCACTGCTAACCGGGTCTCGGAGAGCATTATCGATCTAAAGAAGGTCTTATAACTTTCCCCAAAAGGCTCGCGACTTATTGTGAAAATGACGCCCTGAGCACTGAAGCTGTCAAAAGGAGTTTCTGTATGTCGTGGATTGGCTACGAGGGAAATGATCCAAGCAGCAAGACTTGGGTGTAATCTTATGTTCTACTCAAGTCCTTGATAGATTTCGTGGGTCTGTTATGAGAAGCATAATATAATGGTCTCGAATTATGTGTACCTTGGTATATAATCTAAACGTAAAACAAAGTGTGCCAGCCTTCTAACCTCAGTCAAGCCCAATGTGGAGTAAAATGCTCAAAAGTTCAACGCGATAACCCATATATCGCAATCAAATTTTTCCACTATGGGCACATCAACCCAATAAACTCTTCCATTTCACGCTTTACCCGAAATAATACAACAATCCGAGCCCGAAACTGAGCCTTGTGGGGGCGAAACCGCTCTCAATTGCTACTTCGCTTTGCTTCTTTGCCGATACCGAAGCTCTTGCTTAGACTTAAACTCGCATGTTCAGACAGAATCAAAATGCCACCTCGTCTGACCCACCGAAAATCAACAACTGGGTGTCTTCGGTGCAAAGCGCGGAAGGTCAAGGCAAGCTTTAGTTCCCCCTGGTATCATCACATCCACACTCACAGTCTCTAGTGCGATGAACTACGCCCAATTTGCGGTCATTGTGGACGTCACTCGGTGGCATGTGAATGGCCATCATTGACACCTCGCATATATAATGCAAATAAGCCTACGTCAAAGGCAATCTCAAGGCGTGACGCTCAGGCCAACCCAAACCCCGGCCTGCCATCCCCAGAGCTTGGGGGCGATGCGCATCCTTGAGATGCGCCTGATTCATCAATGGGTCACAGAAACATGTAACACGATGATTCCGCTCAGGTGGAATCAGTCCGCAAAATGTGGGGTGTGTCAGTGCCACAGCTGGCATTCGAATATGAGCCACTTCTGCACGCTTTATTAGCTTTGGGCGCAGCCCATCGAGCTACTTTATTACCGCAAGAAGTCAGCTCGCTTCGCCCAGTCTATCATGGATACTTTGATTCTGCTATCCGCCGACACCGCCCTGTGACAGCAAATCTGGATAAGAACGTCACTGAAGCAGTCTGCATGAATACTGTGCTCCTTCATATACGCCCTCTTCCTCCGGTCGGAGCCCGGCGGCACCATATGATACCCCAGTTATGTGGCTAACTTTGGCCCATGGCATCCGAACAGTACTAAAGATCGTCTATGATCAGCTGATCACAAATAATTCGCCCCTATGCCCCTTGCTTCTAGCCCAGCCCGCAATCTGGAAGAGTGCCGATCGCACCCAGCGGGTCTACAATGGACCTATGAAGCCATTACAGTTCCTGCTTCACTACCGCCAAGAAGATGACCGCATGGACAGTGCAGCATTCGCTGTTTATGAAGAGGGCGTCGCATATTTGGAAAGGTTCTACATTGATGTACAAAAAGGGCAGCCCGATCATGTACTCCGGCGCATGTTCAGTGGCTTCCCTCCGGTCGTTCCTCGGACCTTCATTGGTTTTGTTGCTGAGAGAAGGCCGCCTGCACTGGTTATCTTGGCTTATCTTTGTGCCCTGGTCAAGGAATTTGAGGATATATGCTGGCTTCCTGGGATCCCTGAGCGAGAGGTACAAGGCATTAGTAGTATCATCCCTGTTTAGTGGAAGTGCATGATGATTTGGCCTCTACACGTTATATCTACAGGGATGGCATATGGCGAGGAGGTGTCAATACCTATGACCAATGTGCTTGTATCATGAAAATTCCCTTGCTCACAGCGAAAGTTGATTTGTATATAGACTTGTCTTTTCAGTGTGATAGTAATCCAAGAATATAGACCATTATGTCAGGCAAGTCCCTCTCAACAATAATTGGGTAGTCCATTTCATAGATTCCAATTAAACAACGTTTCCCCAGTATAAAGAAATAAATTTTAAGGCGTTCTAAGGCCTCCCATTTTACCTAGAGTAAATGGGCCTGATGACTCAATTGCTGCATAAACCTCATTTCGTGACCACTAAGCATTCACGGGTATGAATTCCGTCAAAATCAACAAATCTCAAGTATGTAACATTAGGGATGAGTCGGGTCGAGTCACGGTGAGTCAAGGGTCTCGGCCCGTCTTGTTTAGGCACCAGCGATCTCCCGCCTCCACCTTGACCCTTTCCCGTTCACTTAAGCCTCACGTTAGCTCCTGGGTGGCTTTCAAGGTTTTATCTCTCTCATTCCATTATGTTGGATCATCCCTGCTCAGCGGCCGTAGAGGATGTCTTCGGCCCAACTGTAGCTCCGTCTTGTCTTCATGGCTTCGATTTCACCCTCCTGTTCGAGGAAAGCATCCTCACTCTTGTCCCAATTGGCCTTGTTTGTTTGGCCGCGTCTTTTCGCGCTTGGAAGCTCCGTCATGCGTCTGAAAAGGTCAATCGGTCATGGCTGTACGCTGCGAAGGAGGTGCGTAACCGATGTAGTTTCATCCCACATTCCGTACGCTAACAAACCCTGCGTAGCTGTCTTGGCTGTTCTACACCGCGTGCCATGTTTCGTTGCTGATCATTTTATTTCAACTGGATACTCCCAAAACGAGAGCGACCATAGGCACAACACTTGTGACCGTGCTCACTTCTCTCTTTTTGCTTTTCTTCTCTCATCTTGAGCACCTTCGCTCAATACGGCCATCAACAATCCTCAATGTCTTCCTCGGCTTTACCTTGCTATTTGACCTTGCACGCCTCCGTACTCTTTATTTCATGTCCAACCAAACTGTGACTAGTTTGTTTGCTGTCAGCTGGGTGATCAAAGCAATCATTTTGGTTTTCGAAGCGACAGAAAAAAGACAGTTGCTCAAGAAGGCATATGAAAACAGCCCGATCGAATCAACCAGTGGTGTTATTAATCGAGCGCTATTCTGGTGGCTGAGAGACCTCCTTTGGCGAGGGTCAAAGACCACTTTAACAGTGGATAGCTTACCCTCTCTAGACGATGACCTCAAGAATGCCTCGAATTCTCAATCCCTCTTTGAAAGATGGGATAAAGGTGAGATTTGGATTGCATCCGGTAGCCCAAAAAGCCAAAGTATTGACATGATCTTTTAGCCGACAAATACCGTTCAAACGCACTTCTGTGGACCTTTGTCTCACATTACAAATGGGCGTTCCTGGAAGGTGTTATTCCTCGGCTTGCGTATACAGGATTTTGCTTCGCGCAGCCTTTCCTCGTGGAGCGCGTCCTTGATTTTATGACTGAACCGGAGCATGTCAACTCAACCAACTACGCATATGGGCTCATCGGCGCCTATGCTATTGTGTACATCGGCATCGCAGTATGCAGTTTCCTGAAAATACACGGGCCCTCGCTGATAATATTATCTAGGTATCATATGCTGCCTATGAACACAAAACCTTCCGTGTTATCACTATGGTCCGGGGAAGCTTGGTAACAATGATCTTCGAGAAAACACTGCGGATGAGCACATCTGCTGTTTCAGATGCCGCGGCTATTACCTTGATGAGCACTGACATTGAGCGCATTGGATTTGGCCTAGTAGATATGCATGAGACATACTCAAACATCACAGAGGTCGCATTGGCTTTGTGGTTGCTGGCAAGACTCTTGAACATTGCAACAATCGCATCTACGGTGGTAGTTGTCAGTAAGTGGATTACCACTCCTTTCTTGGGCAATTTAGACTAACTCAATTCCTAACAGTATGTCTCATTGCTGGTATCCCTTTGGCGGTGGTTTCAGGTAATGCGCAGGGAACATGGCTTGAAGCTGTCGAAGAGCGCGTGGCGGTCACCTCAAAGGTCCTCGGGGTAATGAAGAACATCAAGATGACAGGCCTTACAGAGACCATCTCCAGAAGCCTTCGAGATCTGCGAGCTGCGGAAATTGAGGCTTCATTTATGTTCCGACTCCTTGGAGTTATAAGGCTCACACTTGGTATGCGCCCGCTTCTACTACAAGTATTTACGTGCTAACGTTTCAGGCTATGCCTCTACTACCCTGGCGCCCGTGTTTGGCTTTGGTGCCTACATACTACTTGCCCAGGCCAACGACACAGCTACTCTAACCAACGGCGTGGCGTTTTCTGCACTGACTCTATTTGCTTTATTGGATCAACCAATGGTCTCTATCGTGGATGGCTCGGAGGACTTTATGGCAGTTGTCAATTGTTTCCAGCGGATTCAAAAACATTTGCTAGAGACAGAAAGAAATGACTACCGATTAAAGCACAGATCATATCAACACAGCGCGCCCCCTCTGATCGAAGTTGATTCCTTGGCCCAGAGCCAGAGCAATGAACCTTGCGCTATCATCCGAAACTTGTCTGCAGCCTGGTCAATTGACGATGAGCCCGTGTTGAAAGACTTGAACATTGACATCCAAGCCTCAAAGATTACAATGATTGTTGGGCCAGTCGGATGCGGAAAATCCACTTTCTTGAAAACCCTCATGGGAGAGATCCCAGAATGCTCTGGCTCAATTTCGACCAGCTTCACCAATGCTGCATATTGTAACCAATCACCATGGATTACATTCGGAACTCTCCAGGAAAATATTGTTGGGGCATCACCATGGGACCGAACTCGGTACGACCAGGTTATTCAGTCCTGCGCTTTGCAGGTCGACCTTCAACAGCTTCCTATGGGTGATCAGACCAAAGTTGGTGTTCGTGGATCTCGACTGAGTGGTGGGCAACAAATGCGTGTCGTATGTTTTCCATTCATATATTTCTATGAGCATCGAGTAACACAGCTTGTCTAGGCACTTGCACGGGCGCTCTATTCAAATGCGCCGATTCTCATTTTGGATGATGTTTTAACGGGTTTGGATCGTGAGACGGAGAAAAATATTCTGGAGATCGTCTTTTCTCAACATGGTTCTATCAAGCAGTCCCATCAAACAGTAATTATGGCGACCAATTCGGGTAGGGTCTTTCTTTTTTATGCGTGAAGGAGGTTAATCTAATACTTTCACAGCTCATCATCTCGCCTATGCGGACCATATCATCGCTCTCGATGAGAATGGAAGACTTCTCGAGCATGGGTCTTATAGCGAGCTCGTCAGCGCCCAGGGCTATGTCAGTACCCTGTCTGAAAGTTCTCACACAGCCAGCACCACCCGAGCCCCGGATATCGTGCTCGATGACGAAACCCTCCAAGGGTTAGACTTAGACGATGAGAGCAAAGAGGATTCAAGTCGAAGAACAGGCGATTTGACTGTCTATCTATATTATTTCGAAAACATAGGTTGGCCACTTCTGTCACTGTTCCTTATATGCTGTCTCCTATTCGTCCTGGGTCTCAGCTTTCCACGTCAGTTCTGCAAATTATCTAGCTCGATGATATTCGTTTACCGCTAACTTCAATTATAGAGATATGGCTGCAGTGGTGGACTCGTGCGAATGAGCAACACCCAAATGCACATGTTTGGTATTGGCTAAGTGTGTATGCTGCACTTGGCTTTTTCTCGCTTTTGACTACTTTCCTTGGCACATGGTATATTGATCAACTTTTTCATTGTGTTGGCATGTTTAACGTTGTATAGGATTCTCACCATGATTATTCAGCCCAAGACAGCTCGCCGGTTCCATGAGATTCTTCTTCGTACAACAATGGGGTAAGAGTGCATCGACTCTGCCGAGTCTCCGTTATTGACAGTTTATCCAGAGCAACAACTTCATTCTTAACCTCGACGGATATTGGAAATACCACAAACAGGTCAGAATGCTATTTTGAAAACGGTTATTACCCTGCTAATGTAGATTCAATGCAGATTCAGCCAAGACCTTGAATTGATTGACGAAGAGTTGCCTGAAACTCTGGAGCTCACAGTCAATACCGCTCTCTGCTGTATTATCGAAGGATTCCTTGTCTTTGTTGGATCATCTTACGTCACAGCGGCGCTGATCCCATTTTGCGTCCTGGTAGTTTACTACGTGGCAAAGTTCTACGTCAAGACCTCTCGTCAGCTGCGGCTCTTGGGAATTGAATCAAAGGCACCCCTTTTCTCCCAGTTCCTGGAGGTCCTGGGTGGACTCTCAAGCATTCGAGCCTATGGCTGGAGCAAGGAGTACCAGCGCCGCAATTTGATTGCTTTGGATGCCTCGCAGCGCCCTTCATACATGCTATATTGCATCCAGCGCTGGATAGGTCTTGTTTTGGACCTGGTAGTGGCATTCATCGCCGTTGCTGTCATTTCAGTTGCAATTTCTATGAGAGGAAGCCCGTCCATGAACCTGTTGGGCATTGCACTCTTCAACATCGTCAATTTCAGTGGTACTTTGCAGACATTTGTGACACGCTGGATTGGACTGGAAACCTCCATTGGTGCTGTCTCTAGAATTCGCTCCTATGTGCAACATGCCACAACTGAGGATTTGGATGCTGAATCAGAGGCGCTTCCTGAAGACTGGCCTCGACAAGGTAGTGTTGAACTTTCTGGCCTTTCAGCCTCCTATGAGTAAGTACCTCGATATATCTGCCGGCATTTTTGTCTCATACTGATAACCTCTTAGTGCTTTCTCGGATCCAGTACTCAAAGACATCAGTCTTAACATCCTTCCTGGTGAAAAGGTAGCTCTGTGTGGTAGGACTGGAAGGTTTGTACACCTTGAAACAGACAAATCTGGACCATTGAATAACAATACTGACGTCTGATTAGTGGCAAATCATCCCTTGTTTCAGCACTCCTGCGGATACTTGAGCTCAGCAAAGGCACCATTCGCATAGATGGTATAGACATTTCAAAAGTTTCAAGATCCCACGTGCGATCTAGAATCAACATCATCCCCCAGCAGCCATTCTTCCTCCATGGCAGCGTTCGGCTAAACGCCAATCCTGAGTCCAGTGTGGATGACGAACAGATCATTGATTCTCTTCAAGCGGTCAATTTATGGTCCTACATTAAGTCAAAAGGCGGCTTAGATATCGACATGTCCGATGATCTTCTTTCCCACGGACAGCAGCAACTCTTCTGTCTTGCGCGCGCACTGTGCAAGTCAAGCAGTATTGTCATTATGGATGAGGCAACTAGCAGGTATGTCCAAGAAGCAGAATAACGCTGCTGTACCTATTACTAATTCATCCACTAGTGTGGATTCGGAGACAGACACACTAATGCAAACGGTCATTCGGTCTCACTTCAAGGGCCAGACTCTTATTGCTATTGCGCACAAACTGCATACAATTTTGGATTTTGACAAGGTTGCTCTCATAGAAAAGGGTCAGGTTGTGGAATTTGATACACCGCAGGCTCTTCTATCAAGGGAAGGTTCGGCGTTCAGGGCTTTGTTTAATAGCTTTCATAAGGGCTCCAAGGAATAGCCAGGGTGTACATAGTATATACAGACTTTCAGGTCACTGTTACTCGCTCTGTGGCAGAAATGGCGTGTCTTAAAGCAATTCTAATGCTAAGATACAATGGATATTGATCTTCCTCTTATTTGATATGGGCAACCCTTTATGTAGAAAAATGATGATTTCTTCAAGTTCAAACTGTAAGCACAACCTTCCCCCGACCCTCAAATCTCCCATTAGCAAAATCATAAGCCTCCCTAACGGACTCAATAGGAAAGGTAGCAGCAACGAAAGAGCGCAAGGCACCAGACTCAGCCAAAACAGCCAACGCACTCAAAACCTCCCCTCCCCCCTCAACAATAAAGAACAACGCGTTAACACCCTCCTTCCCGTCACACAATCCACGCTTCTGATGCTCAGCAACGAAATCAAAACTCGCAGAATCAACCGAAATCAACACCCCATCTCCCTTAATGAACCCCCAGCACTTAGAAAGCACCTCACCACCCACACAGTCAACAATAACATCAAACACACCATTCTCACCCTCAAGATCCCCATATTCAACAACCTCATCAGCCCCCAACCCACGCAGGAACTCTCCATTCCGCACATTCGAACTACTAGCCGCAACGACATGCACACCAGCACTAGCAGCAAGCTGTACCAGATAAATCCCCACACCACCGGAAGCCCCGGTAATCAACACACGCTTAGAAGACGTATTTCTTTCCTTCTCAGATCCAAAAGTCGGCACAGAAATACCCGCATGCCGGAAAAGCGCCTCATAAGCCGTCAACGCACTAAGCGGCAAAGCAGCCGCCTCCTCCCATCCCAACACACGCGGTTTGCGCGCAACCTCATCAACAGAGACAATGGCGTATTCAGCCCATGTCGAGGCACGGTTTGTGTTTGCCATGCCGAAGACTTCGTCTCCGATTTTGAAATTGTGGGGTGGGGAAGGAGATGAGGATGTACTGCCGTCACTTTCGAAAACGGCTGCCACTGTACCTGAGAAATCGTGGCCCGGGATTGTATATTGTTGGTGGTAATATTCGGGCCAGGTGAGCATGTCTCTTATTATTGTTGTTGCTTTTATTTTGATTAGGAGGTCGGTTGGGGATTTAGGTTTCGGGATTGGGATTTTGTCGTTTGTTAAGGATTTTGATGGGGCCGGGTTTGTTGGGGAGTAGGGGGGTTCGGTTTTTGGTGCTGGGTTTATGCGGATGGCTTGCATTTTGGAGGATTTGGTCTTTTGTTTGGACTGGGTGGTGGATATGGGGTGGGGAGTGGACTTTATAGTTGGAGGTGAGGTTGGGTTTGGTTGATAGGCTATCTGGTGGAGAGGTGGAGAGGTGGAGACTCGGGGTCTGGCGGGTATAGCCGTGAATTGCATCATTGATCACGGCATCGGGATCTATAAGAACTGCGACGGGAAGATATTGTTGAGCATCTAGCCTGCATCATTGAGAATAGGGCGTTACCAACCAGTTCATGAAATGGAAAGTTGGTATTAATGAAGGTAACTTATGCCTCCATCTTTACACGATTTTTGACTTTCACTGGATACGACTAATAACCTATGTGCAGAAGCAAACAGAGATCGAGATGCCACGGTGTAGTGTACTATTGAAAATTTGTCTCTTGGGAATTCAGATATTCGTTGTAAAGCTCAGCTCTTCCTACAGGATGATGTCCACAATCGCAACAGTGAAGGCCTTCTAAGCCTTCTGGGGTTGACCGTGTCCATCTGGATCGAGGATCCACGCTAATTCTGATATTTCAGTGTGGTCACGCGTGGTCTTCATCCGGTGACACCATGTTATCCGTTTTTCTTCTCCTTTCAGTTCGAAGAGAAACTCCCCACCGTTCTGCCTGTGATCACCCCCCTTCGTCGCCAGTCCGCTGGGAATCTTTTTCATAGCCTGCATAAGTGACCCAGCGACGATATGCATCAGGCTCTTGCGGATGTACTCTGGACGTGGTCCGAGGGCTGTAGAAGTGACCAATCTCAGATCCTCATACAGTCTGCGTGTCGGATCGGAGAAAATAGGGAATGGACACCCCGTTTCGGCTACATAGGCATCAATCAAGCCTGGGTCGCCGCAGCCGACAATGACGATGGACGTGTGGACCGACAGATGCGACAAGAAATCAGGTTTTATGGTCTCCGAAAGGGCGCGAATGTATTCTTGGCAGCTCTTTCGTGGTGAACGATGTTAATGAAATTGTACCTCAGCAATCGCTTTGCGGTCTTCTTCGAGAAAATTTGGCAGGACAGAATGACCAGCTAGCCGAGTGAATAACAATTAGATATTAAAAAAGCTTACCCCACAGAAGAAATGCCTAACGAAGATAACTAGCACACGGCAAGCCGCATCGGGTCCACTGTAGAGGCTCTTGAATGGATGCGTCTTGCCATTACGATCAAGCACCGTGTGGTTCTCAACCTTACGTTGAATACCCATCGATGGCAGCTCGTCGTTGGTGGAATTCACGTGGTCGGGCGCTGACAATCGATTGACATTACCACTGGTATTATCATTTGAGGCTGCTGTAGTCTCTAGGGCAGGAACCGCATTTCCTTCGCTCGCCATCACGTTGTGAAATTCCAATAATCCTGATGTAAAGAGATTTGGGTGAGAGATGTCTCGCAAGATTGAAACTTGATAAGCAGCCCCTAAGTCACCCCTCGATTGTAAAATACGCTAGATGATGTCAGTGTCACGGGATGAACAGCACCCTCGTATCTCACGCAACCAATAATTAGAATGGGAAAAAGAACATTAAGAGAAAATTAGAAAAGACATACAGCAGACCAAGACTATGCCCAATATCGTGTTTGCTGTACCCCTTGTAGGGTCTGTCACAGCAGTAACCAAGGCCCCATTTCAGTCCAATGTTTATTGAGACGTCCATGGGGACCTACCCAGGTACTCTACTCTGCCAATCACAGCGCCAGCCCGTATTGCGGTGTTTGAATGATCCGCCGCCAATGTACCTACTTACTGTACACACCGGATTTTAGGCCGCGCGAGATATCCTTCCCTTTCCGTTTTAGTGCTCACCCCTTGTCCGCTTTTTGCTCACTCGGGTTCCAGCTCAGGCGGACCCGTCAAAAGTTCAACGGGACCTGTGAAAATGATGACTAATAACGGGTCCTGGCTTTGTGCAGGTCCCGCTCAGCTTTTATGCCTCAATTTTATCAATTTATGTTGATTTTTATATAAATTATTAAAGGTTTCGACCCACTTAAATCTATACACTACTAAAACGCACTATATCCTAATACATCACAATATACACATGTTATTGCTTTTATGTCTAAGTTCTAAGAGGGTGTAAAAGGATCCGATCAAAATAGCTTTCCTTAGTATAAATTGTAAACCAACAAAGCAATATTTAGTGATTTGAAGGGTCATGCGGAAAATCAACAAAGAAAGTGAGTGTTGAGATTCATGGCTTCTCCAGGCATGAAATGCCTGCTCCGCCAATTTAAGTCATATTTTTCTCACCAAGCTTATCCCCTACGCTGTCTAACTCTCTCCATCTCTACATATTCATGATATAGAAGTACCAGTCCAACCGAGTGCAATAGAATCACATTCTAATTCAGTGATTGAAATAATTAGCCGACCACTTTAGTCATAATGCAGGGATTGCATGTTTGCTTTTTCAATTTTTTCCCTCCCGCAGTCACCATCAGCATCAACTAACTACACGCAATGGGCATAAGCACGAATCCTGAATGTAATGGCCGTCACTGGATTCCTCAGAGTCGGATTTAGCCGTTTCTGGCGCTTTATTTTCCATACGGTCTGGGGTATTTTCCTCAGTTTATTTCCCTGGATAGGTTTGCTGGCCATTAGCCCCCTGGTTGTCTTATTTTCCATCTACTCAATCTGGTGGACCTATAAAAACCATTGGCGACCCAAACTCCGACGTAAATTTGGTCGGTCCAAATTCAGCGACGCCCGTGATGACGAAGGGAATCTCCTCTGCGACCGCTGTGCAGCCATCGATCTCGAGACCGCGTTTCAGCCCCGGCAGCCTGGGGAACACCTCGAGCATGGTCGCTTTCTGCTTCATCTCAACCCGAGTCGTGAATGGCCGATTGAGGAATGCCGATTCTGTCAGCTTCTCGAGGCTTCCCGGGTTGATGAGTCATGGTATTCGGATTCCCGAGGGTATGATTTGGTCTCGACGCCTATCTCTCAATCCGTATGGGATGATCGTTCTGGATCCCGCATCACAGAACATGTGGAAGCGGTGGTGCTTAATGCGGTCCATTCCGGGTCATCCAACCGGGGATGGGTCTCAATGAGTCCAACATGGCAAAAGCATGTCAAGGGCGTTATAGGTGTCACTAATAGCTCCCCACCCGATCAACACCATCCTTTTCATATGAGGGATATGCGTGGGCCACGAGCGGATTTCGACCATGTCAGAGGGTGGATTGAGCTATGCTGCGGATTTCATGACGAATGTCGCTTGCTGCATCAAGGAAATAGTATGCCGCTTCGGTTGATCGACTGTGAGACGCGTCGGTTGCTCGTGGCCCAGGAAGGGATGGAATACGCTGCTCTCAGCTATGTCTTGGGCTCCACCACAGGCTCAGGCCACACAGAATTCGCCAACGTACTTCCAGATGACATTCCAAAAGTGCTTATTGATGCAATGGAGGTCGCCCAACAGCTTCAGACTCGATGGTTGTGGATAGATCAATATTGTATCAATCAGTTCGATGAGGTTGAATTCCAAAGCGAGCTCAGTCGCATGCATTTGATCTACCAGGGGGCCAAATTCACCATCATCGCCGCAGTGGGTGACGCAACCCAGGGACTTCTTGGGACGAGCTCAACCCCAAGGGCCCAAAATCAAGTTCAATCGAGCCTGCTCTACCAAGGAAAGAGGCTCAGTCTTTCTCTTCCGAGTCCACGGACTCGAGTGGCCAATTCCATCTGGATGACTCGCGGCTGGACCTACCAGGAAGCCGCACTGTCTCGTCGATGTATTTACTTCACCCAACAGGAAATCTATTTCGAGTGTCGCATCGCCACGTGGCGAGAGAGCATTTCCGAGCCTGTCGAATGGATCGATCCCTCGACGAAACAGATCTTTAAACCTAGCCACGGCTTTCCCGAACACGTCGATCTATACACGGCTCGCAACCTCTCCTATCCGAACGATGCGCTCAACGCCTTCCGCGGAGTTCTCAAACATCTCATCTCTCAAAGTCAGCGAACTCCATTACTTCACCACTGGGGCGTCGAGATCTACCCCCTGAACGACCGACCGGGCCAGTATGCGCCTGACCTTCTCTGGTCCCACTATTCTGAGTCCACACTCAGTTCCGCAAGAGTTGACCCCGAACTCCGACGTCGGAGCGCATTTCCCAGTTGGTCGTGGTTGGGATGGAACAAACGAACCGGGCTCTTCTACGCGTCTTTTTATTCGAGTCTCCGGATCATGGCTCAATGCTGGGCCGAGACCAAACACGGCTCGTTGATTTCGTTTGATTCCGAGGAGAATGTCAGGTTTATGACCCAGACGGTCGATGACTTCTCAACCATCCTCCACGTCGAGGCCCCCGTTCTTGATATGGTGGTTTCCACCACGCACGGAAACCGCTTGGAGATCAGGGGGTATCCCGATGAGGAGGTTATTATCACCAATCCCTGGATGAGCACAGACATGGTCCTCGATCACTGCATGGGCGTGGTGGTAGGCATGGAAGGGCCAGTACAGGCTATCGTGGGGAACAACCAGGGACCACGGGCTTATATTTTGTTGGTCGAGCAGCAAGTGAATGGCCTATGTCGACGGATTGGCTTGGCAAAATGCTATGGTCTTGAACCATTAATCGATTATGTACCGAGGACTAAACTACGTCTTGGTTGAGTGTTCTGATCACCCTATGCTGAGATCGCTCAGTGAGCATAACCCCGAGCACCCTCATAAAGCAGCGGCACCTAATCGGGCAAGTCGCACCCGCGGCTTAAAATCCGGTATATACAGCGACCTACTTATGTGCATTTGAGACTTTATAATGGCCTTGCCTCGCACCTTCTGCGCAATATCCCCAGTTTCTTGGGTTTGTTTAGATGCTTCGTATCGTTTTGTCGCGAAATTAAAGCCATCATATGAAACATTCCTCTGATAATTAGGGAGCGACTCTTAAATACATTCCGGTTGAATCTCACTGGGCTAATGTTGATAGCCGCGCGTCGCATCACTTATCACGACATCTGGATTTATGGGAGTTTATGGTCTGAAGAGCTTTGAAGGACTTGGATAAAACGTGGGTTCATTAATGACCGGAATAGTCACAGAAGGCATGGATCTAAAGCTATGTGCAAAAAGAAAGCAATGGCTATACAACCTGAAATAAGGGACTAATGTGGCATGTCCTCCTGTTTGCGTTGCAAAATAGGAATTGGAAAAAGAGAAAGAAAAAGAATTACTGCACAGAGGGCAGCGCGGCCGAGAGAGGCAGCTTACGGGACGAGTTACCGACATGCACCGTCTTCTGGGCGTCGGAGATAACCCAGTTCTGCGAGGCGACGTCCCAGTTGGACAGATCGCGACGGGTCAAGGTGGTGGTCCACTGCACAAGCTGGCCAGGGGCAATGGTGACTCGGTCAAACTGGCGCAGGACCTTGGCAGGGTCATCCTCGCCGCCGAGGGAGACGTAGAGCTGAGGAACCTCGTCGCCGGTGACGGAACCGGTGTTGGTGATTGTGGCGGTCACCTGGAAGAGATCCTCGAAGAGACCTGGGTTACCACCGTCCTGGCCGCTGGCGGGAAGGAGATCTTGGGGAGAGCCATCAGTAGCACCCTCGGGGAGGTAGTCCTTGGAGTCCATGCCATAGTCGGGGTCGCCGGATGAGGCACGGAGATCGGTGGAGTTCAACCAGGGGTAGAGGTACTGGGTGACACGGTGGAGACCCTCGGGGTAGAGGTTGTCAGAGGCGCTCTCAGCCTCGCCGAGGACGGGGGCCTTGTCGCTCTTGCCAGTAGTGGGGTTGTATGGGGTGGGAGTCAATGGGGTGACCTTCAGGTCGGAGAACTCGAAGCTGGTGTAACTCAGACCATAGCCGAACTCATAGATGGGCTCAGTGTTGTCCTTGTCGAAACGACGGTAATCGATGAAGACACCATCGTCGAAGTTGTCCTGGGGAGCGCCGTCACCGTTGTTGGGAACGGTGAGGATAGCAGGGCCGTAGTCCTTGCGAGTCTTACCCCAGGTGAAGGGAGTCTTACCACCGGGATTGATGCGGCCATAAAGAACATCAACCAGACTGCGGCCAGACTCCTGACCGGGCAGACCAGCCCAGAGGATGGCAGTGATGTTGTCATTGTCATACCAGTCGCTGATCAGGACAGCGGCAGTGCTGTGAATGACAACAATGGTGTTGTTGCAATTCTGAGTAGCGGTCTTGATAACCTCCTCGCCGTTCTTCCACAAGGTAAGGTTCTTACGGTCACCCTCATTGCCATCGACGTTGATGTAGCCCTCGCCAGAGTCAGCGTTGACGAAAACGAGAGCAACTGAAGCCTGGGAAGCAAGTGCAGCCATCTCAGTGAGAGCCCAGTTATCAGTGACGGCAAATACATTAGTCTGACCGTTGCTATAGTCAAGCACTTCGTTCTGGATAGCCTGCTCGGGAGTGATCAGGTAAGGGAAATTGGCAGTTCCACTACCCCAGCCCATGGCCAGAGTTCCGTTATCACAGCCACGGTCACTGCAGCCATTGGCACCGTAAGCGTTGGAGCCAGCATCCTCTCCCAGAATGGCGATGAACTTCTCATCGTGTGTCAGAGGCAAAGCACCACGCTGGTTCTTGAGAAGGACAGTGCTGTCGGAACCAATCTTGCGAATGACCTGGGCGTGATCACGCTGAACGTTGACACGCTCGTTGAGCTTGACGTAGTTCTCGCTGACTATGAAGTGTTCGAAGCCATACTCATCGCGAGTCCAGGAGCTGAAGTTGGGAGGAGTGCGGAAGCGGTCACGGCCAACCTTGTAGTAGGCAGCCATGATACGGACGGCCATGTCATCAACACGCCATTCAGGAACGGTGCCGTTCAGAACGGAGATAGTCAGGTTGGTACCCCAGTAGGAGTAAGGGCTACCGAGGTAAACATCACCGGGCATGGACATATCCAGACCGGCCAAAGCTGACTCAACACCGCTGTGGTGCGCACCCCAGTCGCTCATGACAAAGCCCTGGAAGCCGAGCTCACCCTTGAGCAGCTTGTTCAGGGTGTAACTGTTGGCACAGCCGTAGCTGTTGTTGATCTGGTTGTAAGAACACATGATAGAGCCAACACCAGCACGGATGGCATCAACAAAGGGCCACAGATAGAGCTCGTGCATAGTCTTGTCGTCGATGTTGGAGCTAACACTCTGGCTGATGTTGTATCCGTAGCCCTGGGCCTCGCCAGACTGACGGAAGTGCTCCTGCTCGTTTCCAATGTAATGCTTGGCGCAAGCAATGACACCAGCATCCTGCATACCCTTGATGGTCTCGGCCATCATCACACCAGTGAGGACGGGATCGGGAGCGAAACCCTCCCAGTTACGACCTCCATCGGGGTACTTGCCAATTGGACCGGCAACAGGGCCCAATTGCACATCCACACCCTTGTCGCGGTGCTCTTCACCCATAGCCATACCGCGTTGGTAGGCAAGGCGCTTGTCCCAGGTGGCGGCGACATTGACACCGGCGGGGAACCCAGAGTTGTAATCACCTGTTGTTTAACTAGTCGGTGCACTGCCAAGCAGAGAGAAAGGAGGCCATACTGTCGCGCACACCCAGAGGTGAATCCTGCATACACATTCCCCACATTCCCAGTCGGGGGATGCCACCAGTCTCACCGACACATCGCTCTTGCTCCCAACCAGCACCGGTTGTCAAGTTGACTTTCTCGGCAAGTGTGAGGTTGGAAACGAAGTCAACGGCGCGCTTGTAGGCCTCAGACCAGTCGCCCTCGCCGGTCATCCATGGTGAAGGGTAGTATGGGGGAGAATAGGCCAGGGGCTACGCGAATTGAATTAGCATCGTCTTTCAAATTGGACCTGGACGCGTCACTTACATTGGCACTGGCCACTGAGGCAGAAGCCAAAGCGGCCACCTCTAACCACCCGAACTTCATTGTTGTTGGGGTAAGTGGAGGGTGAGATTTTGAAGAAAGGACCGATGTGCAGCATAACGGCGGGGGAATCTCCGATTTAAATGTAACAATTTACTAGGGGCAGGGTCAATCATAGCTCCAAAAAAAAAGTGTGGAGTAATCAAGGGATCGACACGGAGACTGCGCGAGGCATGCACTATAGTATGCACTATACTGGTCACTCACGCCACTTATTGGCTCTGAGTCCTGAACTGTTTAACCGGTCCTTGAAAGGGGAACAGGGACAAAAGCAAAAGTGGCTGGTATTGAAGGGAGGAAAGGAGTCAACAATCACCCCTTTGGATACCTACATGGTACATCCCTAGCACAACCACGCACCGGCCTTCCGTTATAGGCATGCAATACAGTACCATACTGCGAGAGAATGGCCGTCTAAACTTCGGCTCATACCACCTCGTCTCGATCTTCTCCGCTAATTCTCCGTCCCTTCTTAGAGGTCTGACAGCTCAGGAACCTGGCCATCATTGGTTCCCCTATCTTCCCTTCCGGAACATCGGCATCGATATTTCATATTTTGACCCTTAGCAATCATTACACTAGCACCCCTAACCAGCACACAGCCAAGCCAGATCCCGATCTTACGGCAGTGATTATCCGGGAGGCTTGAGCATGGCTGCGATCTCCGTTTATACTTCCCGATTGGGAAACTCCTATGTCATTGCGGAGAAACACGATCTCATTTTCTGCTATATACGCTTGTTGCTGTGGTTTATGTCTATTCTAGGTTATATACCAGCCTATGGTGGTGTTTCGTTAACTACAAATAGGAAGTATACTGATTGTTTGTTGTTTCCAACATTGTCAAACCACGGATGCCGTCAGCCAAGCCCCTTCGCTACCGTGGAGAGCATGGGGAAATGCGGGGCCATCCCCAGTCACTGCACTCCAGATGTCTTGCGCGATTAATTTGCCCTCATTCACTCTACTACTACGTCCTGCACTGTACTACTTGGCTGAGCTGGCACATCCCCATACGGAGTCGCCCGCTCAACTCGGGCTGATCCAAGTCTTGGCTGGCTCGGCACGCTCATCGGGCCAGTAAGTATACAGTATCATGGCCTGTGTCTGCAAGTCCCTGGACCCCAGAACACTTTTCTTGTTTGAAGTCGGTCTCCCCTTCACCGAGATTCCTCCCCCCCACGCTACATTACGCAGTCATCTCACGAAATGCCGGATCCCCGGCTTCTACGACTACAGTACCATGCCACTACAATGTAACCAGGCCCAAGCGATCGGTGCTAGCCTCCACTACCCACTAATTGTATACACGTACTCCAAACCCCGCGGCTAAACGCTATAAACCACTCATGAAATCGTCGGCCCGACAAGTTACTGTAATCGGAAGTTCTTTCGGATGTGCTTTGAGAGTGGGTGGGGGGCGTCTCCAGACCGAATGTTCCTACACGCACTAGCGCACTAAATTTCGCGGAGTGCAGCAGTGCCGGGATTGGTCTGGGGAATGAAAACTGGAGATAAAAATTTGGTCCGAGGTATTCCCCCGGAACTTACTGCCCGAAATATGGAGAAAATTACGGGTAATATGCTGATCCCTGCCTGAATGCACCGGCGAAGCAGTCAGATTTGCCTGTATTCCGGCTAATCGTCGGTGAAACGGTGTGATCTTGTCGCGGGTGTTGAAAGACCTTTTCCGGGGAGTTGGACTCGGCAATCCGGGGGGGCTCGTGCGGGTTTGTGGGATGCTTGGGTTCTTTTCGCTGGGGCTCTTGTGAATTGCTATTTGCTATTATTCAACTTCTATATTCTGAGACTGTTTAAACAAGGAAATGTGTAGTGCTCTTGCATCATTGATGCCTGGCTACAGTCGATCTCTATCCCTAAAGCATCGGCTTCGGTCTCTGGTTTAGACCTGCAATCTTGGCGCGGGGTCATGCCGAGAAGGAAGTAATGACATGCACGTTTTAGTGTGAATTGATCCCGCATTTGTAGGACAATGTGGATCTCACCACTGACAAGCCGTGCATCGGACCGTGGCCTCAATCCGGGCCCTTGCGGCGTGGCGTTGGTCCAGGCTCGGCAATGCTTCTAGTTGGGGGTGACGCCCTCGGGTAGGAGTAGTATTCAGTGCAGTCGTCGCACCTTGGCGGCCGCTGTGGCACATCTTTCACCGGTATTCCAGAATGGACTGGTCAGATGATATGTTGAATCTCCATCTCAGATGCCGATGGTAGCAATTTGCGTAAGATAAAAACCGAGATCATACGTCGTGGCTAATTTCATCTAGCACTTGGAACAGAACAGAATTCTGAACTCTGCAGCCAGTGCCATTTGCGCCGGCCCGGAATCCAGACCAGGTTCTGCGCCGGATCTCTTCCAGGTCTAATCCTTTGGTGTTGTACCGGTTGATCATTTCATCCGCGATGCCACAGAGTGTCGAATTGAGAAGGTCATCTTCTGTTGCTGCCACCATTTCTTGTCCATTAGGGCTGCATCCGCATAAATCGGGATCTCCAATTTTTGGCTCATGACTGGACAGTTCGGTTGACTTTGGGTTTTCTGTTGCTTTTGACCCACAGGCGCTATTACTGGCTATCGGTCCATAGGCACTCTTGCTAGCGGTTGGGCCACAGGCATTGCTGGAGGTTGTTGAGCCATAAGCGCTGTTGCTGCTGGTTGGAACATAGGAGTTGCTGGAAGTTCGTCCACAGGCATTATTTCTAGCCTGTGGCCCACGAACACTGTTGCTAGCTGTCGTCCCGCACGAGCCATTGCTGGCTGCCGGCCCACAGACACTACCGCAGGAAGATGACTGTTGCTCAGTTGGTTCCGTCTTCACCTGGTTATCATAGACACGAGGTATCGCCACAGGCAGCGTGGGGCCAGAGCCACAACGTGCCGGGGAATCCAAACCCTCTCGTCGCTGAGCAGCAGGAATGGCAATCTTTTGAGTGGTGTTCTCTCTTTGCTCGACCACCTGCAAATATTGCTGCACAGAAGCATTCGAGACACCCAGTGATGCAAGGAGAGTTTTTAAATGTCTGTTCTCGGCTTCTACCTTTTGCACAGCCAGTCGATACTCGATGTCCCTTTGTTGGGCTTGAGTCTCGTTGACAGATAAACGCTGCTCTAGCTCCTTCACATACTGCTGTTTTCGGGCTCGGCTCTTGCGCTGGTTGTCCCTTACGCGCGCGAGGCGGTCGACATCCTTTCTCATAATTAGAATTGTCGGTAGGTTGCAGATATCTATTCTGGGAGATACTAACCCTTCGATCGTGCGCTTCTTCCATCGTCTTAAGCTTTTATCAGTTACTGTAGTGCAGTGGCCTCTTGAGGGGTGTGGAGCACAGCTGGGTTGTCAAACTCGCCCCATGTGAATTTCATCAGGCCAGTTCTGTCATCACGACAATCATTTGAAGATCATCTCTCGGCAGCCTGCAAGTTGGGAGGGATGACGCGTCTCGCCTTCTGGGTTTTAACGTTTTTTGGGTTGTGTCACGTGATCGTGCTTAGCGCTCCTTCCTAAGTGGGCTATTCCAACATGGGAATAGCTACATCTGCACGATGATACTGGTGACGCGAGCTCCGCTAGCTCCGCACGCCGGTGCCCTGAAACGACATGTAGAAAAAAAAAAACAAAGAATGGTAACCGAAAAGCAATTATTGGATACAGGCGTAAGGTGCATAAGAATTGAAGGTTTGCATGGCCCGGATGTTGAGATGAGGGATAGGATATGGAGGAATGGCAGTGTATGCCTGCAATTCTGTAATAATGGAGATGTCTAAGAAGTCTAAGATAAACCCTGACTGGAAGTGTGCTGTACATGCTTCTCAAAGGTCCACGTTACCGAATGGCTCGTGTGTCTCAGGGAGGAGGAGCATGATACATATTGATCAAGGAATAAAGTAATTCACAAGCAAGTCGCAGACACAAATAAACTGGACACAAGTGAACTGGACACCCCAAATACTGTAGTAAATGCGATGAGGACTATGAAAGATTCCTCGCTGGTCTGAATACGCGAAACCACCCCCTTGTTCAATCTAACGGATGTGATCGCTTGTGAGAATTGCATAGTCATATCTCATGTCCGCGTAGAATGTTCCCAAAAAGTGCAATGTATTTGAAGGAAAATAAAATCACCCAAATCATTAGTAGTTTCCATCATGTATCTTCAACACCAGCTCCTCAAAAGAATCCCCTACTAATGCATCCTTCAAGTGCTCTCTCAAACCGGACTTAGTACAACGCAGCCTCATCTTCCGCAAGCTCCGCACGCCATGGCCGTGAAACGAGCAAAAGCGTGACACAGACACGTGAGATTGTAAACACTAGCAGCCACTAGGAGCATTTCTTGGCAAGAGAATAGACGAACCAGCGTCCAGATCTGAGAGAAGTTTGGCAGTGGGAAGCCAGCGAAGGTTTGCGGGCAGCCCACGCAGGGTAATAACCCCTTCATTCACTTCGCTCCTAGTTTCAGGGCAATCCATACTGACAGTTTGAAGAAACAAGTTGAAATGCGATTGGGATAGTGAATACAAATTCATTTCCATCTCCAACTATGTATTTACTGGACTAAACCATTCCAACGGTTCGAATCCTTCAACTCAAGCAACTCCCAAACATCCTGCTCTTTCAGCCAATCTTCAAATCCGGTCCGTTGCCCATAAGACTTCAGCTGAGCAGGCTCAACAACATTCTCAATCCCAGCACAGTAGCCATATTCATCAATGAAGGCCGGGCCACCAAGAACCTCAAGCGGGATACCCGTCTTCTCATGCATCTCCTGAACAGTCATTTGAATCAAATTGACCTGTTTCCCCAGAGCACGAGACCATACAGCCATAATTTCCTCGACCGTAAGATAGTCGTCATAAGCCAAAAGCTTCATCCCCGACGCCTCGTCTTCAACCAAAGCCCGGACAAAATGACCAGTCGACTGGGCAGTGTCAATGATAGGCATGCGCATTTCCTTTCTCGCCGGCAGTGCAGCAACAAACTCCCCACTATCCGCCTGGAACTTCGGGTACAGGAAAGGATTGGTGATATAAGCACCAATATAGATGAATGATGTCTTCTTCGCCAACTCCACCTTCTGATTCTCGATGTAGTTGACGATGTGGGCTTTCGTCTCCCAGTGGTTTGAATCAGAGTATTTTCCACCGGACGCAGCTTTCATAGGACCCAACGCGGAGTACACGAGTCTTTCCAATGTTGGAATTGTCGCAGCAACATTGACTGCATTTTCTCCGTGGGTGACTTCCGCCTCGTAACCCTGCTTGACGCTGGTCACAGCATCAGCGCCTGAGGCCAGGGCTTTCCGGTAAGGTTGCCAAAAATCGGTGTTGAGGAAGATGGCGTGTGCGCCGGCGAATGCTCGGCGGAGGGAATCTTCGTTGTTGAGATCTGCTTCGACTAGGTCACCACCTAGCTGGGCTAACTCTTGTGCTTTCTCGGAAGATGGATTGCGCGTGAGGCATCGGACGTGCCAGTTGGGTAGAGCGAGGAATGTGCGGGCAACTGATGATCCTTGGGTGCCGGTTGCGCCAACAATTGCAATGATTTTCTTGGAGGTAAAGGACATTTTGATCTGAGGCTGTATAAAGATGTGCTGATTTAGATGAGCAGGATTCTTTGTTCAATTTGAGTGAGATACAGGCGCCAATTTATATGTTTGAGCTCATTTCAACAATGGGGATCATTCCGATTCCAGGCATATAGTTCAAGCAATCCGATTGGCTCAAAAGCGTAAGCCAGTGTGGCTTCTGGATGTGGCTTATGCTTGAACGGATTTCGGAGTATTCGGGGTTAAGAGCTCTACCACTTACCTCCGTCTTTTCCGTTGTGCATGTGTGCATGTATTTCCTTCTCTTTGAGCTCGAATCTAGCTTGTTCTGTATAATTCGGAATTTTGCAGGTCATTGTCCACAGGAGTTTGTAAGGCATGGCCTCCACGGCCGGGATAGATCAGCATGCCGTTGCTCTCTCCAATCGATCCAAGAGGCGACTTATTACACCAGCGCGCCAGGAACAAAATAGAACTGCGCAGCGAGCGTATCGTATGTCCCTCTTTTTCTCAACTATAAACCGAGCTAACATATTCCTTAAAGGCGAGAGACAAAAAGAGCGCCGAAATCGTTCAAATGCCCAGAGCGGGCGAAAGAGAAAGCTGGCGCCTCAACCATCATCCGACGTATCAGAAATATTATCAAGCAGTTCACCTGATACCAGTTCTGAGCCTACATTAGCCAGTCCCTCACAATCATTAACACAGCTTCCATCTATCAATAAGGCTGGCACCTCACCAACCTCTCTCGCTGAACCATTAATGAACGCCCTACAAACGCCCCATGATACAATGTGGATAGCAATCCTGAACAACGCCGTCCGTCTAGGATTCGACGTCGGCCGATTGGCAGCCTGTAGTACCACCTACATGTCACCATTCTTCAAATCCATCACCGCCCAAGACAGCGCACAGGATCTAGTTGTCTCAACATTCAACTCATCAATTCCAATCCATCTTCAGCCTACCATGGCTCAGATACTTGTTCCACATCATGCCAGCTTGGACCTTATACCCATGCCGCTTCTTCGGGAGAGAGCTATCATGATGTGTTATGCGATGCCTCATGCTTTCAGTCTCTGGGACTTTAAGTTGGATATTTATACACGACATGCTCTTATTTGTCATCGGCATCGTGCTGATGGTGATTGTCAATCTTGGGACCAGAGGAGTTGGGAGGGTATGCCTTGGTTCTTGAAGAAATGGAGTACTGCGGTTGAAGAGTGAAATCAGGGATCTCTAAGACCAGCATGAAGTATGAGAAATGGGGTATAATATTTTCATACGGAGCACATGCTGATCTACATCTCTCCACTTTGAGAAACGGACATATAAGTGGGCTGAGAGAAAGAAAGAAGAAAGGGTTGTTCTATAGACAACTACCGACGTGAGTCGCCGGGAAACTCATGGACGTGACCATCACTTGAGAATGAGGCGAACAAGCCTATTGGATCCGACTATAACAAGCATAGACTATACGCACTATGTGCACTATACCCACTATAGAGACTATAAGTCAGTAGACCGGATTCGAATGCGGCAAGAGGCGATTGCCCAATGCGGGTCAGCATTCGATGATACGTCACTGGCCGTCACAACCTCGGGAACCCAGGTATGCCCCCAGGTATGCCCCCCAGCATTCTTCACTCTAACGCGTTTTCTACTTCCCGTAAATAGCTTTAACTTCGCATCTGCTATTTGACACCCGCAACTACAGTGCGACAAAAATGGTCTCCACGCGACACCACCCTCGCGAATTCCCATCGCCTGAGCGCGCCGCAAATGAGCTCGCCAAATCGCCGGCGACAACGAACCCCAACTCGCGCAAATGGGTCCATACCCCCTCAGCTGCGCTGACAATCTGGCTCGTCGTCTCCGTGCCCCTGGTCGCATGGGACGCGGGCTATGTATTGTTGCGACCGCATAGCATGCCCGGCGGGCGATTCCATTCCCCCATCTGGGCGCCTTACGCGCTCTACGGCAAGATCGACTATATCTATGGCTGGCCTGCCTTCAATGCGCGCAATGGATTTACTGCTGCGCAGACGGTTCTGAATCTCATCGAGACCACCGGTTACGTCTTCTATCTCTGGGTTGTTTACAGCTATGGCGCAACTGTTGTCGCTAGCCGTGGACAGAGGGTCAAGAAGGGTCTGTTGTGGTTTTTGAAGGGGGAAAAGGTTGTAGCTGGACGGATTGGGGCCATCGCGCTCATGGTCGCTTACTCCATGTCTGTCATGACTTTGAGCAAGACCATTCTCTATTGTACGTCCTTGCGATTGGATACATTTTTTTTATAGGTTGGGATGCTAACTGCCTTGAACTAATAGGGCTCAATGAGTTCTTCTCGGGCTTCGACAACATTGGCCACAATGCGCCGCTCGATCTCTTACTCTATTGGATCATTCCTAAGTAGGTCTACCTGCTACCCGCCACTTTCTGGAATGAAGACGACTAACCTGGTTCTTTTAGTGGCGCGTGGATTGTCTTCCCCAGCTACAACATCTACACCCTCGGCGCTGAGATCCTGAATGCTCTTGAGCTCGCGACTCCGCGCCAGAAGGTCGGACGCCCCAAATCTACCTAGATTTGGCCGCGCAGATGGGAGGGACTGATCTTAATACGAGGAGATGAGATGTGAGTGATCCGAGTACAATTGAGAAGAGATTGAATGAAGGGCGTCTCATGGACCCATTATATTTAGAAGGGTTGATATATGATATGGTGTCTGTAATGCAATGCAATTGATGACTCTCTTCTGGAACCCCTATAGCTCCATAAGCTTTTGTCAAGCTTCCGGTCTAGATGATAATATGCGGTTGCCCTACGTAGATGTAGATGTGTTTGTGCTTTCAGATCCGAGCTTGCATGCTACAAAGAGTCTGAGAACTCCAGAATAAGCCCCTGACTTGTAGTGCAGATCGAAGTGATAATGCCGGGGTATACTACCGTACGTAGCAACGGAGCTCACGACAAACTGATTGGTGCAAATCCCCCAGATTCCACATGTAACCTTGAAAGTCGATTGCGTCGGTAATTCCTTTTCCTTTCTAAAACGCAGAGCTATAAGATAATAGTATTCTTTGCGACGTCCTCAAAGGAGGGAGTCTCCGTAATAAGAGCACTACCAGTGGACGATCTTGCCAAGCCGGTGAACCTTTCCCCATATTAACTTCCTTCTCATTTTCTCAACCCCGACTCTCCGACTCTCTGACTCTCCGACTCCTTCCGCCATACTTCCCTTTCAACATCTCGTGGAACCCTCCGCGGATCACCTTTCGAAACTTCCCCGACCGTACCGAAGGATGCTTCGGGCCTGGGTCCTGGGGTATTTGCACCCGTCATGATCCCACCCGGTGACGAATCACCATTGAACCCCTCTGGCGCAAGCTTCAGCTTAGGCCAGGAGGAGGCAGCAGCAGCTCTCGAAGACTTCGACACGCAGAGCCATGCAAGTTCCCGCGACCCCGGTAGCACACAAACCGCCGACCCCGCGCTAGACAACCAACGAGACGACGGCGGTGACGGACCGTCGAACCCGGGGAGTTTCAACGACGGCGACAAGCCCGCTTGGAGCGAAATGAAGACCAAGGCTGGAAAAGAGAGGAAGCGACTGCCGCTGGCCTGTATCGCATGTCGCCGCAAGAAAATCCGCTGTTCGGGCGAAAAGCCCGCTTGCAAGCACTGTACTCGCTCGAGGATTCCTTGTGTCTATAAAGTTACTACGCGGAAGGCTGCGCCGCGCACCGATTATATGGCTATGCTGGATAAGCGGTTGAAGAGGATGGAAGATCGCGTGATCAAAACGATACCGAAGGAAGAGACGAGGGACATGACCTCCATCGGTCGGTCTGTTGTCAAGCCTTCTGCTTCGAATCTGCCGACCAAGGCCCAAAAGAAAAGAAGCGCAGATGAGGCGTTTGAGGCGGAGATGGATAAATGGACCCGTGGGGACCGCCGCCCGCCGCATGAGAGCTTCCCGATGAATCGCGAGATCAAGTCCAGCGACGGGAGTGGCCTTTTGACCGAGGGAGCTGAGTTCTTGCCTTCCTTGGAGATCCAGGAGCATCTTGCAGAGGTGTTCTTCGATTGTGTCTACGGGCAATCATACCTTCTGTTACACAAGCCCAGTTTTATGCGACGGCTCAAGGCTGGCACTGTTCCCCCGGTGTTAATTCTTGCCGTATGCGCTGTATCTGCGCGATTCTCAACACATCCTCAGCTCAATTCGGAACCGCAATTTTTGCGCGGGGAGAACTGGGCTAATCCTGCCGCCGCCATTGCTCTGAGCAGACATGACGAACCTAATATCACAATCCTTACCGTTTTCCTCCTTCTTGGTCTCCATGAATTCGGAACTTGTCATGGTGGACGAAGTTGGTCATTTGGAGGTCAGGCGCTGAGGATGGCATATGCCTTGCAGCTGCATCAAGAACTTGAGCAGGAACCAATGATTAACAAAGGCCCCAGCAACTCTTCGCAGTTGAGCTTCACCGATCAAGAGATCAGACGTCGGACTATGTGGGCATGCTACTTGATGGATCGGTATAACTCCTCTGGCAGTCAACGTCCGCCAATTGGAAACGAAAAGTTCCTACAAATCCAGCTGCCTATCAAAGAAACCCATTTTCAGATGGAAATCCCCGGTCCAACGGAAGATCTCGATGGTGATATTCTCAATCCAACGCCAGAAGATACAGGCCAGTTGTCAAACGCCAGAGAAAACATGGGTGTCTCGGCATACATCATCCGCTCCATCGTCATTTGGGGTCGGCTTGTTGACTACCTGAATCTAGGCGGTAAGAGAAAGGACCCACATCCACTTTGGCATCCAGAATCAGGGTACATGCGACTCAAGCGACAGATTGAAGAATTCTCCGCCTCCCTCCCGGCTCCTTTGACTTTCACCTACGAGAATCTTCAGATCCATGCGGCGGAGAAGGTTGCAAACCAGTTTCTCTTCCTCCATATCATCATACATCAAAACATGCTATTCCTCAACCAGTTCGCAATCCCCTTGTCACCGGGAGGGCGGCCACCACGGGATATGCCTAAACCCTTCCTCAGCAATGCAGGTCGTGCTGCGGTAGAGGCGGCGCATCACATTTCGGTCCTTTTCGACCGAGCTTCGGCCTACCCTCTCACCGTTCCTTTTGCTGGATACTGCGCCTATTCGGCCAGTACGGTTCATATCTGGGGCATTTTCTCGAAGAACGTCCAGCTGGAGGCGCGGTCAAAAGAAAACCTCCGACATACATACCGCTACCTTAATAAGATGAAAAAGTACTGGGGCATGTTCCACTACATGGTTGAAAGTGCCAAAGATCGATATCGTCAGTTTGCCGATGCAGCTATCCAGGGCTCAGTTGCAACTCAAAACGGCACATCACTAGCACCAATGTTCCAATACGGTGACTGGTTCGACAAGTATCCACACGGTGTATCAAGAATACACTGGGAGGATCCTGATACACGGCACAGAGAAAGAGGCGAGGATGCAGTGATGGGCCAAAAGCCCGATCTCCAAAGCGTGGAAGATTTCTTCGCAAGCCTGTCACCCACACCACAACAACCAACCCTCCCTCGCAAGTCGCGCTCTCGCAAAAACAGCAAACTATCAGATAGTGTTGCAGGCATGGAACAGACCTCCCCACAATCCATGATGGAAGTAACAATGGGAAACACGCCAGGCGTCCCAGGCAGCGCGTTCCCACAACCCTCCATGTTCTCCCAACCACGACACATGTCATTCGGCCAACCACCATTCGATTTCAGCATCCCTCAGGACCAACTCCCTCAACTGGATCGGCAATTTGTCTACGGCTCTTTCTCCGACTTCGACCCCAACTCCTTCGTCCAAAACAACTCTCCCGTCCCACCAGTCAACGGTGTCGAACCGCAGAACCCAGACCAATCCCTTTTCACTGGCCAACTAGACCCAGGCGCCCCCGCTGGAACGGGCGAATTCTACCAACCCAGTGCTTGGTTCTTACCCTTCAATCTTGATCCTGTTGGTGTTGCAAACCCACCTGCTCCGCCTCCAGGCCCGGCGCCGGGTCCTCCAAATAACGGCTGTGGAAATGATGCCCAACCCTCTGGCCTGCCCGGTGTACCAGAAGTACCTGGATTTTCCGGAGGAGGGGGGTTACCCATGAGCGCATATGACCTTGGTTTGTCAAGGGCAGATGTAAACCAAGGTCAGCGGCAGTGACCGGGTCAGGTATTGGTTACTGTTACTGCTTTTCAATGACCGCTATGTCGTTTTTGGATCTTATAATGATTCCAAGTATGTTTGGAGTCGGACTTGCAGGACTGGTGTTTTATTTTTGGTTTATTTTGGTTTTTTTTCCCCCTTACGATTTGCTCTTCTCTTATCACTACTTGTATTGTTTCAGGACTTTCCACGGTTAAGTTGCTTTGTGTACATAAGTTATCCTTACATCAGACATGTATATTCCCTTTCGATGTTGGATGGAATGTTTTTCAGGACTACAACGTTCATTATGGTAGGCTGGCTGTAGTGAAGATCTGTTATAAGATAGTAAATTTTTCCAGTCGAAGACCTTTCATCATGCTGGTTGTCTCGCGCTTCGACGATCATTCAGGCATGTTGTTGAGGTCAACCACCCAATCCGAGAAAATGGTTGACCAGTCCGAAGGATCCATTCTTATCCGACCAATATCATTTCCTTGTAAGTCCGCAAGGCCGTCTTCCAAGCTCTCGTCAGAGATAGGGGTGCTTTGTTCAAGAGCTCGCCAGAAGTCAGTGTCCTTAATAGTACCATTCAGTATCGGGCAGCGGCTGGCACTAGGACCTGTTCCCTGGGCATCGATCTCTTGGTGGTAAGGTTCCGTTTGATCCTGATGCGTCACAGCACAGGTACCAGTTCCAATATCGGCGGGTTGGTAACTGCTTGGTGGCGGTGCATATGTTGGCGTGATGATCTCCAGAACTGATTTGAACAAGCAGAAAAAGTCCGGGTATTTGGTTGATGGAATAGGTGTTACTGAAAGATTTCCCATGCGGTGTGCAAGACTCTCAAGGTATATCAGCATTTTCGCTCGTGTCTGGATTTGGAAAGCTCGGGTTTCAATCACATCTGCATAGGCCAGGTGAGAGAAGCATAATTTGGAGGCAGTGCTAATTGTCATGATTACCTGGCACCACTCTCTCGTCGAGAAATAAATGTATTGGTCCAATGGTATCGAGAGTAACGCTTCTAGGAATTGTTGAACTTCGGAGAAGCAGGTGGTTGCGAGAGATTGAATCTCTGGATCTGGGAGCTGTGTATTATGTCGCTGAGCTCGGTCGGATTGGAGTGGTTTGAGGGGCAGAAATGCTATTCTGACTTTCAAGCAGAGTCTTGAGAGACGAAATGGGACTTTTACGTAAATGAGTTAGCAGATTGCTTTAACGATTCTCAACATTTTTCCAACTTACTGTTATCCTGGATAGTGGATGGCAGCACCGAATTAAGAGCATCTATCTTTTTATAAAATGCTCTGACTGCCTCGTGGGTCTCTAGACTACACTGAGAAGCAATGTCTTGGTGGTTCATGTCAGGTTCATAGCTGGAGACTTCCTCATGAAGCATCTGAAGCCTCGTAAGTTGTATGCCGATATCTTCATCTGACCCTGACATTATATGAGCAGTCAAATCAAAACAGCCCGCTGTAGGACCATTATCTGGTCGTTGGCGTATAAAAGTGAGCCTAGACAAAGTCAGATTTTCCTTGTTATGGTGGATTTCAACGTGGTCGAGAATGAAAGAGACATAGACCTTACAAGCATGATAGGTTATAGCAAGCAATTGATGCATTCAGCGCCTCTTTATCATGAACCAGTTGCGCTAACCTCAGATCTGATACCATGGTCATCGCTATCTGCATGAACTGGAACAGCTGATTTCGTAGTGGTCGTTGGTGCATTGGGTACCTAAACGACGGGTCAGGACCGTGCAATCAAGCGGATATAGCGCTCCTAGAAGAGGTGCCTTTTACCATGCAATATAGACCAATAAACCCTGGGCATAATCCAAACTTTTCTCACCATGAAAAATGATCCTTTCGCTCAGTACGCGGCGAAAACGTCCATCTGCTCTTTGCTGTAGTCGCGGCATTCTTGAAGAGGTAACAGCTAATATTGCCAGTAACAGAAAAGGCCGTTCTTTTGCTAGCAAGTTTACTGAGACATCTTCAGGGACTCCTATGAAGGGGAAGTATGCTCTTCGATGTCGGAATTGCGATATCAGCTTTTCTGCTAAGCCCATGGTAATATTTCCATCTGGGAATGTATGATGAGTGTCAGGTGTTGCAGATCGGCCAAGTTGCTTCAAGTCCTCTGCTGGAGCTTCCGATGAACAACTCTCGTTCAGTTGATCCTGGAATACCCGGCGGTGCAGGTCAAATATCTGACTTGTCTCATCCGTCTGCTTTGGTTCATTTCCAAACAGGGAAGAGATAATATCATCACTGCGTAGTTGATCCCCGTTCGTGGATTGCTCTTTGGTAGATTGTGTCTTTTTGCCGGTGGGGCGTTCATACGAGCATGTGTAGCCAAATTTTGCGCATCTGAATTGACTTTAGCATAAAGGATCCTACTTTTCTGACTGCGAAAGCTTTTGTGAGTATCTCATACCTTTGACATGTATTAGCTTCCGAGGGTTTCTTTCCTGGCAAGCATCTGATCTTGCGTGCGCGGCACTTATTACATGCCCTTATGTTTCGAGGGCGCGGACAAACGGCCTCTATGTCATTATTTCTTTCCATTGTGTGTCTTCTGTGAGATGAAACTTAATTCCCTTAGGATATGAGTTTCAGGGATGCATGGTAAATTATAAGGAAAAGAAGAGAGAAAGCCGAACGGGCCGAATGAACTAAGAGGAGTTAGGCCGAACTAGGAATAGCCCTATTTCTAAATACCAACCAATATCACATCTGCCAAAACAAAGTACAACAATGTAACTGATATTTAGAGCAGAGAGAAATTCAGAAATCCCACATCTGGATATCCTTATAATCCACGTCTCTGTCTGGCCAACCCCCCTCCTGTGTCAGGACATCGACAACAGTCCCCTCGCCACCCCAGCTCTCCCTTCCAAACGCCGCAACCATATCAAACCCATTCAAAAGTGATCCTGTTGTCCAGATCTTGCCATCACGCACATAGCGCTTCTGTATCCAGTTGACTCCAGGGGCCGACTGCTTCATCGTGGCCAAAAACGGACGCGGCGCCGTGGCAGTTTTCCCCTCCAACAACCCAGCGACAAGAGCGGGTTGAAATCCAGCACATACAAGCAGGAGTGCGGTACAGTCATCGTGAGTCTTTCGCAAAAACGCTATCTCAGCCTCGGTGGCTTGGTAGTTGAATGACATCGCTCCAACAATCGCGATGTCGAGGGGCGGGCAGCTGGCGAAGGAGTCCTTTAAGCCATGCTTTAGTTGATTTCCTTTTAAATATTCTGATCAACTGGATGGGGTATGTGTGGTAACGCACCGTAGGAACAGTCTCCATATTTCCGGTCAGCTTACCAGGCGTTTTGCCGTCCTCATTCACCCAGTGAAAGGTGAAATCCGGAGCGCCCTTTTTCAGCTCATCGGGAAAAGGCAAAGTCTTAAGAAATTCGCGACTAATGCTCGAGAAATATCCCACAGGTGCAACGTCGAGGTGCTCAGTCAGTCTAAGATAGTCAGATAGAACCAATAAGCTTGATATAGATTGGGGAAATATACGTGTTGAATAGAATCACGCCGACACGGATCGGGCGTCCGGGGTTGCGAAGGTCGATAGGAGACATTTTACTGTTTGACTGAATGTTTAAAACTGTTCAATATGTTGATATTTCACATAGTTTGCAAATTGAGTATGCTCTTATACTTCTACTTCATCGAATGGCCCTTGCCATAATTGGTTAGCGTGCGGCCATCCGCTGTATGCTTCTCCCACTCGCCTAAACTTTCCAGCCGCACTTCCGCCCTCGTGTCCACTTACTATCCGCGGAATGCATGTACAGTGACACAGCAATAGTTTTGACACCCCTAGACTGGTTTCCTGATAAAACACTTAACTATTGCGGATTAGGTTGAATCTTATCTTCTATAAAAAGCACTCACTGAAGCAAAAACGTTTAGAAAGTAAGATGATATTGACTTGCTCTTTGGTTTGCGATAGGTGGTCTAGAAAACGGTCTAGAAAATGGTCTGCCCAATAGTGTTAAAAACATTTGTTGTGTCACTATATGTGTATTGATGAAGTCCTTTGATATGGACATGGCAACAAGATGACAACAATCAGTACCAAAATACTCAACTACAATCCTAATAGATAGATCATCTGCCCATGTTAGCAGTTCTCGTCCTTCGAAGAATCAGCGTTCAGTCTTCATTCAACGTCACTTATTATTCTGTATATGTTATATTAGAATTCTACTCCCCTTACCAGCTCACTTCAGACACTTACTTGCAGGGTCTACTCTATCATAACTGCTAAGTCCTAGCACGACTTGGTGGCCGACCCTTAGGTCTAGACAGTAGCCAGAAATAAAAGCACTCTTGTATTTTTGCAGTCATCACTGCTACATTGTTGATTGTTTAAGTGGTTAAAAAAAATGTTAGTTCGATTTGTATCATGTGCGTACTGCAGATATTTATGTGCAGAGAGGTGGTTTTGGTTTTGGCGTCGTCCTCACGCGTACATCGTAATAGAATATATATCTTTACCTATGTAATGTTATTTCCACCAACTCAACTATTTGCTAAATTAAATTACTTCTATGTGGTACTTTCTACAGTTCGGCAGTAAGTTAATATACAATCAAAATGTTCCTACGACCCGTAGAACTCAACAAAATGCATTAAAAAAAAAAATATTTGTTCTCAACTGTAATCCAAATGGTTACTTTTCTATGTGGAACCTAGGTCCCACACAACGGGCTAAGCGAGCATGGGAACACATTTCTTATTGCGCGCGAATAACCATACAACTAGCATCATTGGTCTAGTGGTAGAATTCGTCGTTGCCATCGACGAGGCCCGTGTTCGATTCACGGATGATGCACAACAGTTCCTTTTTTTTTCCCTTTCTATTTTTCAATTGTTCAATTGAATGTATCAGTTAATATTCTCCTCGCACTAGACTTGTCTCCAACGAAACACACTATTCTGGAGCTGAATAGGAATAGGAATAGGAATAAGAACACCCAGGCTAGCAATCGAGTCAAAACGGGTGCTACCTCACATGAATACATCTATGACAAACAAGTGGTTATATGTACTACATGCCCGCAGAGCGGCATCAACAAAAAGGGCTTAAGAATCGCTCATAATACAAGGTACACGAAGAGACCGGATAGAACAAAAACGAATAAACGAAAAGCCATCAACTAATCATCCCACTCCTCATCCAGTTGGTCTATTAGCCGGTTCTCAGCATCCACGTCGCGCCCCTGGCCTCGTCCTCCCCGTCCCCCGATAGCGCCGATGACACCGCCACGACCGCCGTCGGTGTCTGCGCGCATATACCCGCTGCTTGAGCGGGAGCGGTTGATGCGGCAGATACTGCCTAAGGATGAAAAGAGGATGATGAACATGTCCTGTTCGTAGAGATATTGGTCAGCCTCTTGTAGTCGCAATCAATTGTCGCACCAAAAATGTGCAATGTAAGATGTTGTTGGTATAATGAAAATACACGCAAACGAGTCTATGCGATCCTGTCCCTCAATCAAAAGCTCAGGGTATGAAACGACTGGTCCATTAAACGGACTGAGGGACAGTTCACTTGCATAAACATCATGAGACATTGTTTCAAGACACGAGAATGTATAAACTGCGATCAACGCAGCGAAAAATGATATGGCGAGCAGAATGAGAGAGAAAGAACGGAAGGAAAAGCACTCAGAAAGAATGATCTATGACCGTAAAGAAACAAGGAAACAAATGCATCAAGCCAACCCCAACCGTCTTTCCGAAGCGATTGGACTCCAGACCAGCTAAGAGTGTTCAATCTATCCTTGAAACAGGTAGTACTGCCCCATTTGAATCTCGAAACTTGCGTGACGCCAAATTGCCATATCTGAATCTGCGACGAGACCAACAAGGGATCACAGTCAAGACACTTACTTTGACAAAATCGAAGACTCCAGCCCAGAGGCTGAAGTTGGGGCATTGGCGCCAGCCACGTTGATGCATGACTGTTCGCTGGTAGGCGCAACCACCAATCAGATACACCGCCACGGCGATCAACATGCTAGATACCAGGTCAGTATGGCTTGTATACCACGGGTGTAGAATTGAGTGAATGGGGCTGCTCACATCACACCGAAGACACCGCCGGGTCCCAGACCTCCAGCGTTAGGATCTACGGCAATTCCACCACATGCAGCCGAGCTGCGGACTTCAAAGAAGTATGTGCATGAGTCCAGAGTGCCGACAAAGGAAGGAGTGGCCACGGTTGCTGGTGCATCGCGGTCGCAAAGGAAAGACATGATAGTCGACTTGTGTCGCTTCGAGATATTGGAACTGCCCATGCTACCCTCCTCTGGGCACGGCGAGCCATTGGTGTAATTGAGGACGAGTTTGCGGCCACGGAAGATAGGTTCAGAAGCTTGTTCTCTGGATGCGATATATAACTGTTAGCATATTGGGACACATGTATAGATCCAGCGACTAGACCGATTGGGTAATGAACTGCCATACCCTATGGAATATACTTTATCATCCCGCTTGTAATATGCACTGACGTTCTTCCACCGCGACGACTCTATCCCGACCACATCCGTCACGTTCTCGATGACCGGCGCGCAGAAGTTGATTGTGAAGTTGGCTGGGTAGTCGTGTCCCTTGGCATGCCAACTGTCATCCCGCGCATCCTTCACTACTTTCTTGCCATTCTTCAGTTCCGGCGGAGACAACGAGATCGCGCTGAGGTCAAAGTACAGCCCGGTAGTCGGGGAGCGGGCGACACATGGAGAATCATCATTGAGATGGGACGACTCGGCGCTGGATAGACCGAGGAACGAGGATAGGAGGAATAGGGCGTAATGAGCGGAGCTGGACAGCTTCATGGCTGGCTAGGAGGGGCGTTCTAGGCCGGACGCAGGGCACAAATATGAGACAAGAGAATGAATAGCGGAGAATAGAAGAGAATGTGGTGCAGTCAATGCAGAAATGGTTGATGCCTGCTCCGTGATGAAGGGGCCAAGAGACAAGACGCTTACGTAGCATTCATGCGGAGAAGGGAAAACTGCGGCTCTGGATGTTCCGGCATCATACGCGGAGCTCAGCGCAATATTTAATTGCCTGTCTTCCCCCCTCTGGATTATTTCCCTCGCTCATCATTGGCGCATATTTACTACGCTATCTTTCTCTCAACATGCCTGCCAAGAGTTCCAAAAAAAATTCCGTGCAACCAGTGCCGGAGAAGCGCGGTTATGAATTCGGTGGCCCGTATGCTTTTTGGAGCTTTACTTGAGTGACTTTGACTGACAATTATAACAGCCTAGGTGCATTTGGCATTGTCTTCGGTCTTCCTGTCCTGATCTACCTCTTTACCTTCGTCTGCAACGATGTCTCTGGCTGTCCCGCACCGGGCCTCCTTAGCCCCTCGACCTTGTCGCTCGACCAATTGAAGCGTGAAGTGGGCTGGCCAGAGGAAGGAATCACTGCGCTTTATGATACTGAGGTCACCCTGTGGATATTGAGCTACTATGCCTTCAGCCTGTTCTTGCAGGTCTTCCTCCCCGGCCAAGAGGCCGAGGGGTCTATGCTGGCCTGCGGAGGCAAGCTGAAGTACAAATTCAATGGTATGCGATACAATGCCTCACACGCAAAGCACTTTTGCTAACCTGGTTATGATATAGCCTTCCCATCCGCCATCATTATTCTCTCAGGCCTTGCTGGAGGCACCTATCTCTATGGAGCCGACTTTGTGGTGTGGACATTCCTGTGGGACAACTATGTCCAGGTGATCACCGCCAACCTGTTGATCTCCTCGTCGATCGCAATGTTTGTTTATCTTAAGAGCTTCACGGTTCCAGAGGCTGGCAAGCTCAACCCCAGCCTGCGAGAGCTGGCACCTGGTGGCCACACTGGCAATGCGCTCTACGACTTCTTCATTGGCCGCGAGCTCAACCCTCGCATTAGCCTGCCCATCCCCTTCGTCAGCGAGGCATCGCGCACCATTGATATTAAGGTGTTTATGGAGATGAGACCCGGTCTGCTTGGATGGACTATCCTGAACTTGTCCAATGTCGCCCACCAGTACCGAACCTACGGCTACGTCACCGACTCCATTGTCCTGGTCACCATCTTCCAGGCCTTCTACATCTTGGATGCTCTGTACATGGAGCCGGCTATCATGACCACCATGGACGTTATCATGGATGGATTCGGCTTCATGTTGTCCTTCGGTGACGTGGTCTGGGTTCCCCACGTGTACAGCATCCAAACTCGCTATCTGTCCGTCTTCCCGTACGAGTTGGGCTTGACTGGTATTGCCGTTGTTCTGGGTGTTACTGCTCTCGGATATTCGATCTTCCGCGGTGCCAACAACCAGAAGAACCGTTTCCGCACCAACCCCAACGACCCGCGCGTCAAGGACATCAAGTACATTGAGACTGCCGCTGGATCCAAGTTGATGATTTCTGGCTGGTGGGGTCTGGCACGTCACATCAACTACCTGGGTGACTGGATCATGTCGTGGGCTTACTGCTTGCCCACTGGCGTTGCAGGCTACGTTCTTATTGAGAGTATCAACCCTGCTAGTGGTGACCTTCAGAAGCAGGCCGTGCAGACCCCCGAGATTCGTGGCTGGGGTATGATCTTCACCTATTTCTACATGCTGTACTTCGGTGTCTTGTTAATCCACCGCGAGATGCGTGATGAGGAGAAGTGCGAGAAGAAGTATGGTGCTGACTGGAAGCGCTATACCTCAATTGTTCGCAGCCGTATCATCCCTGGAGTCTACTAAGGTAGTCTTCAACCGTTTCTTTTATGGGATCGTCAGGATTCTACCTATTTTTATTCCTAATTTTGTACAAGTATAGCCCCCTAATTCCTCATTCCTTCCCCACGGGCCCATCAGCTTCATGCTGGACGTCTCTGGTTATACGGAGCTTACGACCTTGGCCTAGGCCACTTCTATTGTTACTTGATAGACTTTGATGTCTAAACCAGGCACATTACGGGACCATTTCTATGTCAAGTAATCCGAAATAAGATGAAATTAAACTCAATTCTGCATTCAGTTCTTTCAGTTCTTTGATCCCCTCAACTTGCCAAGAGGAGACTTAAAGTCGAGGATGAAGACATTTGACTTCCTCTCCATATCAGCACCAGTTCTTTCATCCCTTATCCTGAAAACTTGCGGAGATGAACCTTGAGATCACGGATGAAGACCTCCGACTTCGTCTTCATGTCATCGTCGGAGCCATTCAAAAAGTCATCGACCACACACGTATCAATGAAAAGAGCGAAATGCTCACGAGCCCGTCTGTCCGTCGCCAAGTTCACCCGTTGCTGCGGGTGATAGGTCAATCCGGGATTAAGGACGAACTCGTCCAGATCTTTCGTGACGCCAGCGTCATAACCCGTGAGAGGAGTCGCCAGCCGGCTTGCCTTCTCCGTGAGGTACTTCTTGTATGGCACCATCACCTCCCGAAACCCGAACTGGCTGCCTGTTGTGTCGATAACCCATTTCTCTTCCCCCTTGGGTAGCCTTACTACCAACAACGTGTGTGGACAGCCGCCCATGTTTGCTCCTGGAACGAGCTGGGTTTGGAATGGTTCGTCTTTGATGTCGACATCCGCGACTTGGACCTTTGAGCACACTTCTGTTGAATATTAACCACATGCTACTTATACTGAGGACTTTTCGACGGGGTCCTTACCTTTGAGCAATTTCCTGGTCAGCGGGCCCAACAGCGCCATAGCCGTTGTGCATTGATTGTTGGTCAAAGCCGCCTCCTTGTGCTCGACATTGGAAGTGAGGTCGTCTGGGAAAGGAAAGCGCTTGGAACGATCAAAGCTCAATAATGCGTTCTGATTCAGGTAGAGGGTTCCCTTGCGAAGGGTTATGCCTGTCAGATGGAGATCGAAAAGAACCTCCCTGAAAGCCAAGAAGGCTTTCTTCAAGAGTTGGGCACACCGAAGGAGTTTCTTTCGCTGTTGCATGGCCTTGCAACGATCTTTGTGAGTCGGCCAGTGCTTTTTCTGGCAATCTTTGCTGCAGTAGAAAACATCGCGCGAATCGCCAGACTGGTACTCGGGCGAGTTCTCGCAGCCAGAGCATTTAGTTGATGCTTCTTTCCCGCAGCCTGCGCATTTTGTTGGCTTGGGAGCCACCTCGGGCTTGGATTTAGGATGTTTGTAGCCCATGATACCGTATGTCGGAAGTCGACGAAGGAAGATGCTTCTTCAGTCTGGAAAGAGCTTTTATATTCAGAACAAAGGTGTTTGACAAACGCTGCAAACGATGCGCGCTGAGCAAACGAGTATTTTGCACTATACATGCCCACTTCATGGCCATCAGGAGTTACGATTGTGATGAGACGTGCTCAATTAATCAAACCGGACTGATGTTATGTAGCCATTTTGATACACGCATGTCTTCTATTTTGCTCTCAATGCCTGCATTGAGATTACGCTTCAGGCAGACTGTTAAGTCAAAGCTTTGGGTATATCACGCTTCCGTTTCTTCTGATCGACCAGGACATCCAATCCCCAATTCTCATCCCCAGAATTGGGCATCCAGCCCTTGAGAACCTGTTTAGCATCCTTTATGGCCTGCATACGGATATGCAACGGGTCCTTCGAGTCGATCGGGTGTTTCAATCCCTGGTAAATGGCAATTCCCGACTCAGTTCGCTGACTGGTACCGCCATGCACCTCTCCAGGCTGGACAGTATCAAGCCGTGGCTCAGTCACCGAAGCGCCAGTTCGATCAGTATGGAAAGATACAGTAGGACTGATATCGCGGAACAGAGCCCAAAGCTTTGCTCTGGACAAGGCTGAGGCCCCCCGTTTTCCGGGAGAAGATGCACGATTGCCTTGCTTCACTCCATTGATGATCGTTTCATATAAACCAGTTTTGGAACGAGCTAAATGTGGCAGATTCTTGCGCCCTGTGTCCATGATCGCAGAACATGGGTGTTGATGTGAAGGCGCCACGGTCCACACGGCACTCACATTTCCTGGCTTACACTTTTTAGGACTGGCCGCAGAAGTTGAGCTGCCGTTTTCTTGTTCCGATGAAATCGTGGGGGGTATGATGAGTTTTGGCTTGAAGAAATGCCATAGCGCTGCAACTTCGTCACTAGGCACCGAAAGAACTTGAAATGGTCGGAACTGATACCTTGGCGTGTTATCTGTCTCTATTGTAGCAGGCCATGACCGTCCTACAAGAGCTTGCATCCGACCCTCTGCACCGAAGCATCGATCAAAGCCAACCTGAGTAATCTCATCTTCAGGAAGAACAAGGCCAGCAATGTATGCATTATCAGTGGGAGCAACCAATCGACTGGTCTCACATGAGAGCAAGGAAGAGATTTGTCTCAAGGCAAGTTTATCAGAGCAGGACTTGCTTCGTGTTGACTCGGCATCCGTCCGTGCCGGCTTTCGACGCACGACTCCGAGAAGAGAGAAATGAGCGCGACCATCGAGGAGGTTCTCTGCATCCGAAACCTCTAATTCTTGGCTTCCTAATGCAGGTTTTGGTTGACGGAGGACTTCCCACGGTGTTGCGTCTTCCTGGGATGCCATGCAAAGCTCCATGCTTGCATCGCCACATGGAGCACATGTACAGTACATGTAGATTTTTATATCGGAGTGAAATTCGAAAGGCGGCCATTCTGTGGGTGACCTTGATGCATCCCCATGTTCTTCAAACGTCCTCTTTCGTATGAAGGGGGAATTTGGGGTTTCTTTATTCTCGGTACTGACATGACCATGGCCCTTGGATAGTTGTCTCTCCCGAGACAGCAGGCCGTGGCATTCCGTCAGAAGCCAGTAATTGAATGCCCGGATGGCTAATATCTCGGCATGGCAATCATGTAGTACAAGACCCTTACAGCGTGGGATTTGAGACGCTGAAAGACATTTGGCGCCAGTACTACATAACTGTCAGTCTGCATCTTTATCGGCGGCCTGCATATGTGCCTTCGTTACACTTAGGGGAGTTCAAAACTTACGTGACAGCTATGCAGGTCAGAGTTTCTGATGCTGTGTCCTGTCCTATCCACAGTTCAGTTACTTGTGTTCAGTGAATATGCAAGTAATTTCAACACACCTTTCACAACCACAATACCGGTCATTGGAACCCATTCTCTCGATCCATCTGGAAAGATGGTTGGTTTACTGCGCGTGGGCAGAGCATCAAAATGTGCATGAACCAGCGATGCTATCCGGGATGGCAATGAGGGACCACGTGCCTGATCAGCCATTGGATTAATTGATAACCCAGATACTATATAAAACAAAGAAAGATTCGTGATAGAAAGAACCAAACCCCAAAATGTTCTTGACATCACGTGATTGATATCATAAGTGCCTGAGGCGTCGTACATATTTCCCTTGATTCTTCATAGCTTCCGAACACTCTTCAACACAATCAACCCACCCACATTTCACAATGGCCGACAAGCTCCGCACCATCCAGAACCTCGAGGCTCTTCAAGCCCGTTACATCGGTACCGGTCACGCCGATACCACCAAGTACGAATGGACCTCCAACATCCTTCGTGACAGCTACGCCTCCTACGTCGGCCACCCCCCCCTGCTGTCCTACATGGCCGTTGGCATGGGCGAGCCAAAGGAGAAAGTGCGCGCAATGATGCTGGAGAAGATGGTTAGAGGCGCTGGAAACCCGCCAGAGGTATGTGATATCCTTGCAGTGTCGCTCGCGACTACCGGGATGATCGACGACTGACATTTTACTGTACAGACCCAAGAGTAGTACCACTCACTCGTGGCTTCTTTTGATTTTTTGTCCTCTTTATACCCCACCTCGTGCGCGCGTCCTTGGCCTTCGAAGGCATATCCATGACGACCCTACTACTCAATCCAAATCGTGCAGTGAGATTGTTGCATCGTTACATCAGTTTGGAGATTACCAAGACATACGAGCTTTCGAACCTTATCCCGACCAATCATGAAATACCTGCCGATTGAAGTGAATATACCAGTTTCAACATCTGTAAAGATGCAAAGGATCCCAGTAAAATAACCTTTGTGACATTTCGTCCGAGATTTGGAGAGGTGCTCGGAACCTTGATTACTAGGGCCCTGAACAAAGGCTCTTCAGTTTTAAGCCAGAAAGGAAACAAGCTGGTTGGAATAGCTTAATTTTCGGGTCGGGTTAAAACATGTCGGGCCCATCGAGATTCATCCTACACAAAAGTATTGCAAGCGACCATCCATCGTGACTGCAGGCCCCTGGACAGTCTAGCAGGGCTTTCTATGCTGACATCGATTTCAAATCCTGTGTCCAACCCTCGAAGATAGTTCAGACTAGCAAACCCCAATTGGGAGAATCAAGCAGGTAGCTGCAGCATTGCAGTCCAATCCATCTCGCGGCGAGCGGAAACCCTACAGTAATCACCATAAAAGAAGTCTTAAGGAAAGCTCAAACTCAGAATTGATAAACGTATCATGTAGACCTAAGAAGCCATAGGCCACGGCTAGAAAGTGCCTACAGTACAAATTGAAACACGGCCCAGCCGGTCAGGCCCCTATAACAGGCCCAGAAACAAGATCATAAAAACACTTGGTCACGTATGTACAAGAACCACAAAGAAACAATCCTACTCCTTCTCCCCCTTCGTAGCCAACTTAGTATTCTCCGCCTGCAACAAAGTAACAAGATCAACCCATTTCTGACGCTCACTCCGCAGCGTCCGGACCTCCTTCTTAAGATCCGAGATCTCCTGCTTAAGCCCCTCAACCTCAGTTTTAGTCTTCGCCTTCTCCTCTTTCTTGAGATCTGAAATCTCCTGCTTAAGTATCTCAACCTCAGACTTCGACTTCGATTTCTCAGACCGCTCCACATCCTTTCGCTGTCTCGCTTCAATCTTCGAAGCGGTCTTCAATTGACTAGCCTCGATCTTGCGCAAGCTTTTCAACAGCTTCGATTCCTCATTGAAGAGCGCCGAAGCGGCTTTGTGGAAATGCGCTGGTGGTTCGGGCGTCTGTGTCTGCGATGACTGGCCATCACTGCTGTTTTCCGCTCCTTGGGTTGAGCTCTGGCTATGCTTATGTTTGTGGCTCTTTTTTGTGGTGGAGCTGGCGGACGTGGAGGACCGGTTTGTTGCTGCGCGTTTGCGCATTGCGCTGGCATCGCTGTCTATCTCGTTGATACCCCTGAGCGGTGTTCCTGGTGCGGTGGGAGGCTGTGATGGGAGTTGGAGTTTATCGAGCTCAGTGCGGATTGAGTCTAGTTTGGCTTGGACTTCGCGTTTGCGTAGGGCTAGCTTTGCGAGCTCTTTCTCATGGTGGGTGAGTTTGCCTGTTTTGGTCATTTTCATCAGTTCGTCCGGGGGCATGTTGGTGTGTGTGATATCGTCAATGACGGGTGTTGCTAGGTCGGAGTGGGCGGAGGAGAATGAGACTTGATCTTGTGTGGACTCGGCATCGAAGGATTTGTTCTGCCCGGCGCTGTTCGATTTTGAAAGCGCTGCAGTATCTGTATCACCCTGGGAAGTTTGCGTCCCGTCGGTTTGACCCGCTGCCTCATGATAGTGCATGTAGCCTTGGAGTTGAGGTGCGAATCGCTGGTAGCCAGTGCTGAGCAAGCCAGTTACACTGGCGATCAGGCCATGGTGTGAATGCTCGCCGTCACTATCCAGTGAACCGTACTCCGAGTCCGAATCCGACTCATTCGCCTCATCAGACCTGAGTTCGTTGACAGACTCTTGGGATTTAGCCTCAGTACCAGCTAAGGCAGTTGTAGATCCCGAACTCGAGTTCTTCTCCTCCTCCTGTGGCTTATCCTCTTGGATAGCCCAGTGGATAAACTTGGCGGCATCGGTTCCCACGCTTTTGGGTGTCCCTTTGTCCACCATCCAGCGCGGAATGCTGCCGCCAGGGTCACTTCTAGTGACCATAATCCACTCAACTGGATTCATTTCCTCGTCGTCACGATCCCCAGACGCACCGTCCCGCTCAGGCCGTTGCGAATCAGGAGATGAGGAATCACTCTTCTTCTTACTCTTCTGACTTGAAGAGCTACTCGCACTCCTATCCTTCTTCCTCGGAATTTCCCGAATAAGCTCAATAGACTCATAAATGCCACGAGTATAGCCTTGTTTAGGCGGCACACCAGGATGGTCACAAGGCTTCGAGATCATGATCCAACTGCGCCCAGGCTGCTTACTCCCACCAACCTGCAATCCAGAATCGGAATTGACAATCATAGCCACGAAGTCACGCGGCGCAGTAGGCTTGGGGAACTGCGCCGAGACATGATACACCATCAAATGGCCCAGCTCGGAACCATCCTCGTTCTTGACTTCGATGGTCTCAACCTTCTCTTCAGCACCGATACCACGGATACTCTTGTCAGGCGTTTGTCCTTTCTCAATCTTCTTCCGGTTGACCTTGAGAGTCTCGTCATACTCGCTGGACAGCTTCTCCCGCCACCGCTCGAACGGTAGCCCCGCGTGTACACTCCGCCGGCCGAACCATGAGCCGCCGCCGTCATTTGCGGATAACTTCCACAATGTCACGTCTAGCGGGTTGTCTTTTGGTCCGCCTAACTTTATTGGCTTCCCCCATTGCTTTTGTAGGTCGGTGATTTCGGGGTCGGTCTCTCCGACTCGGGTAGACGAGGGGAAGATCCGGGAAGCGGAGGGGCCTGTCGCTTCGTATTCTAAGTGGGGATAATCTTTGGCTTCGGAGAGTGGAGGGTCTGGGAGTGACTCTGCTATCAGTCGGCAGTGTTTGAAGAGGTCACGTATGTAGTCTCGCAGTTCGTCGGGGGACTGGGGGACGTCATCCCATGATGCTGGTTTGAGGCACTCCAATGCCTCGTGGAGGGTGGCCATAGAAGTGGTCGAGAGTATCTGGTGCTTCTATCGCTATGTCGGTGTGTGAGGGTGAGGGGTCGTAGTGATGTTGCTTCCAGAAGCCTCCAACTGTCAGCAGTGTGATTGCGCTCGGATCAGGTGACGGAGATGGGGTAAGCGGCAAGCGCGAATAATCCAGAAGATTTGAGGTTTCAAGAACGCAGATTGGCGATGCGCTTGGTTTGCGTCCGCAGGATGATGATCTGTTAAGCAATTGACACGAATCAATGACCTCGCAGCACGTGCGGCAACAGGAGGTGAAGGAGAGGTACACAAGAAGTGGACAAAATAACAACAACAATTGAATGTTAACGGAGCCTAGAATGCAGGTACTAGTCACTTATAAGGAGTTAAAGATCTACTCGGCTTATGATGCAGTGCTCTTTTTCTTGGCACCTCCGTGATTGACGTCATACGGGATCGTGGGGTAAGTATATAATTCTTAAAACAATTTTAGATAGACGAACTGCTATTCTTTTCTCATCTACGTAATGGATTATTGTATTCTCAAATGTTGGACTCTGATGGAAAACTGTTAGTGATTCCTGATATAGTACCTGACATGGTAGGCAGACACGTTACAATGTGCCCCTAACGTAGATCATCAAGCCCCATAGTTCTTCGGTATGAAACAGGGCTGGAAGTACCGGTGGGCCCGTAATTTGAGTATATACGGGGTATGGCATTTACACATACAAAGCGAGAAAACAGGTTGTGTATGCAACTTTTACAACTAAGCTCAAGGTACATACAAGATTTGGACTAAGCTGCTGACAGATCAACAAAGAAATCAGAAGAAGAGAAGCAACCAGTGCAAGGGACCAGCCCCTCGATCTGTCAGACCAAAAGGAGTGAATCAGCCAGATCGAGCGTCTGATTCTCGGTGCCGGCAAAAAGAACGAAGAACGGGCTCTCTCATCCAGTGACAGAGCCCACCGACTGACCAAGCATGTCCAGGAATTTCTAAAACCCAGCCTGGACGATAGGGGACGAACCTATCAATCGTCAAATATGGATGTTGGAAGTGAGACCGTAGCGCAGAGGATAGAAATGGCAACCTCAAGACTCGTTGCTCGGGGCGGGATGCCAGGATCCCCAGGTCACAGACCCAAGGGGGATCCGGTTTCATCGCCCTTTGCGCTCGGCATCCGCCACAGGCGGATGGACTCAAGGCTGGCGAGGTCTAAAGACAGTCATCTCTCACTCATATTGCTTGATCGCCACATCCAAGAACCATAGATGAACCAAAAGGCGGACACCAACCAAACATCGCAGATGCGAGGAGGGTCACACCGTCGCGTGGACATATCCTCCAATACTCTGCTTTCGGAGAGTATTGGCCAGTCTGGTACACAGTACCAGAAGGACAGACCTCGAAGGAAGGATGAGAGAACAAAAGGAAACGGCGAATCCAGTCAGCCATGTAACCAAAGTTAAGTCACGATCCTTCCATCGAACCACGACAACAGAACTGAAAGCGTAACGGTGGACATTCCACATCCAAATTCATATCCCATGCCGCGAGGCAAACCAGGTCTTCATGACATATATGCGGGAAATGACAAACGAAAAGAAACATAACAAAGAGCCGACCCGCCGCTTCTTGATGCAAAACAGAGGTAAGAGAGTAAAAAAAAAAACACAAACGCTGACGCTGGAATCGAACAGAAAATATCAAAACAAGCGCATGAAAAGGATTATTCTGGTTATCATGCAAATTGCAGGAGGGAGTATCACAGATGCACAGAGTCAAATCGAAGAGAGAACGCCGTCGAGGAATGCGAGTTGTCGTTGCTTAAGTCGGGTTCCCGGGAGAGAAGAGGAGAGACGAGAGTGAAGAGAGGAGATAGCCAAGGAGGAGGCTTGATGACACCGGAAGTTGCGCGCGCGTCTGGTTCTGAAACGATCTACATTCCTTGAACCGTTGTTGCACGGGTCGTGGAGGGCTGCAGAGGCGGGTCGACCAGCCCCGAGTCTACTCAGTAGATGCGAGCTAGGCGATCATGCCGTATGGCAGCGCGGTAAAGTCTCCCCAGCCAAATCCGCCAAATCCCATGTTCACAGCCGTGCTGCAGGGTTGCACGAGCGTGCTCGGCAACGGCAGTGCGTTGATACCGGCCGAGGTGGTCGGCATGCAGTCGTAGGACTGGTACGGCGAGGTGGTGTAGGGTTGGCAGTAAGACGGGGTCGGGGATGGAAGCTGAGCGTCACTGAAACTGATACTAGCCCAAAGATTCGGATTAGAATCAGCCGTGGCCGGGGTTGGGCTGGGCGACAGTACTTTCCACGACTCGAGAGGCGGCTGGGGCATCGGGGTCTGCCACCAGGTTTCTGTGCCGGTGGAGCTGGGGAGAAGGGGCACAGGGCGCATGATGTCCATCTGTCGAGGTTGAGGTGATTCGAGCCAGATGAAGAGCTTTTCGATGGCTGCCTTGACTTCTGCGCTGCGGCTGCACAGCAGCTCTCCGGCGCCGTCTTCTTCCAGTCCTTCGAGGGCCTCGGCGTTGGTTCGGTAGACGAATTTGTTGGCGGCTTGGACGAATTCCTCCTGCAACTTCTTCAGCTCGGTGTGCTTTCCCGACCAGTCCCATTGGTGACGGGAGGCGTTATCCACCGAGAAGATGTCGTTGTAGTAATCGACCAGGGATTCGATCGTCTCCGGGGTCAACTTGAAGGCCACTTCGTTACGGGAGACCATGTCAACATGGACGACGTAAGCTTCGATGTGGATCATCTGATAGTTGAACAGCCCTTCGATAAGTGGGTTGTCGTCCTTGCGAAGCTTTGCCTCGGGGGCTTTGGGAAATGTCATGGAACACAATGTCCAGATCGCATTCGACGATGACAGCGTCTCCGTCAGACACCGTGTGTGTTGGGTGACATTATTTAGCGGACGCTTGACTCGGTTGACTCGCTTCAAGGTGGCCGTCAACCACGGCGCAACTTTCCTATTCAGCACCACATTCGGGGATGATCTCGGCGCAAAGGCGGCGGCGGACGACGGGAGTAGGACTGTTGGCATTATGACTCTGTGAAGGTGATACGACCTGCGTTGTTATGATATAAAAGAATGTAGATAGAATATAAATCATAAAGGCGACATTCGCCCACGCAATATTGTCGGAGTTGGACTGTAAGACTGTAAGGTTAAAGATATCGCATAAACCAGGGTATATTAAAGTGGGCGAACGCGCAAAAAGGAAAGAAAATTAGAATATAAAAAAAAGAAAGGAGACGTAGAAGTCAAGAGATATAGAAAAGAAGGAAGAAGTTCAGAATCTGAGGGGTGGGACCAAACACAAGTGGATTCTATGCACAATAATAGTAATTTTTTCTATAAAGTCCTCGTACTCCGTATTGATATTCTGGTCGACATGCAGCCCGATGGAGTCAATGTATAGCGGCCTCGGACTCCCCGATCCGCAACTGCAACTCACTCTTCAGTGGCGAGAATGATTCGAAACCGCAGAAGAATCAATAAGGTCCAACCGAGTATAGTGTTTCATTTCCAGTTCGCACAGTATTTCCAGTCATACACCCGCGTTGCACATCCATTTGGACAGAGGCATCTGCAGGATGCCCCAAACTGCAAAAGCTAAGCCCCGATGATCAGCAAAAAATGAATAAATAGAGAATGCTCCGAGAGCCTTAGACAGCGTTAGCGGGGAATCGAAGCCATTTCTCAGCTGGGCGATGTGCATATTTGTGCGCTAAGGTTCCCATCCTGAAGACCTAAATAAAATTATAACATTTTACTGCATGCAGGCCAAGCCCTATCTATTCGATCCCACGTTTAGATTCAAGTTTCATTTCTTATGATTCTAGAGGAAAAGAATACTCTGAAACACGGTCATACGCAACCCTTTAAGGAGTTTTTTGGACCTGTCGAGTAGGATACACACCTCAGCTGATGGAGGGTCGAGCAGCGTGGGGCACATCAGGTCTTGGAGGGCTTCAGGCTTGGGATTCGCTGACGACAACCGAGAGCGGCCGATACAGTCAAGCTGAGATCCCTGCTTCGATCGCCCATTGGGCAGAGCCTCGATTGCTAGACTTTGAGAGGGCGCCACCAACATTACATACAATACTGTACAAGTTCCCTTCTGTATACAGGACTCTCTCTGTCCACCTGATTCATGTATGATTTCATCTTACTCTATCCACTGACACGGGCGCATCTGGCTATGCCCTAAAACGGAATCCCTGAAGGCTGCCGGCATATGAGTTCAGTCACATGGTCACCTTGCGCAAGGGGTGTGTACTGTACAGTGCGGTTGAAATCGGCTGCAGAATATTCCAAGTTCCCAGTTTTCGTCGCCAAATGTGCGTAGCTTACGAAGTACACTTTCCCCAAAATAGCCCGTGACCCCAGTGAGGCGGTGCATGCCACTCGCCACATGTGGCGGATACCTCCGGGTCCACTTTAGATGTGTAGACCCGGTTAGCTTCACTCTTTGCTTCACTCTTTGCTTCACTTTGCAGGTTTTTACCGATCAGAAATTTCATGATGCGCTGGCGACCATAGCAGCTGGATGCTCAGGTGGTGTTTCCCAGACCCACGCAAATTCAGGCTTGCGCTGAAACTCAGGTCTGAGGATCGGTTTCGAGGTTGTTGGGTGCTTGCCGCCAACATGACACAGCAAAGTAGCCTAACATTGAGCAGACGTAAATCTAAAGTCATTATCCTTAGCGACTGCATAGTTTATGAGTCATCGATGTGCCGCCGATGTTCCATTTGAAACAAAGCTAGGCGCTGTCTCAATAGTGCTTAATCTGATATACCGGCCATTCAACGAGTCATTACTATTTCGATATGCTTAACCAATGCAGTTATGCGACGAATACATTTAGAATATCACAGAAGTCCCAGTTCTAGGGGCGACAGAAAATCTCCATTTTAGAAACTACTTGAGCTCTGCTTTATCTGGAAGGTTTGACTCATACGTTCACTTTACCATCGAAAATTCTCAAAGTGTACATGTGAAATGTCCCACTTCTTGAACGAAGTCAGAGCGTCGCCGAGGCCTGTCGTAGCCTAGTTGCTGTTTCCGTGTGAGGCTGCCCTCGTGGCGGGCGACTTCTACTGGCGTCAAAGCAATAAAAAAATCTAGGAAACATGTAAGAGCATATAAGAGATAGAATCGTCATCACTGTTGATATTTGATAATCTAATAGATCGTATAAAATTCCAGCCATGGTTTAGGTGATCCGGAAACTGAAGGGCACGTCTAACCGCTCGGAGGGGGTGATGACACTTTCGAGGCAGAGATGCGGTCCAAACGCAAAATGCCGATCGATATTGCCCGAGGCCACAATTGCTTCAAGGGCCTTAGACAGAGAGCCTCGTTGATAGAGAATTGGAGGCCCGGAAATAGGCGCCACTTCTAGTCGGTCTTCTCGGGTTCCCTTGCTCGAAAGTTTCATACGAAGAGTCTCTAAGTTGGATGGTTCCACCAACTCTAGGAATTCCAGCAACTCAAATGCCACTCTTTCGTCCGATTCGCCGCTGCTTTTCTTAAGCGCCTGGTCGTCATCCTCCTGTTCGTTTGGTTTGTCGGACGAGGCAAATATTCTCACGACAAACAGCACATCGCGATCAACATCATACTGCAAGAACTCCTCAAGATATCGATTTTCCGGGTCACTAGTACGACCAGCTAAGAAGTAATCCTCGATAAAGCAATATAGGAAGATCAGCCACACAGAAACGGTAGCTTGCGGGGCTGGTATTGTTGTGGAACTCTCGAAATTGCTCCTGTCAAGTGGACGGATCGGCTCCATAGGCACCATCTCTCGAGGGGTCCGTCCTTCATGTAGGAGATCCTGTACAAATTCCCAGCTTTTAGATCCAGTAGCAGCAGTAAGGAGTAAATTTGGACCCGAGGTCGAGTTCTGCTGTTTCAAGCGGTTCATCAGATCAGGCGAGAGAAACTGGTGTAGACCGCGGTAAACAACCTCGCATAGAAAATCGGGAGAATGATTCGACTCTCTCAGTGTGCGCCATTCACAACCAATGCGTTGCAAATTCTCCCCCCAGATGTGACCTTTAGGCTCTGGGACCTCATTTCTGGGGAGAACTTGTGTTCTTGGTTCTACCGTTTGGGTGTGATGCTGAACAATATGGCTGGCCTCCTCGAGGAAACGCGACGGCACGTCGTATCCGCAATGTTCATGAGCAGCACACATCGCGGTAAAAAGCACATGGAGAGCCTTTCTCAAAGTACCGCCTTCTCCCCCAATTGCCCATACTCTCGGTTTGGTATCGTGTAGTGTGGATAGCGCAAATTTGAATTCTGCAAGTAACAATCGAAATATCCCGGAGTAGACATCAAAATCAGGTATACGGGCTCGCATTTGCGCTTCCCGGCTATTCACAATGTATTCGCGGGCACTGCGGTGGAGAAACCGCACTTCATAGGTGAAATAATCATGTCCGTCTCTTTCACGACTGCGCTTTCGGGACATCTCTAGCAGGCCCCGAGAAAGGCGATCGAACACACACGAGACACGCTCAAGTCGCTCATTGATCTCGCTCTCTGTACATGATCGCATCGGTAGTTCATAAGGAAAACCTGGATCCTCAAGGTCCTCGAGCCATGAGTATGCTAACGCATTCCGGACCGTGGGCTGCCACCGGCAGAAATTGGGAGTCGACAAGAGGAATAATTGGTCCGAGAGCAGCTGATCGTCTGGATCTATGGAGCTAAGGATCTGATCGAATAGCTCATCCAGCCCCTTGGGCATTAAGTGAAGCTTCCTTTTCAAGTCTTTCTCGCTGCCCTGATATCCTATACTCTTTAAGAGGGAGCGCACAACTAGCCGTGCCCAGAGAAATACCCCATCTGAGGCGTTCACAATCTCAATGACCAAGTCTTTATATGAGTCCTTGATGCGATGGAAGTTGGGGTCCTTTTCAAACATGGCCACACTAAACTTGGAAATATCCTCTCGAGTGAGCTCGTGGATACTAACTTGATGATTCAAGTCATTCGTGAAGGATTGAACAAAAGGAATATGAGGGCGACTGCTGACACAAAGCTTGATATTCTCCGCTTGTGCGGTCCAAGACTGAAGATCTCGAGAAAAACTCCAGTGATCGACCTCATCACCCTCAAACTCGTCCAGTCCATCAATGAAAAAACAGAAGTAGCTTTCCGAAGAGCTTGCTTCCTTGATCAGGCGATTGAATGCGTCCCTGACTTCATCGAAACGAATTGGGGCCACTCCGAAATTTGAACTCCCCCACAACTCAGGGAAGAGCCGGGGAATTAAATTGGGGATTTGCCTGCATGTTTCAAATAGCAGACTTCGATATAGGCCCTCGAGAGACATCTGTGTCTCATCTCCCGAATTCCAGAAGAAGAATCGGGCAAAAATCAAGGGTCGACCCCCAGCCCAGCTTTCTAATCCCTTCTTGACCCGAGACGACTTGGAAAGAAACTTCATCAACGTCGATTTCCCGGAACCTGCCTTGCCCGATATATGGAAGATGTGACGGCCAGAGTCGAGCCAGGTGAGAAACTTTTCTCGAGTACACCTTCGCAGTGCCTCCTGCTTTTTCTTCTCTTCCTCATACCGCCTCTTTTCCCTCCCTTCGTCATGCTTTTCTTCGGACTCTTCGGACTCGAGACAAGGGTCGCTCCGATCATCTGCCGGTTGAGATTCCTCGTCAACCATCCACGCGAAAGTCCCACTCTCGGCATTTTCAATGTTGTTCTCGCGACTGTACATGGATGTAAAGGCCAGGCGCTCTAGGATCTTGTTTTCTCGTGAGATTGAAGTAGTCACGGTCTGGAATTCGAGCAACGAAGCGCCCAATTTAGCCAACGGTCCCTCGTTTGACCCGTATGATTTATCTTGTGCTGGAGCCGACTGAAGGGAATCCACTAGCGTGGAAATAGTCTGGTATAATTCCTCTAGCTGGGGCATTGTCTGATTTTGAAGAGCTTTGCCCTCACTTCGAAGGGCCTCCAGTTGGCAATTGACTAGAGAGTTCTGCTCATCGGTTTTCTGACTATCTTTGTCTCAGTATCTCCCCGTCGTTAAACTATTTCACCCAAAGACGTACCTAAACATGACTTGCAATCGGATCATAATCTGAGATTGATACCCATTCAGTCGTCGCTCAATCGAATCAATCTCCTTCTCCTTCCGCATACTATGCCACTTCACCATCAGGCCCTCCCATTTCGATCTTTTATCTCCCACTTTCAAACGTCGGAGAATTTGATAGAGCTCTCCTGACAATGCATGACAGTTTGTTTTGCAGCCAAGGCGCAGAGCTGCTTTTCGTTTTCGGTCCGGGCGGGGAAGTCCGTGACCAAGTCCTGTGTGACAACATTCAAATCTTCCACCAAAGCACTCAGGCGTTCGTTCTCGGGGGTCATGCCAGTCGAAGTAGAAAGGACCTTATTTACTCCGGAAATGACTTTATAGGAAAAGTCAATGAATGTAAGGATGTTGCCGGCAAGGCTGATAGCCGTGAGGGGGTCCATAGCGCCGCCCCGACCCTAGTGCGCGACGCAGGCAGTAGAACAAGATACTTTCAACAACAGGAACGTGGATGAAAACCACGCGATTATTTGTAAGCTAAGCAGAAGGCTTTGCCCTGATGGGTGTTGGTGCGACTAACCCACATGGGGGGGACGTTGCCCCTCAATTTCAGCCGCTCAAAAAGATTGCTAAGACGCTGCATATCATCCCAGTGAGTAAAAATAATGAGCTATTGCCCTATATATCAACACAGATTGACCAGGCTATATTGGATAGCCCACACGAGGAGTGCCATCTACATAAACTGTGTTAACTTAACTGGTGGACTAGATGAACGGCGGACCGCATGAACGAGGGACTGCATGAACAAAGGACGCCGGGCTGAATAACGATTAATCTGTTTGGTTTGTTTGCAAGCGAGTGGTTCTAGACAGGTATATTCCATACAACCATATACATGCACACATCGTCGCTATCATATCTTTTAATTTGCCTATTGGCTCATCGCGTCCAAAATAGCTCGGAATCTCCCGAGTGAATTGCGGGGAAGGGGTGAAGTCTTATCAAATCGAGCCCAAATAGGTATAGACTAGGGAGTTTATGCCTCTTATCGCAGACTGCTGGTCAACACTTCTACCTCAATGGACCAAGAACTTCGGATTGTCCCGGTTTTTACTTATCTGTCAAAACTGAGATTTCTCCAGACTAGGGAATATCGACATGGCAAATGGCCCAGTTGGATATCTCCCAACGTTCTACAAGATAAGATGCCCTAGTATAAACATATCAAAGTCACGGCATTACCTCTCATAATCTGAGGTTCCAATTAATCGCCTTTTGCAAAGACCACGGCCTAGTGTCGTGACTCGGAGTCTCACAGTCATGTCTCTCAAGATAATGTTCACAGACTCAATCATTGCTGGCTATGTTAGGACCATCAGATCATGCCCTCGCGAAATAATTGCCAATCGCCAGTTACTGTTCACAGTTGCCATGTATGCGACAGCCGGGCTTCCGATCAGTGAGTGCCTATTTACTTACAAGAGCCGAGACTCTCTCTCTAACGAACAGCTCGGCAGCATGGGACCAAGGATCGTCTTCAGTGATCCCATCACTCCCCGGGTTTCAAGCCGCCTTTGGCATCACATCTGCTGCAAATCCCACTCAAGTGACTAACTTCATCTCCTTCGTTTACATTGGCGCCGGCGTCGGTGCTGGCTTTTCGTTCTTTATCAACGATCGGATTGGACGTCTGTGGTCTTTCCGCCTCTACATGGCTATTTGGATTATCGGCCAGATGCTCGCTACCTTTTCCTATGGCCATACCGGCGTTTTATACACAGCTCGCATCGTGTCAGGTCTCGGTATAGGACCCCTTACCGTGATAGGTCCCGTGGCCATCGTTGAAGTTGCCCCAACCGAGATTCGAGGACTGCTCTCAGTCTGGTTCAGCGTTGTTATGCTCCTATCATTGACGGTATCCATTTTCGTCGTTCTCGGTGTTTACCTCCATGTCGCCAGCAGCTATCTTCAATACCAGATTGTTTTCTTTGTGCCAACGATCGCGGTAGCCTTCATCGTCATGGGCAGCTTCTACTTATCGGAAAGTCCACGATGGCTATTTCTCGTCAACAAACAAGAGCAAGGCGTCGAAACTCTCGTCAAATTACGCGGCTTGCCTGCGACTCATCCCCGCGTCGCCTCCGAGATTGAAGATATCCAGAGACAGATTGACGGACAATGGAAGTTTCAGAAGAGCAGTTTACAGCCAGGGTTCATTGAACTGTGCAAGGAGACTTTCCTGGTCCCGTCCAACCTTCGCCGAGTCCAACAAACTTTCATATCCTATGCGTTGGCACAATTATCTGGTGCGAACAGTGTGACCTCATATCTCGTTCCAATCCTAAGTCTGATGGGACTAGGTGGTGGAACGGACCGTTCACTGTTTTTATCTGGCATGTACTCGATGGCGAAGTTCTTCTTCACGTTGATTGCGAGCTTCTGCTTTATTGATGTGCTAGGGCGTCGCAAAAGCTTCTTTACTGGCGTGACTCTACAGATGGTGTCTGATATCTACATTGGCGTTTATATTAAATACAGGCAAAGCGGCCTAGTCACTACCAGTGCGAGTGAGGCGGCTGTTGGGGCTATATTTATCCATGGATTTGGCTTTGCTGTTGGTGAGTGATGGGATAGTATTTACGCAATACATTCTCACTGCTAACTATCCATCAGGTCTTTTGATTCTTCCATACGTGTTCGGTGCAGAAATCTGGCCGAATCATATTCGGTCCTTCGGTGCTGCAATTTCACAGTGCTTCCACTGGCTCTTCTTCTTTGGCATCAACAGAGCAACGCCATCTCTCCTCGCCAATACTAACAATTGGGGCGCTTTTATCTTCTTTGCAGCCTGGTGCTTTGTCTCAATTGTCTATGCCTATTTTGTGATACCCGAGACCGCAAGAGAAGGACTCGAGGACTTCGACGCTATCTTTGAGCAGCCACTTTGGAGGGCTTATCGCGGCACAAAGCGGAATCATACTACATGCATCGAGGCTTTTGAAGTATCGTAAGATGGCCTAACCCGTTTCGCTTGCTGATAAATTGGATCAGACCACTAACAAAGTACAGAGATGCACATGATCATATGTCCAGGTCTGGCAGTGACTTGACAAAGAAAAAGAATCACTTTGCGGATGATGGTGTTGAGATCTGAACGCGAAGGGACGATTCAATTTCTTGCTCCGTGTTTTCCGATACGTTTCTGGTAACAATAGCTAGCTTTCTAAGAATGTTAACATGCAATATATCTTATCTTATATGGTGCCATTTAAGCCACTCAATTTCGCGCGTGTCTGTAAGTGGGTACTGTTCGTGTGGGTATCCCTCTTTTGTAGGTATTTCCCGTGATTGTGGGTATCTGCCGTGTAGGTATTCCCTCAGCGGCATGTAGGTATTCGTCACGTAGGTAAACTCCTTGTAGGTAATTATCATGTAGGTATTAATAACTTATAAGATGCTGTTAGTCCTTTGACATCTAGACTCGAGAGGTCTACACTAAAAGTACAAGACGTCCTCTAAGATGGATGTCGTATTGGATATTCTCGATACATTGGTCCTCGATCGATGCTATGCATTTCTCTCGCCGGATTTGAATGCTAGTCTTGAAAGTCACAATTCCACAGACTCCCAATTGAATCGACATGTTCAGATTTACTATCCTATGCAACCCTCTGAATGGGCCGAAGCCAGTCTTTGGAAACGAGATGATCTTGCCAGACAAGCATTATCATTATACTTGATTACTTGGTAAGTGCTCCTCTTTGGTACCCAAGAAGACCAAATTCATTGAGATCATTTGATTGAAATAGGCTATTCGCAATGATCATGTATTTGCTCGGCAGTCTTGTACTATACCACACATTATTCGACAAAAGACTACTCCGACACCCCCGATTCCTTACAAACCAGATGCAACTCGAGATTAAACAAGGCCTTTGCGCCATCCCAGTCATAACCCTCCTTACGGTCCCGTTCTTCATTGCAGAAATTCGCGGCTGGTCCAAGCTATATGACTTCACAAGCGAATCTCCATTCTGGGGATACACATTATTACAATATCCGTTCTTCATCTGCTTCACTGACAGTGGAATCTACTGGATCCATCGCGGCTTCCACCACCCTCTCGTCTACCGCTGGCTTCACAAACCACACCATAAATGGGCCGTTCCGACACCTTTTGCTAGCTATGCGTTTCACCCGCTGGACGGATGGTCGCAGAGTCTACCATATCATATTTTCCCGATACTGTTTCCATTGCAGAAAAGTGCATATTTGGGACTGTTTATTTTCGTGACGATGTGGACAGTTTTGATCCGTGAGTTTCATCAAAGTCCATGACTCCTTCAAAGATAATAGCTGACTCTTGTTCTTTCTTCTACTCGCAGATGACGCCGAGTACCTCCCAGCATCTGAGATTATCAACGGCGCTTCATGTCATACGATGCACCACCTTTACTTCAATTATAACTATGGGCAGTTTACAACAGCCTGGGATCGTCTTGGAGGAACTTATCGGGAGCCCAAAGGCGATGCTTTCATGGAGAACCAGCAAGGCACAGAGAAGATCGCTGATAAATTTGACTAGAGGGATAAAGGATGGGTTCATATGTACATTAAAATCCAAATAAATAGATATACTAATTAATACATTCATGGTGCAATTTCGTAACACCATTGAATAAAGTCATTCAAATTGCCCAAGTCGTCAGTCGCAGTGTTGTCCAGATACTTGAAGCTAGCATCGGACTTGCTAGAGACCTCCAGTGTAGCATTCAATAACCACCAAAGCTCTTGAGCATGTTTCGGATACCCAATATGAAAGAATTGATCCTTGGCCAAGAGACCAGTGACGGAATCCCAGATGCGCTTCCAATTCGCTGAGGCGCGTCGTATTTTGTCGACTGATAGGTATCTTAACAAGCCTGCTCTTGTCTGGAATGCGAGAGAGTTGATGGCTATAATATTATCAGCAGGGTATCGCTTTATTAGGCTTAATCGTCAACGTACCGTAAATCAGAATAAGAAGGTGCTCCACAGATACTGAGAGACTCCATGGTATTGAGACTTCGTTTTGTGTCTCGAGGAGCTGGGTGACCACGTCTCTCAGCGGTGGAAGTGGGAGGTCGGCTGAGTGTGCCTCGGCGATTTTGCTAAACGACGATGCACTTTCGGCCTCCCATAGCCCAGCACTCCACGGCAAATGGCAGTCCATTTCGAAAACTGATATTGATGGGTTGTTCTTGAAGCAAACCGTAAGGAATCCATCAGCAAGGAAGACCCAGCAGGCGATCCTGTGGATGAGTTAGTACAATATCCTAAATGATTTATAATAGGAGAGACAATGGGACGAAATCTTACCGTATACAAACTTCCTCTGCTACCAGAGCCTTCCATGTCATCTCATCGCAGACTTTAGGGGCAGTTCGTCGTTTGAGCTGGAAAATTCCCAAGGATCTTATCGTAGAAACAAGGCATGGATGACGGACAATCCGAATGCGACGCCTTGTTTGCATATCATCCCGCCCAAACTGAAGCATTTCAATAATGAGGGCACTTTGTATTAGCTGAACAGTGGATAAAAGATGTGTAGAGTCTTTTGGCGATGGAACTGCAGCCAGATTTGCAATGTTCCGAAAGATGTACTCTTCCGCCACATCGAAAAGACTTGATGGAAGAGCACCCCCATCTAATGGAAAAGTATATGTGGCACCAGATAAGAAGATCGAGAGTAGAAGAGAGTTGGAAACGTTCCCTGGGTCAAATGTTGGAAAATGAACCACGGGCAAATGCCAGTGAAGAGAGTGGAAGAATGCAGAGACAGAGGCGGAGATATTGGATACTCCCAAGAGCGTAGAGAGTTCCATAAAGTCAAGCGGCGGTTGACCTTCTGGTTTACCGAGACACATTGACTTTGATGTTCCAACCAACTCGGTCATGATCTCAGTTAATTGGTTGGAAAGCTTTGACGGAAAGAGGGCCTCAGGCGGGAACTGAGAGAAGAAATCATCTGTAGACAATGGAAATTGATAGGAGAAATCTGGGAGCTGAAAGTCACCACCAAAAGCCGACAGGGGATCAGTAGGAACAAGAGCATCTTCGATGTGAGAATTGAGCGTTTCAAGGTTCCTTCGGACGGAGCGTTTTGCTGTCTCGCCGATCGCAAGTCTGTCCTTATGGACAGATGGATTGGCAAAATGCCGAAGGAAAGTAAACGGACCACCACCTCTCGGAATATTGCGAGGTGGATTCGTGAATGGTGAAAGTGAAACAAGTGATGAAGAGCTAGGTCCTGTAGATAGTGTCTGGTGACCGGAAAAGGTGCATTGCCGCCCGAGGGAACTGCAACGAGAGCAAGGCGAGCTTTTATCGCAAGACGCTTTGGCAAAGAAACACAAATCACAAGATTGCCTTTTTCTGCCTGGTTTGGCTGCGGGTGGCAACGGTTGGTTGTATTTCTTTGCACACGCTTTGCTATGCCTTCGAGTTACCTCCCTTCCTAATGATCAGCGACCGTTCCTGTTTCATAGTAGATGTGGGATTTCACACAGTTTTAAAAATGACTTTTTGCAAAAAGGACAACTGGAAGAGGGCTGCTGAGTATCTGGAAGGCTGTCAGACCATTCCCAATGTCGAGATACTTCACCGAGACTTACGAGTTGCCTCATGGCGGAGCAGATGAGGTTTCCGCTGGTAGCTCTTGTCGCATTGCGAGCATTCAAACATGACATAGAAATATACGCTGACAATAGGCAACGTTCACAAGTGTATTCGGGAGATGGAATGGGACGGCTAAGAATAAAGTCGATGCGTGGATGAAGTCCACCGGTGCGTGGCCGAAGTCCTGACAAATCAAGTCTAGAGTCAAATCTCGCAGTTTTTTTAATCTGAAAGACTGGAACTATGTCTAAAATTAACCGCTACTATTGTATTTGCAGTTTCTTGTACGTGGAAGAGCGGCAATTTCCAGTATATCCCTTCAGTTCAAAAAATCCCCACCCGTTTCCTTCAAAATCAATTGATACTCAGGCTCAAATTGCATATACATCACCTCAGGAGTACCCGTTCCTTTTTTGGTGTATATGGCCGTTTCATCATCGACTAGTGTCTTCTTTAGAATACCCTCACTCGCTCCAATAGATCCAGGTGCTGTGGAAGCTTCCACAAGAAGCTGGGTCTGACATGCCCTTTCTAACGCAATGAAGAAGGCCGCCGCTTCGGCAACCGTCCCTCCAGCAGTAAGTAGACCATGATTCTGCATGATAAGGTTCTTGTTCTTGGGACCAAGGTATTCCGCAAGACGTTGACCCTCTTCTTTTGCGAAAACGACGCCTCCAAATGCCGGATATACTGAAAGGTCATCATAGAACATGCAGGAATCTAAACAGCGTCAGCAAAAACATGTTACCAATTAATTACCCAATATTACCTTGATTGAACATATCGATGCCCCGGCCAAATGTGCTCCATGCTCTTCCATACGGACTATGCATATGACAAGCCGCGTGAATGTCCGGTCGCCTCTGATGGATCGCCGAATGAATGATAAAACCAGCCGCGTTGACAGGTTTATCTGCACCAGCGACTCGGTTTCCCTCCTCGTCTACTCTGACCATATCAGAGACCTTGAGGAGGGCAAAGTGTACACCGTAAGGATTGATCCAGAACGTGCGGGGTTCGATGGGGTCTGAAGGTGTCAGCATTTTTGGATAAAAGTTGGATTTATAGAGTATGAAGTCCAAACAGTATTAAGTACCTCGAAGACTAATATGTCCACTGCTACCATCCGAGAACCCTAGTTTAGCGAATATGCGAAAAGCACCCGCCATCTGCTCGAGGAGCCATTTCCTTTCGGCCTCCTTGTTGACGGGTCGCGGAATGTGATGTAGCCTTTTCACTTCCCCATTTGCGCCCGTCTCTGTATTTAGAGCAGATGTATTCGAAGTTGGTTCGATGGTAGTTACGACTGACGACATGATGTGCACAGTGACTGGGAAAGTCAGATCTCGATAGGTTGACAAGGCGAAAAATAACCGAGGAAATCTATGTCGACCCCGCAAATCATTACTGACTGCATTTTCTTTTGTATCAACTTATCCGGACTACGGAAGCACGTAATGGCTCAAATGCTCGGAAGAAGCCGAGACGATCGCGCGATAAGTTAATGTGTTGATACAACGACTTTTCGAAGCATCGACGGGATATTCTATATCAAAGTCGATAAATCAAGGAAATTACATGAAATATCTAATCCTTGTATTAATCGGCGCAATCTGTGGTTGAAACATGCCTGCAGACAGCTCTATACAGATAGGATGGTAGGATAGGGAAAGGAACCTATATGTATGAAAAGGAGAGGGGGGGAGGTGGTGTGGGTTTCACGAGGTGTTATAAAGGAAGAATCGGATGACTTAAAGGCGCATTAGAAAGAGCGTCACAGCAGAGTCCTCGTCATAATTGATCATGATATCTGAGTAGGACTCAAAATGTTGGAGCACGAGAGGTATTTTCTGTCGGGCCAATTACGGTCTCATCCGGCGGAAGTTCAGGAAATTCTTGTAAAAGCTCCTGAATAAGCCAGTCTGACCCTTGAGGCATAGCTAGATCGTCGAATCCCAAACTCCAATCCCTTGGGGAGAGCCCAGGGGGAAGAGTGTCACCCGGGGAAGTCCATTGTGATTGTGGGGGCACCGGCCTAGCAGAATTTCCAATACCACAGATCATGTTGATGGTTCGTTCGGAAAGGGCTTCGAAAATGTCGCGATACGATGTCGCCAGATTCCACCGCTCAGCTATAATAACCAAGACTGTTGTGCAGGCCATGCATGTGTTTATCACTTCGCTCTGTTTCGTCTGCTGGCGTACTCGCCATGATCGCCACAGACAATACAAATATGTCAAGCCGCCAAGGAATAAGATATGTAGACTCCCCCAAGTAAATTGAACAGTGGATTTCTGGTAGAGTCGACGATATAGCACGCATATATCACGAGCGCAGCGGGAGCAGTTCTCGAATGCTTTTTGGAGGTCCTCTTCCTCTTCAATAGAGTCGATATTGTTTATTTCGTGTTGAGTGCGCCCTTGTCGCCGTTTACCGAGAATCCCAGTAATGTATAAGCGATAGAGGATGAGGATTGAATGGTCGTAAGCAATTTGGAACCATTCATCTGAGGCAAATACCGATAAAGGATGAGAGGACGAATAGTCAAGGTGAGTGGGAGCTGATGCGTGCCATTCTTCCAATTCTTGGCGAAGACTGTCAACAGTAGCGACTTGTCTACCGGAGTTGTGGTGTTGCGGCAGAGGCGAGTAGAGATTGGCATGGAATTTTGCCCATAACTGTCTCAGCTTGATGCTATGCAGGGTACCCGTCATTATTGTTGGCACCTGGTCGTCAGCAGCGCGGGGATTTGCCAGTATACCATGGTGGGTAATGCTCTCATCTTCAATATCCATAGGAAGCTAAAGTATGAACATTAGCAAGATAGAGGCATTAAAACGACGAGTTAAATGCGTCACTAAATCCTACCTCTGCGTCGATCAACTCATCTGGGATACCCACCGGCCGCCCCAGGATGAAGGCAGCGACACGATCGATATCATAGGCAACCCAAAAGCACCTTTTGGACATCTCTTTTGTTAGAGGATCAACATGCCTGCGATATCTCTCTGCACTTCTGTGGTATCCTAGCTCGATGCAATGGCGGATTGCCATCCCAGATATTTTCCTATCATTGACGTTATCCCACGAATGATGAAAAGAGCGGGACTGTAAGATACCAAAGACTGGCCCCAATAGGCGATCGGATCGAGTACATTGCACAACATAGAATAGCTTGGATTGATTCCAGGTTATTCAGCGCAAGGACGGAAGGCAGGTAATCCAAAGCCAAGGAATAGTACATCTAAGAGTGTTAGGATCTTGGAATGCCCTTATACTTGCAACAAACATACAGCCGCAGCACCGTGCTGACTTTGACTTAATGCAAGAGAGCCAGTAGCGTATACCTGGATGGTAGACGGGAATAGTTAGCCCGTGAGTCAACTCCATCGCTGCTCGGTCAGGCGATGCATACCATTAGGACAAAGAAGAGTGGAATATCACCAGCGGCAGAATTGTCCCCTGACTGGTTCATGTCACAAATATCCTGTTCCCATTTGAGAAATGTTGGCCGGTGCAAAAAGGGGTACTGTGGATGGATATTGTTGAAATAAGCCCGTGATAGATTAGCTGAGACACTTGGTGATGGCAGCCGTGGTACTCGAGTTGAACGTATAGTAGGCGGAATCTCCTCGCTTTCTTCGAAATCACGCGGAGAACAAGATGAACCTTCACTTTTGAGGCCCATTGTTGCGCTTACAATCCGCGAGAATGATACGGCCGACGAAGGTCCGAAATAATGTGGTTCGCCACCAGCGGCATTCAGACACAGGAGAGCAACCTCAGAAGAGAGATGGTCGACCTGACCATCGTCACCATCGTTTGCCTTTTCAAGAGATGATGGTTGACGACTTTTTGGGGGAGGACTTGTATAGGTTCCTCCGAATGAGTCACCTACGAACTGGTTGAAGCTTGAGGCATCGGTTGTCTGAGGCGAAGTTGATAGAACAAAGGAAGAACCAGTATCCACATTGCCAGGCCCGCTTTGATCGTTCTGCCTCAGGGCTATATCTGGATGGACTTCTCGAAGAAGAGCTTCCAGGTAGACCACCCGTGATTCAAGGGACTGCATATAATTACGCGGGCGATGAAGTCCTGTTGCAGGGTCTTCCACAAGGCATTCTAGGCAAATCAGACAAGGCCTCCAGCTAAACGAGTAGGCTTACCTCTTCCAGTCCGTACGCAATGGTTGCATTTCGGTGTTTGCCCATCGCACTAGTCACATGGTAAGTGGCATGGCTTTCTCCCAGGCGAAGTTTAGATACCTTTAACTTCTTCTGCTTGCATCCGATGCAAGCCAGCATCGTTCGCTCGCCAATCCTTGGTCGCTTTGGTGCATGGCTCATTTTGAGGGGTTGATCAAGGTGGGATGGGATGGCTTCAAATAAGATACGGAGATAAGACGGCTAATCTTTATCCAACGCGTTTGAACAGCTCTTCCTCAACCCTTTTTTTTTCACCTTTGACAGTTTACATACTACATTCTCTACTAGCTACCGAGACTGAGTATCATCTACACCATATCGACAGCTCCCCTGTGCCTCATCCCATGTCTACACCTCCACACGTCGTCCCCGCATTACCCCTCAACAACGGGTCGATTTCCACACCACTTTTGGCGTGAGCTGGGATTTATTGAAGGATATATAAAGATATACAGTCTGATTCCAACATCCCTTGCAGACCGGGAGAAACCGAGCATATCTGGCGGGGGAGTTTTTCCTGATAAGACATCGGGAAAAGCCGAATTCCAATGAGTGAATCTGTAGTGGATGCGTTGACCAACGCGATAAGCTACGAGGGAAACACTTTGATACCAGGAACAGGTGCATCAAAAGCAGAGTGATAAGCTGACTTTGTGAGGGACCGGTTCGACACTTTCCGATTGAACTTAGCAAAACATGGCCAAGTCTATACCCCCCAAAAAGCAAGACCCCATCGTCATCGTCGGGGCAGGAGTTTTCGGCCTCAGTACTGCGATACACCTTTGCAGGCGTGGTTACAGTGATGTGACCGTCCTCGATAAACAACCTTACGATGAGTCTCTATACTCATATCTCAAGGGCGCGGACGCCGCTTCTGCCGATATCAACAAAATCGTTCGATCAGCCTACGGATCCCAGACAGAGTACCAGGACTTATCTTCTGAAGCGATCCCCGAATGGCATGCCTGGAATGCCGAACTCAAAGCAGGCACTCTAGTTCCACCTGGAATGTCCACCAAGGATGCAGTCTTCGTGCCTAACGGAAGCATATCACTATCTACCTCCGTTGACTTGCCACCATGGGAGCTCGCCTCTATTGAAGGAATGGAGAACTCTGGTCATAAATTTACCCAGCTAGCAACAACAATTACTAGCCATCGAGACATTGCGGCGCGAAGAGGCCTGCAGTCATTTATGGATCCGTTTCAAAGAGAAAGACGTGGCAAGCACAACACTGGCGTGCTGGATAGCACAGGTGGTATGGCCGTTGCGGATAAAGCCTGCAGATTTGCATTACACAAAGCGCGAGGCCTGGGTGCGAAATTCATCTTCGGTGAACACGCTGGATGTATGAAAGAGCTATGTTACCAGGACTTGAAGGTGATTGGGGTCAAAACTCGAGATGAAAAAATACATTTGGCTGCAATGACCATTCTTGCCTGCGGCGGATGGACTCCAGTTCTATTACCAGAGCTCGATGGGTTATGTGAAGCCACCGCGGGGAGTGTAATGCTGTTCAAAATCCCCGAAGGTTCACCTCTATGGGACCGACTTGGCGCAGACAAGTTTCCAACGTGGATGTGGAACATGCGAAATGGAGCCGAGGGTGGTCTGTATGGATTTCCGAGAGATGAGAACGGCTGGTTTAAGGTTGGGTACCGGGGAACGAAGTATACCAACCCGCTACGCCAGAGCGATGGCAAGGAGCGAAGCACTCCGGTGACACGGTGGTCGACTGCTGAGAAAGATGGTAGTGTCTCTGCGGGAAGCAACTTTACTTCTTTCCCACAACAGGCACACGAGGTTCTGTCTGGATTTCTGAATGAATACCTCCCGGAATTATCCGAAGAAGGCATTGATATCTCCCTGACCAGAGTCTGCTGGTATACAGATACATTTGACAATCACTATGTTGTGGATCGTGTACCCAACAAAGAAGGGTTGATGGTCGCAACGGGTGGCAGTGGCCATGCATTCAAATTCTTACCAAATATCGGGAATTGGGTGGTAGATATAATGGAACAGACTGCTATGGATCGTCCAGCAGTCAAGGCATGGCGATGGAGATCTGTTGGCCCGGAACAACCAGTTAACACTCTCATGGAGGGTTGCAGTGGCCCGAGAGCCCTCCAGAACATTGGTCTTCTTCAGGAAGTGTCTCTGCAAAGCAAAAGGAACGCTAAGCTCTAGAATATATAAAGGACAGGATAAGTTCGGCTCTTCACGGAGAACAGTGCAAACGCACGTAGTATCTGCTGGACTAGAATTGCCTACATTTGAAATAAGTTTATAGTATTGCAAGCTCTTCTCTATCAGTCTATGGAATAGATTAACGTTACAATATTTACCTTACACTCTTGGTTCTTCATTCTGCCTCTCCTTGCTTATCTCTAGCCCAACAAACCGCATATCTGGACTTGGTAAACTTGAACGTCGTTGAATTTCTATGAGCATCGTTAAATCTAGGAGCGACTAACGAGTTCCCCCATTTTGCGTCTTCGCCTTGATATCGTTAACAGGCGAATTTGCTTTCCCGGTTGCAAAAAAAGCGCGGATATTCTCAAAGCATTCCGTCTCAGCTTTCTGGAATGCCTTCTCTGTCAACCCACCCAAATGTGGTTGCACAACAATTTTGTCGCTCTGTAAGAAGTAGGGATTTGGACTCGGCTCATTGACAAATACATCAAGCCCTGCACGCTGTACCTTGCCTGACTCTAGCGCCGCAATAAGAGCTTCCTCATCAATGACTGCTCCTCTAGCTGTATTGACGAGGAATACTCCATCTTTCATAGCAGCAAACTCAGCTGTGCTGATAAGGTTCGTGGTTGCAGCATTGAGGGGGCAATTGAGGGAGACCACATCTGCTTCATGGAGAAGACCATGCAATGACTTGCAGTATGTTGCCCCATATGTCTCCTCCTCGGCAGCCGGGAGCTGGTTGCGATTGTAGTATTTGATCTTCATGTTAAAAACAGCGGCTTTCTTAGCGAGGTACTGAGAAAAGAATATTAGCAACTGTTGATATACCCAACTCGGTGGTTTATCTGCTTACCTTTCCAATGGCCCCCATACCGACAATACCAAAAGTGAGTCCCGACGGATCGCAAGTGGGAACGAGGTTCGCCCCCTTCCTCCACGTACCGTTCCGGGCACTCTTCTCGGCATTTGTAGTATTCCTCAAGACGGCAAGTGTCAAGAAGATGGCCATATCTGCTGTAGCCTCCGCGACTGCATTGACCGTATTGCAGAACACAATCTCTTGACTGGCCATCCAGTCCACATCGAACTCATTGTATCCCGCACTGGCAGAAGTGATAATCTTGCACCCTGGTGCTAGTGCCTTGAGCAGATCCTCGTCGAATGGCTCATAGGGTGATGTGCCCATCCGAATGATAAATGCATCTATAGGTCCATTCTCCTTGATGTCTTTTGGTAGCAAGGTCTGTGTCTCCTCACGATTTGTTGCAGGCAAGACAGAGTAGTCAAATTGGGTTTGGAATCGAGCGATGTACTCCTCACCCACGAATGCAGGAGTTCCAAGGGATACAACGCGTGGCTTTCTTCCGATCGTCATAGTTGGTGGCAGGGTCAATTGAGAATTGATAGGCGAGTCGCTATGTTGTTAAGCAGACTATCGTAGACAAAGTTCAGAAATGGAAGCGAAAGGGCATAAATTTACAAAGCTCAAAATCAACCCCGCACTCAAGTTATAGCTCGCTCTCGCACAGCTCATCTCATTGTGGGTGAAAATCACATACATCGGTATCTCGGGTTCTTCCGAGCCCAGTGATAAGCCCGTGAGGGGAAATCCCAACTCAACTGATAAGCCTAGCTTGACCATGTAGTCGCAGGGAGTTTCCGAAAATTGCTTTGATATTTGTTTTAGAGAGACTTCTGGTCAATATCCTTGATTAACAATGGCTACCACGCAGGGATTTGCTCCATCGAGAGAACAATGCTCAACTCAGGATCAGCTCCAAACAACAGACGTACACGGACTGGTAGACGATGCAGTTGAAAAGATTTCTGGCGATACGGAGTTTAAGGACGAAATCCCTCCACTTGGATTTATCTCAATTGAAGTCATTTTGCACAGACCCCCTGGGGATCCTTTCAATGAAAAAACATGGCCGTTTCCGTTGATCCGTGAGAAGGTGGCTGGCTCATCAGAGGCGCAAGTTGTGTGCTCCGGACCATATGACGATTCCTTCATCGACAGATTCGTTGAAGCTGGCCAGAGACTTGCGAAGCGTGGTGCGGTTGGTATAATCACGAGTTGCGGTTTCCTGGCTATGGCACAAACAGAGTATGTCTGTCCTGTGGCGACTAAATATAGATCCTGCATCATTTACTAACTTCCAAGTCTTGCTGCTCAACTCCCTATACCCATTGCTACGTCTGCATTAATTCAAATTCCGTCAATACTAGCTGTCCTCCCTCCAGCACGCAGTGTTGGCATCCTAACTTTCGATGATACGCGACTCGGTCCTCTTCATCTCGCCAAACTAAATATACCTGCGGCTAGATGTCACATACGTGGTGCTCCGGAAGGCGGCCTTCTGCAGAGTCATATCCGTCAAGGTGTTGAATATGTCCACCATGCAATATGCGAAGAACTAGTAACTGCGGCTCAGAATCTAGTAGCTGAGCACCCTGATATTGCAGTTCTCTGCCTGGAGTGCACACAGATGCCCCCTTTCTCAGAAGCTATCCAGCAGGCGCTTCAACTTCCCGTATATGACGTGTATTCGATGGGATGTTGGTTTTACTCAGGCTTAGTTTCCACAAGACTGAAATCATGGGGTCCTGTAATGAAAGACAGTGTTGAATCAAGGCGGTAATATTAGAAAAGAACGTCGACTGAAGATTATATGTTTGAAGCTCTAGCAGTTATTCCTGCCACTACCCTCAACCTAGGTCGATTTTGAAAATCCAGAAATATGCACACACCCGAGCAGTGCGGATCACTTTACATCCATATCCCTACGAGCCTCGCGAAGCATCGTGAGTATCCATTCCGATAGACTAGGTTACATATGCAGGCTGTCTCATGACGTAGGAGAATAATGAAGAGCCGGCAAGCTTCGCCAAGAGAATGGCGCAGCGTGGATCAAATGACTATCGAATGCCTTTTTTTAGTCTCAGGGTCCGGCGGAAGGACAAAAATGAAGAATGGCGCAGCGAGCACAGAAGTGATCGTCTAAGATCAACTAGTTGACACCAACAAGGTAAGCCGTCATAAGAGAGTAGTGTAGGACTGGTAAACAAAAACTTGGTAATGACGGGGTATAGTTGACTCCGGTCTTTCAGAAAGGATGGTACCCTAATCCAATCAGCCCATGGGTCTCAACCGTACCCGGGATGAGGATCGGCGAGAGAGAAATGACAACCTCGGGAACCCATCAACGGCAAGATAATGTGTTGGCTGTCTCAATGAAAATGCATATTTCTTATCTTGAAGTGCGAAATGAGCGTGGTTGAAAAGAAATGTACAATTGAATGGAGCCCAGGTATCATGTAAGGATTATGCAAGCCAGCTGTCATGTCCAGTCACCGCGTATATAAAGAAATTCCTCTCATTTTCCCCACGGAGAAAAGATCCAGGAATAGAGTTTGCCAATTTCCGGGGTTGGATTGGCAAAACGCCAGGGACAGGGAGTTCCCCTGACTAGGGACCCCAAGGGGCCTGAACCCCGTGCCGATCCTTGCGCTAACACCGCCATGGCTAGCCCAAACGTGGGCTTCATTGTTCACCAACGAGGCAGTTCGCTTGTTGTTACACAAAGAAGCAAAACCTCCGAGCCATTCAGCCTTAAATATAGCATATGCCATTCCTGTTCTATTTCTTTGGTTCTGCGCACCGAATCAAAAGCATAAATCAACTATATCTATACATGTAAGTAGACAGCTTGATTACTCCTTAGGGGTCCACTGATTAAGGGGCCATTCAGGAACAGGAAACCTGCAAAAGCAGCTACATAGTTTCAAAATCATGCGTCAGTCTTTTGAGAATACAAGCTTTCATCACAGTCAAATGCATCCTGCCCATAGTTCAGGTACAAGGACGTCACTTGCGATTGAAGGTGCCGCTGTGGTATTGAAAGCTTAAAGAGATTGAACCAGAGACGGTACTGTAGTACTGACAGTGGAGACGGACTACGGCCACGCGAAGGGTTCGAAATGTAGATATCTCCATTGAAATTGTTTATTGTTGTCGAACACTGCTCCATTCCGCCTCGATCCAATCAGGTTTGACGCATTGACCGAGATCAGCAGTTCAGTTGAGGTCTCTGTCCAAGATATTGAACTAAGGGAGAGGATTGCTCTTCTCAAATGACCGTTTGTATGTCTTAGGGTGTTCCCTATGTCGATCACAAAGCGAGAAGGCAACCCTTCGGTTCAGCGCTTGAACCAAATGAGACGCAAGCTTGCAGGTCACAACCTACCGCGTATCCTACTCGTCTCCCCGCAAGTCTAAGCCACTGGCTGCAAGTGATGAATGGGTCAGTTGGCGAAATATGGAACCTAAACCCACTGGTACCGTTTTCTTACCCGCAGCCAAGGAACCAACTCTATGGCGGCTCTAAAAACCATACATAGTCCGCTGATAACCTTTGGCGCGGTACGAAAAAGGGAAGTCCTCCGCAAATGTCGGGTCAAAACGCTCCCCGTCCCACTGACATCAGATGACTTATATTTGTAGTGGGCATAGAGAGCTTCACATGTGGAATTGGTGGCCCTCGGTCTCCGTCAAAGGATCTGCAGTAGACGATGCCCGGGAACATAAAAGGAGACGCGAAATCTCCACGCAGGATTGGATCTGGTTTCTCAGACGTCAACCGCCGACAACTTCCTTCTGTCATATACTGCCTCTGTGCACAGCAACGGGTCCAAAATGCGTTTCACTGCTGCTTTCATTTCGACGCTCGTGCTCTCCAGCACCGCGCTGGCCAGCCCGGCCACTCAAGTGTCCTCGTCCGTAGGAGCTAGTCCGTCTGCACAGGCAGATGGAAATAAGCAGGATGTTGCACAACCTAGTGCCAACAATGAGGATGCATCTGGCGCCGCGAACTCTGTTGTTCAACTCCCAGAGAACGTTGCAAACACCGCCGCCCAGCAGGATACACAGACCGCAACCCACGTGGCTCCAACTGCAACTGCTTTGGCCGCTGACCCGAGCAGCAGCAACAATGACAAGGGTAATGTCCCGGTCGACACAATGAGCGCGTCCCAGAAGGACACCCAGAGTGCCGCGCCATCTGCCAACTCAGACCCCTTAGGTGTGAACAGCATCTTACCGACAGGAAGTGGTACTTCAGGAAGCACTGCTCCTAAGGCTGACCAAAGTGCCGGCTCGGCCTCTGCTACTCAGGGCACAGCAACCGTCACCCAGACTGCAAAGTCTGGCGAAAGCACCCAGAACTCCTTCACCGGTGGCGGCAGCACAGAATCGAACCCTCTGTCCCTGGATGGTACTTTCTTGGACTCGTTCTCGGACTTTGTGAAGTTCCTTGATGGCGCGAAGGGCCTGCTTTCCCCGACTCTGTTGTCGGATATCGAGTCCTTCTTCCACCATGTTGCCTATCTCCTTGATGACAAGACCACGCAGCAGACCAAAGACTTGCTGGGCACTGTATCCGGCCTCCTCACCCAGAGCTTGATTACGAAGATTACTGGCCTGCTTGACAACGCCAGCGATCTCTTGACTGCTGAATTTGTCAAAGAGACCAAGGGTCTGATCATGGCTGTGGCTCCTATGGTTACTCCTGAGTTGTTCAAGGAGATCAACAGCCTGCTTGGCAACGCCAACCAGCTCCTGACCGCCGATTTCGTGAAGGAGACCAAGGACTTGATCAACGCCGTGTCGCCTGTCCTCACTCCTGATCTGTTCAAGGAAATCAACAGTCTCCTGCACAATGCCAACAACCTCCTCACTGCTTCATCTGTGAAGGAGATCAACAGCCTTTTGACCAACGCCGGTGGTCTGCTCACCCCTGACTTCGTGAAGGAGACCAAGAGCCTCATTGGCGCTGTTGGTCCAAATATCACCCCTGAGTTGTTCAAGGAGATCAATAGTGTTCTTGGAAATGCTAACAACCTCCTGACACCGTCGACCGTCAAGGAAATTGGCGGCCTTCTCGGCAACGCCAACGATCTTCTCACCCCGGATTCCGTGAAGGAAATCGGTGGCCTCTTAGGCAGCGCCAGCAGTTTATTGACGCCAGGCTTCGTAAACGAGACCCAGGGCTTGATCGGTGGCGTGTCGAAGTATCTGACCCCAGACGTCCTGGCCTCCATCGGTTCTCTCCTGGGCAATGCCAACGCCCTGTTGACACCGGAGTCGGTCAAAGAGATCAACGGCCTGCTGGGCAACGCCAACGATCTCCTCACTCCAGAGTCAGTCAAGGAGATCGGCGACCTGCTCACCAGCGCCAGCGGACTACTCACGCCGAAGTTCGTTCACGAGACCCAGGGCCTGATCGATCTGGTTTCGCCAGCTATCACGCCTCAGCTCTTGACCAACGTCTCGTATCTGCTCGGGAACGCTACTGGTCTGCTGAACCCGTCCTTCGTCAACGATACTCGCACTCTTATCACTGATGTCTCGCCTGCCATCACACCCAACCTGCTCGCCGAAGTTGGTGGTCTCCTCAACAACGCTGGAGATCTCCTCACGCCCAAGTTCGTGAATGAGACCCAGACCCTGATTGAGGATGCTGCGGATGTAAGTTTAATCTCCCGCTTGGCTCAATTTTGTTGGATGCATGGCTAACTGATATAGATTCTTCCACTCGTGATGAAGCTGCTCGGGTCGTTGTAAGGTTGTTTTTCTTGTTTTTGTTCGTAACGAAGGATTCATGGTATCTCATGATAAATTAATGTTGTATATGTGTATGTTTAATACGATATAATCAAATAGCAATGCATGTCAATTCATGATATTTGAACATGCTGGTTGCACATGCGAAGCTTCGATAAGGATACTTCGCCTGACAAAAATCGAGAAATAATGGGTATGTGGTGATAGCTAGTTTCTTTCAACAAGGTTTACGGGCGTTTGTCGGCAGAGCCAGTATGTAAGTTGGTTGGAGGCAAGAGATGTCCCCTCCACTGAAGCAGATGACAGACATGGCAGTTGAAGGCCAGAGTTGTTTGCGAATCCCACCATGCACTCACGCCAATTTGAGCCACAAGATAGAGATGCAGAGTGCGCTTTGGTTGCGTCCTTTTCCTTCGAATGAGTGGCCGGGTAAACCCTGTTCTGGCCCCATCTCAATACATGACATGTAACTGAACTGGTCAAGGGCGTCGTCGCAAGTGTCAAAGGTGTCTTGGCCAGATCACCAGGCAGCCAGTAATGATCTGGTTGCAGTGTTGTCGGCGAATATGGCCCGTGGGGAACATGCAACAATAGACGTGGGATTTTTTTTGTTGTCCGAGTTCAAGAAGGTACGTGAAGAGGGCGATTGCCCAAATTCCATTGCCCCGTTTTTCAAGACGGAATATCGGATGTCTTGACCTCTTGGAACTTCGACACAACCTTCATTTCAGTGTTGCGCTCCTTGACCTTCTTATCAATGGCCTTTTGAACTTCCTCCCGTTTGTGCTGCGCGCTTTTAATCTTGGCCTTCAGTTCTTTGGCCGTTTCGCCCTGGGCCCTGGTGGCAGCCTCGCGCGACGAGTATTCTCGTTCCAACTTAGCAAGCTCGGATTGGTAGTCGTGTATCTCCATCGGCTGGCATGTAACTGGGTGGTATCGGTATGATGGAAGGGGACCATCTGGAACCTTAATCTCGGAGAGATCAAAATGTATGGGGGTGGTGCGCATTGGTGAATCCAGAGGAACCGCGGAGGCGGACGCTGATTCCGATGGAGGAGAGGGAAGCGTGGATTCGGTCTTGACCATGATTACAGAGAGGTAGGTTCAGTTGAGTCAAAGTAAAGGGTTGCAGAGAGCAGATAGTTAGGTCTTGCGCGACACTCGGAAAAGAATGGGGCGAGTCTTGGAGAGGTGACCGCGGCTTTCTTAAATGTATTCTGCCAATGACCACTTCACACCGCCCGTCATACCGGCGCATGCGGGGATGAACTTTAGCCAAGTTGAAGACCGCATAGCTGCTTGGCATTTGATATCTATGTTAATTCATTTCACTATCAGTTCCAGACTGCGACATATTACTTAGTCCGGTCCTAATTGGGCCACTTGGTGTGTGACACCCGATTGCCGACCAGCTTGAGCACTGTGACGTGACTGCCATCATGCAGGCATTTGGTATGTCCTCTTGTTATATGTTCTGCCTATGATGCACGCTTACATTGTGACGTTTCAGTTCCCAAAAACAGACGGGTATGTTTCTGAAGAGCATTAGGTGAAGTAGTATCTGCAACTAACTTCTATGCAGCCTAGGTTTGAGCTTGTGTTGAGAGTATATAGATCAACCACTATGAATCTACTATAAACGTCTCTGACTTTGATTCCCAGATTATCGATATCAACAATGTTCCGCTGGGCAACGGTGTTGCCTTTGTGAGATGGCGACTACCATCATCAAGCGCCACTGAACACCAAGGCCAGACAGAGAAAGCGACTCTATCTGATCACCGGGCTTATTGGAACTACGAAAAAGTACTTCAAGTGAGACTTACAATTGACAGAACATCAGTGCTTCAAGAATGTGAACTCAACTTCGAGATCATACAAGAATTCACCTCATCACATATCTCTGAAAAGAATGTGCTGGGCAAAATCAGACTCAATCTTGCTGAATATGTTGACAAGGTTGAAGAAGATGAAGGTGTCATTCGACGCTACCTGATGCATGAATGCAAAGTGAATAGTACAGTCAAAATCGGGATAGCCATGCGCCAGCTAGAAGGAGACCGCAACTTCACGACGTAAGTCGAAGTCCAGCAATGATATTGCTCATTCATGTTCTCGGTACTGATTATAAACAGCCCACATCTGAAGTCAGCTACCGTGTTTGGAGGCATCGCCGGTTTCGTACATGCTTCCGAGCAGCAAGGTGATCTCCATGAAGCTGGACATCTCCCATCCATCAATACCAAGAGCCGGGAAATTGCGGACATGCAAGATATGTATCGGCGCACTCTGGCGGCATCATGGTCCTCCCGGACGTCTGATCTGCCTGCTGATAAACTTGTTGAGGAGCTATTTGCTGGAAGCGCATGCTGGTACAACGATGCGCACAATGCCAGCGACAAAAGCTTGCCAGAGGGCGACCACAGAGATACTCTACTAAGCGTAGAGTCAGCTTCGCGACAAAGTCGCACAGGAAAAAGGCTGTCCCCAAGCTTCGAACGTCGGCCCAAGAGTGCTTCGAGCAATCATTCTCACAATAGCGGCAAGACGCCGGACTCTCTTTCTGCACTTGGACATCCGGAAAAGGGTGGAAGCATCGAACAGAAGCTTTATGACGGGGCGAAGGGTCGCGGATGGAAAGCACCCAATGTAAACAATGAACTTTCTGAGTTTGACGTGAGAGAGGATTTGCGCAGCTGGGAAATTCCTTCAAAGGAATGACTTCCATCATTTCGCGTTATTAAATAATATGCAGTTGAAGCAAGAACCTCTCAGGCTTCTGCTCCCTATCGTTGACCCCAAATGAGGAATAAGATCCACGGATTATTTCTCTGTCATATCAAATCAAATATCCATGGAGATCCATAAATATACATGTGTCTTGGTGAGTATTGAGGCTGTTGGTGGCCTGAGGCGGAAATAATTCCTTATCGCGGCCTAGCGCTATCGGCCGGAGAAAAGCAATCGCAGGATTATTTGTCTTCCCGTACGCAACTGAACCTACGGTCATGCTTCGACAACCTCTGAGGAACGATTTGGGGCCTTTGAGCTTCAAATCGCTCTGTCGGAGGTCTTTTCTCTTGGCACCCGTCCTTCCCCGATACCTGAGCGACTGGAAGTCCAATCGAGCCCAACGCTACACGTTCGATAAACCTAATCCCCACCGAAACCGCGAACCCCGAGACCGACAGAAATATGGAGGGTCAAAGGTCACACTAGATGTGAATTCCCTGGGTCAGCCAGGACAAATCGTTGTCGTTCCTGGGCGTGGCCGTCGAAGGTTGAACCGCAACCGCAACCGCAGTCCCAGTAAAGACCGCAGTACGATCAGTTCCATGCTGGATGACCTTGACGACGAGAACTCAGACCCCACGACTGAAACAGTCCAAAGAGGAATTGATACGAGCCGTGGACCACATCAACCAGGAGATACGTTGGCGACTGGCGAATTCAAAGCTCTTTGCTCCAACCTTTCATCATCCTTCACCTATAGGCAACTGTCCGAATATGTTTCGGACCAACAAGGCAATACTGTGGAACTCAAGGGGAAAAATTGGACATGGAGGCCGTCTGGCAAAATATCAGAAACGGAAGGACCCAAGGGGTTCCAGGGGAAAGCTCGGCTCGCAGAAAGGATTGTTCGAGATTGCTGGCAGTTGGTGGTTCCAGCGGAGCGGGGACAGATGGAGTTCCATTTAAAACCTGAGTTTATGTCCTTGCTGCTTCATGCTGAACATTTCTCCTTCCATGAGCTGGCCAGTCTCCATGGCTGCACTATTAATGTGACACGATCTGCTTGTCGAGTGACAATCTCTGGTAAGCGGATTGCTTGCGAATCTGTCCATGAGATTATTTATGATGCTACCGCCAGAACTCGCGAAGAGGATGTTGGCATCAACCCATATACTCTCGGGGACGGTATTAGTCAGGTCTTCACGGCGGACTTTTTGGAGTGGATCAACACGACATACGGGGTTTATGTGGAATATAAGGCATATCGAACCCCAGAGAAGATCTACTACCTGGCTGAGAATAAAATGGGAGCGAACAATGCCCGAAGAGCCTTGAACTTGGCGATCACCAACTCAACACCCCCATCAACACATTTCTCCACATACCTACCGGCGTCGGAGCTAGCTAGTGTCTATAGCTACAGACCGGAAGAAAATGCTTCATGGTTTGACCGACAGAAGCCATGGTTCCGATGGGCCATGTCTTCTAGTCAAAGCGCGGAAGCAGAAACTCTTGAGACTCCTTTCTTTGATAAGCATCAAACACGTCTATCTGATGAGCTGCTGAAGCTACTCAGAGATACCACACCCTTGAAGACCAACCCGCAAGTCACGCCTGGCCTACAGGAATATGTGACGGCCGAGGTCGGGAGGTGCCTTTTTATGCAAAAGTCCTCCTTTGAGGAGACAACGATGAGTCCAGCGCAATTGGGAAGACTGTCTCTTCCGCGGACTTTCACCAACGACATTCCTTTGGTCTCCAAGTTCCTCGACTCCCTTTCGCCCTTCTCGCAAAAGAACGAGTCAGAGCCATATCGAATTCGGTTGACCCCAACTGCTGATGCAGGCACCTTCCCTGAACTTGAAATAGAGTTGACCACCAAGAACCGGAACGGTACCCAAACTTCAGATGACGCTTTCGAAATCCAGAGCGTAAAGGCTATTCTCGCCACCAATGCCGTTGACTACCTTCTCCCAGAAAATGGTCTGGATCTGCGATTTACACGAACCATTTCTCAGGATCTCTTGCACGAAGGTTCTCGTTCATCAAGTCTCGAAGCGATGCTGCAGAGTATCAGGCAATCCCTCCAGGGCTCATTTTTGGCCGGTGGTGTTTCGCGTGGCCCTCTCTTGCCGTTCTGCAATATCTCTATTCCCAATGGTGTCCAAAAGGTCGTCCGATCATCCCACAAAGCGACATCAAATAAGTTGCGGGAGAGTGAAACCCCGGAGAATAATGTCACTGCTGAATATATGTTCCCACCTATCAGTGACGTCCGGGGCACTGCCGTCCAAACATACGAATTCGGTGACCGACAGCTTGAGTACCGTCATTATGAAAGTGGTCCGTTGCTCGCTGCTCGTTCGAACGAGATTTCTCTTACTACGCAGATTCCTCATGCCGATTCGACTTCCGAAAATGGCCAAGCCCAAGAGCTTCTTCACCTTGAGTTCCATTCGTTCTACAACACAGCATGTGACATGGCCTTCAAGGTCCACGGGAGCAGATACATGGATTAGGAGCTTTGCTAGAGCGCCTTTGATTTAGATTTGTACAGCGTGCATCAACTGCCATCATCATATAAACTGACGGCGTACTGGGGCTGTGATTCTTGTATATTATTTGTTAAAATATCCACTTAATCTGACGTACTGACATAGAGCTACTTTTGTTTCCTTTAAATGATACTTCACGTTTTCCTTGAGACTGTTAAAATTTGAAACATTCCAATTATTCACCGAAGTTGTCTCCAATTCTGCCCATTAACATAGTCCCTCTGCGTTCCTTAAAACACCTTCCTCGATGTGCCTGGAACCAGCCAGCATACCTGGTCCTCAATCCCCTCCTCGGCGAACACCTTAGCCAGCTCATTTCCACCCTGAGTGAAATGACCCCATGACTCGTAATGCATAGGAACAAGAATATCCGCCTTGAATGACCGGAGCATATCAGCAGCCTGCTTCCCATCCATTGTAATCTGCAATGGACCCTCTGGGAGCGGAACCCGAGCATCACCCAAGTTACAGATTGCAACCACAATATGGAACTTGCTAGCAATTTGATCCAACTCCTCGAAATAGACAGTATCACCCGAGAACCAAATCGCATTGGGCGTACCATCCAGGTTGGTGCCAAAGCTTGGTGTAGTAAGGACGAAGCCTGTACATTCGCCCCCTGGTAGATGCTGGCATGGAGTTGCCGTGACTTCGAAAGGCTTGCCTCCGATGTTGACAGAGACTGTCTCCCATGGCTTCATTCCTCGTACTCCAGGACGAGGAGCTAGGTTCTTGGCTCCGTCCATTGTAGTGAACACGAGACGGCCATCGAGTAGCTGGCGACCCAGGGGATCGAGATTGTCGGGGTGGTCCTCATGGCTCAAGAGGACCGCATCGATGGGAGGGAGATCTCCCAGTCCGAGGGCCGGGGTCTCGCTTATTTTGAGAACCGTGACGCCCACATCAAACTCTGTGCCGGCCGGGGAGAAAAAGGGATCGGTCAAGAGCTTGACACCATCAATCTCAATGATTGCAGTGGCGGTCCCGATGTGGGTGATGGATACATTGCTGTTGAAGTCTGAAGGTGCCATTGTGATAATTGAATTGTTCAAGTTGGTTAGAAAAGAATCTGAGGCAGAAATATTTTGAAGAATGACAAGAAGTGCAAACACTGTTCTATTTATCATTATGACATTTCCCCCGGCGCTGGTAGGGATTAGAAATCGAAACCATGATTATAAATGAGTGGGAGAGTCGGCAGTGTATACAAGTACGTCTTGGCGATTTATGATCCCGTAAAAGGAAGCCCTCTGCATCTGCAAGTGAACTCCACCAAATTTTATAGATCGACTTGCATATCGCGCCTTACCGTTTCGGGGCATATATTCCGCCAAGACTTGAGATCAGAACGTTAATTGGTGCATGTCGAAGTACCAGTCGACTGACCACTCCTTCGCCACGACCTCGGGAAATAAGGAAATAACTCAGCTGACGAATTGCTATGTCTCTGAAAATCTCATTATAACGCCCCCAAGATGCGAGTCAAGAAAAAGACAGTCTGCCAGACATGTAGGACACGAAAACTTGGAGTATAGCATGACATCTCTCCATTGAAAGCTTATCTAATGCATTCCAGTGTGATGGCAAACGACCCATTTGTAGCCAGTGTGCCCTAAGAGGGAAGACGTGTGACTGGGATACACCAGCCTGGACCTTTGTTTCTCAAAACAGCTCTTCGCCGAATGGCTCCGCTTCTATCGAGGATGCTGAGCTACGTCATGGTCACTCCACGCCCATGACATCGACCTGTCTTTCTGGCAGTCGCAGGTCCCTAATTGAAGCCATCACGCAAGCTTATATTCCCCGAGAGGAAACTTGCTCGATATATCCCGCCGCGAATGATGTCCCGAGAGTGTGTGGTGCGTGGGTTGGGGTCTTAGCAACGCTTGTCGAAGGACCCTGCCCTCCCTCGAGTCGCTATGAACGTGTCTTGGCCCCTGCAGTAACAGCATTGAGTTTATGCCTTACATCTAAATCAGATGCGCAGAAGGTACAAAGTTATGCTTCCGCGATTGATGCTCTTCGATCAGACACCCAAATACTCGAAGAAGCCCTAGATGCTGAATTTGCTGCTGCTATAATGTGCCTGGTCCTAGCAGAGGTATTGTTGTTCCTTAGCACCTTCCAAAATCCAGCTAACACTTTTGGCCCTAGCTCATGTTCCCTGACTCGCGCTTTGGTCTTGCTATGCATGTAAATGGTGTAGCCGGGCTGTTCGAAACTAGCGGACCGGACCGATTCAAGTCAGGAGCTCTGCAGAGCCTTTTTGTTGGATTTCGACCTCTACTAGTATGCAATTATCATGATACGTCCTTGCACCCCAGTGTCTAATAGTTTTACAGATGGTTCAAGCCATTCAATCCAGAAAGGCAACCTTCATCGCATCAAAGGAATGGATTGAGATACCACTTTCTACTTACAATCCATCTTTAATGCAGCAGCTCATCAATCTCGTTGCAAAACTTCCGTTCCTTCTCGAGGAAGCCGACCGGTTTACAAGAACACCCTGTGAAACAGAAAGTGCCCAGGTATCAAAGCTGTGGGACGCCTATACAGAGTTACTTTTACAACTGGAAAGGTGGGAGGAAGCACTCAATTGTGAGAGGCCCGGCTTCTGGGCCCAGTCTTCCCACTCAACCCTACGGATACCGAGTCCTCCAGGTACACCTCTCTGGTTCACAAACATCACGATGGCAAATTTCTGGGCGCACATGTGGGCTTTTCAGGTCATATGCGTCGTCGAGCTTGGTCGCTTAGGGACTTCATTCCAAAATTGGGGATCTCAGCCCTTCGAGCAAGGGAGGTTCTTCTGTTTTGAAGACTCTCAACGAGATATACTATCCATCTCACGCAAGATATGTCTTGGTATGGAATACCTTGTGCAAGATGACATGAAGTTATTTGGACCTGCATCTGCAATTCTTCCATTGGAAACTGCTTACAAAGTGTTCAGCAAGGATAATCAAAGTAATATGCGAGAAATGATGTATATTAAGAGGATAGTGGACTGCCTCGTCGAGAGAGGACTTCAGTCTACACCTTATCTTGTTTATGGATAATGAAGTATGCACGACAGTTGAATGCAAATCTAGCCCAGGCTCAAGCGAAGCAGAATTACTTCAATGTTTTTATCTCTCCGGTTTTGTTTACATTATACTCGTTGCGAGCCCTATGAATGGTTCGAACTTCACAGGGCTTTCTGGTTTCTGCCTTGATATCGCCAGATTTAGAATCAAGATCATGTCGAAATATCTCATTTTAAACAATATTGCTCAATTATATAATGTAAAGGCCGAGTACAACCAAAATATAAGAGGGAACAATATTCCCCTATAGACTTGGTGTTCGGCCCCACAGCAGATCAAGGCCCGTGACGTGTAACACCTCCGTCGACCGATCACTACTCCGCGCTCTCTTCTACGTTGCCGGGTTTTTAAAGATGAACTAGCCCGCCTCATTGTTTAAACGTCATTTTTCTGTCGATCTCCCGTTATTCGCGACATCGCCTCATTTCGATACATTCACCCACCGTTCCCCTCAGCATGAAGAGCGCGTGCACCCAGTGATTTAAGACGGCATGGAGAAAACACGGGTTGCCAAGGTTCCAAAGTCCCAATCTAAGCGACACAAACATCTCACTCACTCGCTATGTCTCTCCAGGTTGACAATGTGACCTTGGCTCGCCGCGGTGAGCAGGTCGATGGTACCCTCCATCTCACCCCTCACCACCTTATCTTCTCGCACACACCCACGATTTCCGCCGAAGACCAGGTAAAGGGTGTGGTAGTCAGACCTAGAGAGCTCTGGTTCACATACCCCATCATCGCTTTCTGTACCCTGCGCCCGGCTCCTGCAGCCTCCCGCCAGCTCTCCTCCATCCGCCTTCGATGCCGAGACTTCACTTATGTCTGCTTCTACTTTGTCAATGAAGTCAAAGCACGTGAAGTTTTTGAGAGCATCAAGCAATGGACGTGCAAATCCAGCCGGATCGACAAACTATATGCATTTACCTATCAGCCTCCCCCACCAGAGAGAGAATTCAATGGGTGGGATTTGTATGACCCGCGCAAAGAATGGGCGCGCCAGGGCATTTTAAATGAAGGCTCACGATGGCGACTCTCTGAGATAAATGCGAACTACGAAGTAAGATACCTTCTTCGGTCACGCGCTTAGTAGAATACGCTTTGCTAACGGAGCTTGTAGTTCTCCCCAACCTATCCCGCCATCATCCCCGTACCCTCTTCCATCTCCGATAATACTCTCAACTATGCAGGACGCTACCGATCCCGAGCGAGAATCCCAGCTTTAACATATTTCCACCCTGTCAATAATTGCACAATCACCAGGAGCTCGCAGCCGCTGGTCGGTGTCCGACAGAACCGAAGCATTCAAGATGAGAAGCTTCTTTCCGCCATATTCTTGACCTCTCGGTCTGAGCGGCCATTAGCGAGCTTCTCCTCGCCTCCTTTGGAGAAAGAATCATCGGACTCGAATCCTGATAGCCCAGAGACAAGCCAGGTGGTGATCCCCGAGCCGACAAACGCCGAGGACTTGGAGGATGACTTGCTGGCTGCTACAGACGGTGATATTGAGGAACAACGCTTGATTTACGGAGCCCAGCAGTCAAATTTGATTGTGGACGCACGCCCTACTGTTAATGCGTTTGCCATGCAAGCCGTTGGGCTCGGCTCTGAGAATATGGACAATTACAAGTTCGCTACCAAGGCATATCTTGGTATTGACAACATCCATGTCATGCGAGACTCGTTGAACAAGGTCATAGATGCCTTGAAGGATTCGGATGTTACACCACTAGGCCCAAATCGCGACCAGTTGGCCCGCAGCGGCTGGCTCAAGCACATCGGTGGGATCCTAGAGGGCGCTAGACTGATCACTCGTCAGGTTGGCCTAACCCACTCCCATGTGCTAATCCACTGCTCAGATGGATGGGACCGCACAAGTCAGCTCAGTGCATTGAGTCAAATTTGTCTGGATCCGTACTATCGGACTTTGGAAGGCTTCATGGTTCTCGTGGAGAAAGATTGGCTCTCATTTGGGCATATGTTCCGACACCGATCGGGTCATTTGAACAGCGAAAAATGGTTCCAGATTGAGAACGAGCGCATTGGTGGTGACCCCAATCGTGCATTCGGCGAGGGAGGCGGCGCTGGGAAAGCCCTTGAAAACGCCTTCCTTAGCGCGAAAGGCTTCTTTGGCCGGGATAACAACAGTCGAGACTCGTTGCCTGACTCCGATGGAGAGATGCAGAGCTACGATTCCGATAGCCCAGCTGGGAAGAAGGCTAGCCCTGCACCACGATCAACTGTCTCCGAGAAAGAGATAACCAAACCGAAAGAGACAAGCCCTGTGTTCCATCAGTTCTTGGACGCGACATATCAGCTGCTTTACCAGCATCCGACTCGATTTGAGTTCAACGAACGTTTCCTTCGACGGTTACTTTATCATTTATACTCTTGTCAGTTTGGTACATTTTTGTTTAACAACGAGAAAGAGCGCGTGGATTCCAAGGCCCGGGAACGAACTCGTAGCGTTTGGGACTACTTCCTCGCTCGACGAGATCAGTTTACGAATCCTCAGTACGATCCTGATATCGATGACCATATGCGCGGCAAAGAACGGCTCATCTTCCCCCGAGTTAGTGAAACGCGATGGTGGAATGAAGTATTCGGTCGAACAGATGCAGAGATGAACGGACCTCGTCCTTATGCAACTGCACCAGCAGTCGCTCCTACCGATAGTCCCAATGGAGGGAGAACTCCGATATTGACGGGCATCGAAACTGCGGGCCAGTCGGTTGACAACGGAGTGCCCGCGAAAACTTTACCGGATGCCGCATCAGCAGGGATGGCAGCTGTAGCGTCTGGTATCTCTAAGCTTACCTTGCCGACAGCCTCGGAGCGCATCTCTGACACTGATAAAATGAAAGAGCTGGGAGTAGAGATGCAATAACACGTGTGTTGATCCGTGGGTTTAGTTTTAAAGATTTTGAGATTTGGCATTTACGACTGTGATGTATCTTATGGCCGTGTACTTGGCGATAGGCGGCATAGCCTGAAATATCAGATTATCTGGAAACCAATGCATATGTCATTGGATATAGCAGGAAACCTACGGCGATGAGCATTCACTTCGTAGATGAAAATAGGGTTCGAGACCAATGATGTAATGTTGAAGCCTTGCTGCCTTGCTGCCTTGTGTCCCAATATATGAGGCAGTCAAGGCTAATCCTAAATAGGGAAGGCGGCGGCAAGCGAGGGTTGAGCCCTGGCCCAAACGGGCAATCAACCCTAGTCCCGAAAAATCCCCACTAAATAATGCACTCTCAGAATTGAAGCCTCTCTCGACCACGACCTCCCCCTCCGTCGACAAATTCCACCACCACCAGGAACGTCAAAATGGCCGCTGTTCAGGGTGCTATCTCCAAGCGCAGAAAGTTCGTCGCCGACGGTGTCTTCTATGCCGAGCTGAACGAGTTCTTCCAGCGCGAGCTGGCCGAGGAGGGCTACTCCGGCGTTGAAGTCCGTGTGACTCCCACTGTCACCGACATCAGTACGTCGCCCTGAAACTCCTGTCCCATCCTTTCCGTTGATCGCTTGGTGAAAATGGACTTGTTGGATCTTGAAGAGGTGGAATGCTGAGAGAATGGTTCAATACGATCGCGAAGGATCTGCGGATATCGAAAATCGAATATTGGGACAATCTGATGCTAACGGGTGCTCTTTTTTCTTCCAGTCGTCCGTGCCACCCACACCCAGGAGGTTCTCGGTGAGCAGGGTCGCCGCATCCGCGAGCTCACCTCCCTCATCCAGAAGCGTTTCAAGTTCCCCGAGAACTCTGTCTCGCTCTACGCCGCCAAGGTCCAGAACCGCGGTCTCTCCGCTGTCGCTCAGTGCGAGTCCCTCCGCTACAAGCTCCTGAACGGTCTCGCCGTCCGTCGTGCCTGCTACGGTGTCCTCCGTTTCATCATGGAGTCCGGTGCCAAGGGTTGCGAGGTTGTCGTTTCCGGAAAGCTCCGTGCCGCCCGTGCTAAGTCCATGAAGTTCACCGTACGTTCATACCGATATTGGAAGAAATTGTTGGTTTTGCGCATTGGAGAATGACTGCGATGAATCAGTCACGGCTGTTCACCGATGCGCAAGCCCAGTTTCGTCTGAACAACTATTCCAAGGGAGAGTAATTGGCTAACAAATTTCAACAGGACGGCTTCATGATCCACTCCGGTCAGCCCGCCAAGGAGTTCATCGACTCCGCTACCCGTCACGTTCTCCTCCGCCAGGGTGTCCTCGGTATCAAGGTTAAGATCATGCGCGGCTCCGACCCCGAGGGCAAGGCCGGCCCCCAGAAGACTCTCCCCGACTCGGTTACCATCATCGAGCCCAAGGAGGAGCAGCCCGTCCTCCAGCCCATGTCCCAGGACTACGGTGCTAAGGCCCTTGCCGCCCAGCAGCTCGCTGAGCAGCAGCGTCAGGCTGAGCAGCAGGCCGCAGAGGCTGAGGGTGGTGCCGAGACTTTCGCTCAGGAGTAAATCTTGTTTTACGAATAAATTAGGCCCGGCTATTCCTTTTCTCTTCCATCTGTCCTAAACCTAACCTGATACTCTACCTCACGCAATCAAAATTACATGACACTTCAAGCCTTGGGTCTATTAGCGCAGTCTATCGCATATATCGTACTAGTTTGTGGTCTATCAACGCCATTTTGAAACGGAGACCATGTCCAAAGAATGAACAGGTCGACCTTTCGCAAATAGTTCTGGTAGGTTGGTCATTTTAGAGTTGTAGGTCACCATGCATGTAATCCTTGTGAATATACAACAGCCAGACTATATGTAATCCCTCGATCTACACGAATATGTGGATTATATATACAAAGAGAGGGCTAATAAAACCGCATGCTAAAACAGGTATAATAAACACATTTACTTCTCGGGATCATACTATTCTTTGTGCCTAGCGAACTTCAGTCAACCCCCGTCAACGCTCTAAGTTGTTTTTATATTTCAGACTTTGAACGATAGAGACCAGCAGCCTATTGGAGGTTCTAGTTATATCTAACCAATTTATCAGGCAAATTTTAGCCAATCTGATACAGTCTAGCTGGGTTACGTTAGTATATACCATGACTATATTAGATGCGTCAGTCTGCATCCTTCCTTTTCACTGTCCGCTGCTCATTTCTTCTTCTTCACTCTTCCTTCGGCTCCTCGACTCTTTCGCACGCATATCTCTAGTCGCAGCCTTCTGTCACAGGCTGGTAGCAATTCGTTCTTCTATCTGTCAGGCAATCTGCTAAAGAATTTCACTGTGGTGGCGATAGAATAGAGAATAAAACCAAACTTATGATATACTGGACATGATAAAGCATCTATATACTATTTTTTCAATTGCTTTTAGCCATTTGCGTAGCTGAAATCAGAATAACACTATTGTCGATCATATCCCCTTCATTTATCATCTAACTACGTCACTTGTATAAAGCCCCGCGAGCGTGGGCTCCCACGACACTCAAACTCTAAACAACCTTGTTTACAGGAAAGCCTCGACATTGAGCTCCAAAGTACTGGTAGGGTACTTCAGTCCGTACTTCTCAAGCACAGTGGGGTGCAGGATACCGAAAGTACCAATGACCGACTCCTTGCCGGCAATGCGGACGTGGATGGAGGCAGCGTGACCGGGGAAGTAGGTGGGGTCTTATAGGGAGTTTGTTAGTATTTTCAAGGGATCTCAATGGACAGGATTAGTTGATACATACCATTCAGCTCCTTGATCCAGTACTGTGAGTCGCTGGCAGCGGTGTTATCGAGACCCTCCTCACCCGTGATACAGGCGCTCTTGAGCATGGCCATGATGCGGTCGAGAAGACCGTGGACGACCTCGAATCCACTGGACTTACCGTAGAAGGCAGCAGCAAAGTGTCTCTCGTTGCGGCTCTTGCGTTCCAGGGAAAGGTCCTTGAAAGCGACATCGCTGACCTCGAAGATCTTCATGGGAATAGCGTGGCTCTTGTTCTCACCAATGGTCTTCAGAAGACCCGGGAGCAGGCTGGTGCGGACAACCTGGAACTCGAGCGTCTTGGGGTTGGCCAGCTTGACGGCGGTGTTTCCATCATCCTTGCGGTTCAACCAGCCGAAGTTCTCGTCGTGCGAGCACAGGATCAGTGGCATCACCTCGGACCAGCCGGCCATGGCAGTTTCCACACGAACAATATCGGAGAGTTTGTTGATGGGAAGAGGCTTGGCGACTGTGCCGGAGATGTCGGGGAATGCACGTGGGAGTGAGTTGAAACCGTAGGCAATGGCTACATCCTCCATGATATCACACTGATGGAGGACATCAGCGCGGGTTGCGGGGATTTCCACATCGATGGTATCAGGGTTGTTTGTGGAGGGTTTGGCACGGTAGGCCATCTTCGTGAGACGGCTGCAGATTTCAGTGGGGCTGAGGTTCAAGCCACAGCACTGGTTGATGTATGAGACCTCGGCCTGGGTGGTGCGGGGTGTGATATCAGGGCTGACACGAGTCATCTTGTTGTGATCAGAGACAATTTGAACGGGCTCGATACTAGATGTAAGTTAGCATGTGCATTCATGGAACAATATAACTGGCAACCTACGTGAAGGGCTCCGCGGTGTATTGGGAGAACATGGTGACCATCATCTTGGTCACGATATCCAGCTTTGTCTTATCAAGAGCTGTGATTTCAATGAAGATATTTGTGGTGTGCAGGCCGATCTTTGAGCGATCGCTGTTGATGATGGGGGGCAGAGAGCAGACAGTCCGCTTCGAGTCGTAAATGACTGGGTACACTGGGGAGTCACGAATGATGTGCAGGTATTTGCTCAGTTGTGGGTGTTTCTGTTCGAGGTCAGACCAAAGGGTTCGCGAGGTGAACATAATATGTTCGCCTTACCTCGTAGAAGTTCATCAACTCCTCGCCATCCATCTCCTCGGTCTGGTTCAACGGGGTGAACTTGATGTCCTTGGGAGGGTGTGCCTCATAGGTGAAGGGACCCTGGACCGTGTCCAAGTCATGGGTACCAATTGAGACCAGAGTTCTTTGACGGGCCAAGTTCTGGTGAAGCTTGTCCTGGAGAGCGATGAAGGACTCGTAGCGAGCCTGGTCGAACTTGACATTTCGTAGAATGGCGCCAGAAACATAAGGTCTGATCTTCGTGGTCTATTTCTAGATGCTTAGCATGCGGCCTCCAGCAGGTTTGCAAGGGTATACCAACGTCTTCCTTCACAATGATTTGCTGCATCTGTCCATTCGCTGGCGGAACCAACTTGTACTCGGGGAGCGGCTTCCGTTCCAGGAAGATGTTGAGCATGAGCGCAATGCCCTCGAAGCACAGCAAATCATATCTGCAAACTTTCTCAGCCTATAATTCGCCCAAATTCATCCCAGACGCTTATTCATACCGGTTGGCGGGGATTTCAATCTTGAGCTGCGGAGCCTCTTGCTTTCCGTCGACGATGGGGCGGTCCGAGTTTGTAGTCTATTGGCTCTCAGCTTGCGTTCTCGATTGAAGTCATATTTGTCCGGAGAAGCATACATCCTCGTCAAGCTCAATACCTATTTGCAGAGTTAGCCCACATTCCGCATGACTGCCCGATAGGCTACTTACCGAATTCGAAGCACAACTCATCAAATTCCTCCGTAGTGTAGCTTAAACCGCGCAAAAACATATTAGCTGTGTACAATTCCACATTGGGTCACAGCGAACGTACTCTCGGCCCAGCTCCTTGAAGAGAGCGGCCTTATCGACCGAGATGGTAGGCATGGTGGGGTTTGACGCGAAGCAATTCTGGAATTAATCAGTGGGAAACTCGGATATAAACCTGGAAGCAAATCCCAAGTAAAGCGAAACGGGATCTAAGGAAAGACCGTACGAGACGAGAGAAGAGAGCTGGAAACACAATAGTCCAGAGAGATGACTCCGATGGGAAATTCTGCCCGCAAGCCACCACCGCCACAGATATCCCCCTCTTTTGTGACGCGCGTATTGGTATGGTAATTCCCTTCCGTCATTGCACTTTTCCTGCCTTCACCGCCGGTATGTCATTTACCCTCTCTGTGTTTGGTGAACAAACCTCGCTCCGGTCTGTCTCTACCAACCCATCCCCTTGTCATCTCAAACCTCCCCACGACACGAAGAATCGGAGTGGATTTGAAAATCATATCGCTTCTCTCTAGTTCATGCAGATACCATATACCTATTTTCAACCATCATTCACCGTGTCAGGTCCACCCACCCTGAGATCACCTCTTTCCTCAGAACTGGGACCTGCCACATCCTTGCCTCCTAGGCCGTTTCCCTTGACCTCACAACAACCCCGAAATTCACAATGGAAGGGCAGAACGAAAACGACGAGCTCTATCCCATCGCTGTGCTCATTGACGAGCTGAAGGTACACGAGGTCCCCCTCCTGCAGCTGGTGGTAGCGAATATCGGAGCTCACATTTCATGCCCCATAGCACGATGATGTCCTTCTCAGACTTAATGCAATTCACCGCCTATCCACCATCGCGCTTGCTTTAGGCCCCGACAGAACCCGCGAGGAGCTTATCCCATTTCTTGATGGTTCGTTATCACGCTCATCTTCCTTATGATCGAATCCACCTGACATTATTCATCGCTAGACTCCGTGGAGGATGAGGACGAGGTTTTGACCGCGCTGAGCGAAGAACTCGGCAATTTCACAGAATATGTTGGGGGTCCGGAGCATGGACATGTGCTCCTCTCTCCGCTGGAGAATTTGGCGGCCATCGAGGAGCCCTTGGTGAGAGAAAAGGTAAATATTACTTGGTTTTTTGATGGGATGAAATTCTGACTGTTTGGGTCAGGCCGTTGAATCTCTCAACAAAGTATGCGAGCAACTCTCAGAGAGCCAGGTCGAGGAACACTTTGTCCCTCTCGTCCTGCGCTTGTCGAAGGCAGACTGGTTCACCTCAAAGGTCTCCGCGACTGGCCTCTATTCCACACCATACCGGAAAGCTACCCCCGCGCTGCAGCAGAGCCTCCGACAGCATTTCGGAGCCTTGGTACACGATGAAACCCCGATGGTGCGGCGACAGGCGGCAAACAATTTGGCCAAATTTGTGAAGGAGATGCAAAGTCAGGTCGTTATCGATGAAATAATCCCTCTCTTCCAATACCTGGCGGGTGATGATCAGGATAGTGTTCGTCTGCTCACTGTGGATATTCTTATCGCAATTGCGGAGGAGATCCCTAAGGAGCAACAACCCAGCCACGGCGTCTTGCTCACATCGCTGCGCAGTCTATTTGAGGACAAGAGCTGGAGAGTGCGATACATGGTTGCCGATCGCTACGAGAAGGTTCGTTCATGGTTTATCTGATCTTGTGTATCGATGACATGCAGGCAGTACTGACACATGCTGTAGATTGCCAAAGCTGTCCACGAAGAGGTTATCACTCGTGACATGGTTCCCGCCTTTGTTAAACTTCTGAAGGACACGGAGGCTGAGGTTCGCACTGCCATTGCTGGCCAAATTCCCGGTATGATACCCTTTGCTCTCTACGCATGCAACATTGACTGACTCTCTATTCAGGCTTCTGTCATTTGATCGATCGCGACACTCTCCTTAATGAGATCATGACTAGTGTGGAAGACCTTGTGTCTGACCCTTCTCAGCACGTTCGGGCTTCTCTGGGCACTCAAATTAGCGGACTTGCCCCCATTTTGGGCAAGGACGAGTTCGTTCCACCAATCTCCACGAAACCTAACCAATCGCTAATTATATCTCTAGGACTATTGCTCACCTTCTTCCTATGTTCCTTCAAATGCTCAAGGATGAGTTCCCTGATGTTCGCCTGCACATTATCTCCAAGCTTGAGCAAGTCAACAAAGGTGAGGAAATCCTAGTATCCCGCTATGCAAGGCCATTGTTCTAATACTCCTATAGTTATTGGCATCCAGCTTCTATCTCAGTCTCTTCTTCCCGCTATTGTTCAACTGGCCGAGGATAAACAATGGCGCGTGCGCCTTGCCATCATTGAATATATCCCTCTCCTCGCCAGCCAATTGGGAGTCGAGTTCTTCGATGAGCAGTTGAGCGATCTTTGCATGGGATGGCTTGGGGATACTGTCTTCTCAATCCGAGAGGCTGCTACTGAGAACTTGAAGAAACTTACTGAGGTGTTTGGAGTGGAATGGTCAAAGGCTTCGATTATCCCCAAGGTGATGGCCATGGGACAACATCCCAACTATCTTTACCGCATGACAACATGCTTCGCTGTTTCTGTGAGTTCTCTCTGCCACTGCGCATGTATAAGCGCTGATCATTATTAGACTCTGGCTCCTGTTGTCACAGTTGACATCATCGAGAGCTCTCTCCTCCCTATTCTGGAGCGTCTTGTGACGGACGATATCCCCAACATTCGATTCAATGTCGCCAAGTCCTACGCTGTTCTCATTGCCACGTTGCGTCGTCTGCCGGCCGATAAGACCTTGGTTGAGGTTGAGAAGTCCGAGGAAACTATTACGCCCTCACCTCAAAGCCAGGAGTTGATTCAAAACAGAGTTGTGCCCAGTTTGGAGAAGCTACAGGAGGACGACGATGTGGACGTCCGATACTTCGCTACAACTGCTGGTGGCAACCAGGATGAGACCATGCAAACCTCCCCTTGAATTTTATGCAATTAGGTGATTATATCATCTGCTCGTTGGGGAAAGACATGATTCGGATACCCGCAGGCAAGGGACAGGACGCGGGACATTCTGTCACGTTAGAACAACCAGCAAGAAACCGGGATGAGCTGTCTTGGTGGCGTTTTTAATGTAGAGAACTTGGTCGACGCATAATCATTGAGCCGTCTAGAGTAGTCTCAAAAGCAAATGCGAGAATACTGATAACACTTTCCGTGGTAGGATACTCACAGTATCTGGTCCAGCCTGTCTCTATCCATATATAATATGTGAAACCTATAGAGCTTGCGAGCCCTACACAGTGCCCACTAGGACAGGCGGGCTTGACGCGTCAAATGCGATTTATTTGTCAGCGGGTCTGGGGTGAGAATAACTTGACCACGTAGCCTCAGATATTACACATTGCAGTTGTTTTTCATTGCTAGCAGATGCGCGGTACATGAATACTCATCGGCCTTTCCACTGGTATCAAGCTGTTGTCACTCGTGATTTTTTGCTTGTTCAAGGGACTCCTCTAAGTAGCCCGGCATATCTCAACCGGCCAACTTGTTGATTACATGCCATATACGGACCCATAGGACCTTTCAACAGTCCTTGCGCCATCTCACGTTCATCATTGAACTGGATAAAAAGTGAATCATGTCGTCCTTATGGCCATACCATTTCATTTCCCTCTCTGAATCCGATATGCTGCATCGCCGGGACCTTCTTGATCTTCGAGGACATTACGCACAATGGTCCATCGTTCTAGCCATAATCGGAGTCCGGGTCTTCCGGAGTTTGGCGACAGCTTCAGGGAAAACATCAAAACCAGCCCGCGGGCTACCCTCGTGGTGGGACCGGCCACTTGTTCCTGGATGGATAGAAACTCGACGACAGTATTTCATCTGCGGGCTTTGGCTATCATGGCTTTTAAGCCTCTCGGTCTGGAACAGTGGAGAAGGTACGGTTCAAAACATGTTGGATGAGAACGATGAAGAATCAGCTACTGACATATCTTGCAGACTACCTTCATTTGACCAAAGCATTGGGTCATGTCGGCCTGTCCCAAATACCTTTACAGGTCCTGATGTCCCCAGCGGCGTATATTTCAACTATCAATCCGGGAGCGTCATCGTTATGCTCGGTTTTGACCGGTATCTCTCAGCCAACTCTGACGCCGTATCACCGTCTCTTTGGCCGAGTTATTGTCTCGCCTCTCCTCTTGGCCCACGCCACGCTGTATATGGCCTTTTTCGTGCAAAACAGTCATCCGGAGTTCGGTCTCTTAGTCTTCAAACGAATTCGTGACTCTGATGTCCAATGCGGCCTGGTTGCGATATCCTCGGCAGTGTTTCTCTTCCTCTTCGCGCGGCCTCGTGGCGCTAAGCAGAATGGACTTCAAGGTTGGCTAATGCAAGGTCCTGTCCAAGAACGCAGGCGCATTTTTTACCTCTACCACGTGTTTTTGGTCGCGGTGTTGTGTGGTGCAGCTTATTGCCATGTCAAGCAGGCGCAAAAGTACGTGATTCAGGCTTTGGCTGCCTCAGCGCTCAATGGGGCGTGTTCTTGGGCAGTGGTGCAATGGGGAGGTCGAAGATAAATTAAAGTATATACCATTGAATGCTGACAAACAAACAAGGACCCTGTGTCTGAGTTGCCTAAAAGAGTGGAGATATATAGCTCCACCATTCGATCAATTAATGAACATTAATTGAACATTCGATATCCGGAGACTATTAAAGCCTTCCCCCAAGCTTTCAGCCCTGTAAGAAATGTCAGAAATGTCTTATGCCTCCTATCATTAGTTAGACAATGGTGGCTTGTCCTGGGGGTCTGCAGCTGGGCAAACGCCACCTTTACATGCAAACCTCGCCTTTGAGAAGCAAGGAAGCAAAAGAATGCAGCATTATCTTCCACATATGTCTCCGTACTCTTCTTTAATTCTTCTCTACCACCCCTAGGGCTGTTGGCAGAGATTACGTATTCTGCGCCCCCCCGAGTCTTGGCGCCATTAATAGCGAGTCTCGACTTTCTGGGCTCCCTCCCTACTCTCAGCCCTGTACGTGTGCTCTTCACCCATGCCTCACCCCAATGGCAGCATGCGCCTCCAACGGCTGATTTTATTGCTCGCAATTGGCACCGTCGCCTGTCTTTCTCTTCTATTATTGCGATCCTCAACCCCGACCCCGGAGCCTATAGACCTACCCCCTCCCGAACCGATCGAGCATCCCAAACTCTACGAGGGGCAGACATCATGGCCTCCTGAGAAGCAACACCCTATTTCGCGCCTGATCGAGAACGCGCAGCAGAACTTCGATCATGCGCGGTCACGGCAGTCCCAGACCCTGGCGGAGGCCGTGACGGAGTACCAGCGCCGCTATAATATGCACCCGCCACCCCATTTCGACAAGTGGTTCGAGTTCGCCCAAGCGAAGGGCGTTCAATTTGTGGATGAGTTTGATTCTATCTATCACTCCCTCCTGCCATTTTGGGGCCTCAAGCCCGCGACCATTCGTGACCGGGCGCGAGAAACACTTGGATTTGACAATGCCGTGCTTGGAGTCCTGATCCGTGATGGTAAGGTGTCCTTAACGGATGGAGGTGGTGATGATCGAAAATGGCAGCGAGATGCCACGGCTGGCATGATGGAAGCTTTCGTCAAGTACTTGCCAGATATGGACTTGGTGTTCAACATCCATGACGAGCCTCGTGTTATCATCCCTAGCGCAGACCTGCGGCGATTGGTGCAGACAGCGAAGGACCAGGCAATCCCCGCCGCTTTCAAGAAAACGAACCCGACCAACGCGTGGTCCCCTCGCGCCTCGGATCTCAACAAGGGCGACCGTATCGATGAGGTGCGCACCACTCGATTCAACCGCTTCGCTCACCAGCCTACCTGGACGAATTCTCGAATTTCCTGTCCCGTGGGTAGCCCCGCGCGCTCCCTCGACGACGACGCCCCAGATGACGTTAGCCCTTATGCGTACGGTGAACTAGGGTTCATCTATAACACTACGGCGGCCTCTGATATCTGTTATACTCCCTCCCTCCGTTCCTCATATGGCTTCTTTGACCGACCAAACGCATTTGATGTCGTCCACGATCTGTTCCCTGTCTTCTCGCAGAGCAAGGTTTCCAGCTTCCAGGATATTCTCTACCCGAGCCCTTGGTACTGGGCGGACAAGGTGCCATATGACAAGAGCAAGGACTTTGCTTGGGAGGCCAAATCTGATCGCATGTACTGGCGTGGCTCGACAACGGGTGGCTTTTCCCGCGCAGGTGGCTGGCGCCGCCAGCATAGACAACAGCTGGTTGACAATGTCAACGGGTTGGGCAATACTAAGATCATGACCCGCCAGCCGGACAACACATGGGTCGCACAGGAAGTTAGTCGGGACACGCACCGTGACTTGTTTGATGTCAAATTCACATTTATCGGTCAGTGCGACCCGGACGACTGCAATGCGCAGATCGAGTACTTCGGTGTGGTCAAGGCGGCTGGGCAACAAGATGCGTGGGCACACAAGTATCTGCTCGACATCGACGGGAACGCCTTCAGTGGACGTTTCCATGCTTTCCTTCACAGTAACAGCATGGTCTACAAGATCGCCATATTCCGCGAGTGGCACGACGAGTGGTTGAAGCCTTGGGTACACTATGTGCCTCTCAGCCTGAAAGGCAACGAGTACACCGAGAGCATGCGTTACTTTGTCACAGAGGAAGAGGGCAAGAAGTCTGCCCTTCAAATTGCCACCCAGGGCCAGCGCTGGGCCCAGCAAACCTTACGAAATGAAGACTTGGAAGTTTGGTTCTTCCGGTTACTCCTGGAGTAAGTTCTACTCTAGATGTCCTGTTTTGAATATCCTGCTAACCTTCCACCCAGGTATGGCCGTCTAGTCGACGACAACCGTGAACAACTGGGCTTCATCCTATGAGCAACCTAATATCTTCCCCACCGGTGCTCTGTATATACTCCCCCCTTTCTTTCCGAGGTCTTTGTGTAATGCTTTGCTGAGCCTCCATTAAGCCCCATGCGGGTACTCGACGAGATCATGGATTTCCCCGACCTTTTTGTTTTTCCTGTTGGATTGCATCGACATGCATGTTAATACCCTTTCCTTATTCCTCTTGTTTCATCCTCTTGGACGGTTTGACGGGTTTAGACCCTCCCGATGATAGTCGGTTGCATGTGAAGAGGAACTTGGCGTTTGCCGGCATGGGAGCCTTTTGAGATCAAACGTGTAAAATCTCTGCATTGAAACGCTTCTGTATGCTTATAATGTGATCTTTGCATTCTCATTCTACCTCGGGATGCCGATCAGTAGCTTAGTCCAGGGGTTTACTTGACATTGTCTATAGACTTAAATAGGGAAACCAGCTTTGAGATCTGGGTTGACACGCGTTCTGAGAGCCAGTTTTCGCAAATGAATCCAGAGGAACATAATGTATCGGTCAGTCAAATGTTTCCAGCATGTCGCCACAGTCTTCCCCACTGTATCGCATGCATACATGCCTATACCCGAGACAGCCTATCATGCATTCACCCAAGAAATGCAGTGGCAACCGATCGACATGACCATATGACAGACGTGCCAACATGTATTGAGCATTGTAGAAACAGAATATCAAGCTCAATTACCCAAATATACATTCTGATGCCTCATCCGTGAAATTTAGGTAAGACATTCAAATGACTAAGCGGAGTGACGCAACCTCGGATGAGCGCATTTGGCATAGCTCCGCTTGTGAATTGAAGGCAGTGATATTTGCTTGCTTTATATAACTTTCCCCACCTCTCTGACACCTGTCTACTGACATATACCTGATATCCCCATGGTCGATTAAGCTTGCTTCACCATGGCCAAGTTCCTTTCACGAGCGTTGACTGCGGTCCTCGTTTTTAGTTATGGCCTCTTTACCCTGGTTCTTTATGGCCTGATTGCCGTGAAGAATGGTACCTATTTCAAGCGCCCTACTGAAAAGGAGGAGTTGGAGCTACAGCTTGGTGAGTCGACTGATGATTCACTGATCGATATATAGTCTCTGACTAATATCTCTGCATCACAGCCCGCGATCGTCTCTGGAACTTATCTGAGGACTTTGAGGGCCTCTCTCACCACATGCTGACCTTGCAGAGCGGGTTCAAGTTTCACTTTGTTGCCAATGACAAGCCCAACACCCCGGAAACCATCAACTCTGACAGACCTTTGGTCATCTTCATTCACGGATTCCCCGATAGCTGGGCAATCTGGCGACACATCCTCAAATCTCCTTCTCTGCGCCAGGCCGCCTCTCTAGTTGCCATTGACCTCCCCGGATATGGAGGCAGCGAGAGCCTAGATAAATACGACGCCACAAATGTGCTGGAGAAGTTGACTGAGTTGATCATCACTCTCCGTACCGAATATGGCGTGGACTCGAGTGAAGAAAGCAACAAGAAGAGAACCATTATCGTCGCGCACGATTGGGGCTGCGTCTTGTCAATGCGCCTTGCTGCCGAAGCTCCAGCTCTGGCACATCGCTTCATCCTGTCCAATGGACCAATAGTATGTTCCACAGGCTCTCATCCGCAGAGCGCATCGTTAAGACTCACGACTCGCAGGCGAAACTAGTTCAAGCGAATATCCGCCGTATCCTTTCCACAACCAAGAAGATGCTCGGCAATGCCTGGCGCTCACCACGCCATGCGCGCGTCCCACTTATGCAGGCACTCCGCACCCTCGCCCCCCTCGGCCGCCAGTTCTTCCTGTCAGGCTATATCTTCGCCATGCAGATGCCCGTGCCTTTCGTCCTGCAGTTCTTAACCGGCGGAAACTACTCACTTCTAAAGGGCGTCCACCTTCGCGCTTCCGGTGGTATACTAACACCCTACGAGGCGGCAGAGGGTATGGCGAGCAGCATGGGCCCATCGGTCGCCGAGTTCAAATCTAAGACTGCCAGCGGGGATACATACCCTGCCACCCTGGAGAACGAGCGGGCATTCGCGCATGTAATGCACATGGCGGGATATTACCGTGATCACGCCTCCGTGGCTCGCTGGGTGAAATCCATCGAGACAGTCGCCAGCTTGCATAGCATCTCGAGTGGAAGTGAGCTGCGACACTCGAGTAGCGGTGCTGGATTATTCGATGAAGGTCCCACGGGCGCTCTTAAGGCTAGCTCCACTATCTTCTGGGGCCAGCAGGATATCGCGCTTGATCAGAGGATTTGTCTGGATGGCATGAATGATTTCTTGGTGAATGACAGCCAGATTGTTCTGCTTCCTCGGACGGGACATTGGACGCCGGTTGAGCCTGAGAGCCGTGCGGCTTTAATTAAAGTTGTCGAGTGGGCTGCGCAAGGTGAGCAGGGTGATGTCGGGACTGTTATTCAGAAATCTTATCCTGGGGCGAAGGTGACTGTTCGTCGGTGATTTAAATTGAGAATTGAGCAGTGGATTTGATATACCCTTTACAACCACTATGAATTTGTTGGCAAATTTGCGAACTCAATGCCTCGTATTTATGTGAAGCGCGTATTGCAGGCCACTAGAGCTAAGGCGGTTAGTAAATGACCGGGGTTCACGTCGCCAGGGCCGCTTCTGTTTCAGGCAGAAGGACTGAAGATGTAAAAATGGGGTGATTGTGTAATGTAGAGATAGCAGAGCAGAAGAGTAGAAGAGAAGAAGAGAAGAAGAGAAGAAGAGAAGAGATGGCGACTGGGGAAGCGGGAAAATCACCCGCTTTCCCCAGAACCCCCAGAAGTGTCACGTTTACCCGGTGAGGGGGAACGTCCACTTCCCCTCGCCTCTTTAGGTCTGTGTGTCTGACAACTCTTTTCTCTTTTCTCAAGCTTCAGTTCTAGCTGTTTTAGCTGGAATATCCCCAACATTCGCATTACCCCTGGCCAACCCTCGGGACATGCAGTGAAGAACGGCTGTTTTCGTTCAACCTGAGTCCGGGCCAGGTACCACAAATCACACCCGATTTGACACGCCCAAAACTAAACCGTGGGATAAATACAGGGCTCTCTCCTTCTTCTCCCCTCCAGTCTTGATTGGGGAAGCTCCCATTCTTCTGTTGAGGGACCGGCGCGATGGCTTCCGACGGGGTCTACTGCACGGTAGGTTAAACCCCCTCCTCCTTTCTAACCCCCAGGGCTGTCTACAGAAGGACGTGAATATGCTGACGAGCCATTGCAGCTCCTGCTGAGCGATCATTATCTTCCGGGTAAGTGATCGTCATGTGGCGAACCAATTGCCTTGCTAATTCGCCTTGCCTTAGGTGCTATGGTCCTTGCCCATTCCTTACGCGACAATGGCACGAAAGCAAAGCTGGTGGCTCTCTTTACACCGGACAGACTACAATCAGCCACTATCAATGAGCTACGGGTATGTCGGCCCTCTCTTGCCTTTCCCAGTGACCCTATGGGGTGTTCGGACTTAACTGACGTTTTCGTGCCAAGACCGTCTATGATGAGCTGATCCCAGTGAGCTCGATGGTGAACGGCACCCCGGCGAATCTCTGGCTCATGGATCGCCCAGACCTGATCGCGACGTTCACCAAGATCGAGCTCTGGCGCCTGACACAATACAAACGGGTCGTATACATTGATTGTGACATCGTGGCCCTGCGAGCTCCGGACGAGCTGTTGTCGTTAGACGCAGACTTCGCCGCTGCACCTGACGTTGGCTGGCCAGATTGCTTTAATAGTGGGTTGATGGTCCTCCGACCTAATCTGCAGGACTATTATGCGCTCAAGGCTCTTGCTGAGCGAGGCATTAGCTTCGACGGCGCGGACCAGGGACTGCTGAATATGCACTTCCGGGACTGGCATAGGCTAAGCTTCACGTATAATTGCACGCCCAGCGCCAATTACCAGTACATTCCTGCGTACAAGCATTTTCAGAGTACCATCAGTCTTATTCACTTCATTGGTTCGCAGAAGCCGTGGACTATGCCGAGGCAGATTTTTCCTCTGGAGTCTCCATACAACCAGCTGCTAGGTCGGTGGTGGGCTGTTTATGACAAGCATTATCGTTTGCCATTTGTACGTGTTGTGGTGGATCCGATTTACCTCCCAGACTGACCGTTGCTAGGTATCACAGCCGCAGGGCGCACCGGGTGGGTTCAAGACATCGCACCCGCCTCAAATTGTTCCCACGTCTAGCACTGAAGGCCACGCAATTCATATTCAGGGGCATGAACCGACGGCGTCTCACCATGAGCAATGGCCGCAACCGTACCATGTTCATGCTGCCTCGGAACACCAGCCTGAGAGCTTCCATCATGTGTCACACCACGAAGCACCGGCAGTCGATGAACAACACCATGAACAACGCCATGAACAACACCATGAACAGCACCATGAACAGCACCATGAACAGCGCTATGAACAACATCATGAACAACACCATGACACACATCATGAGCATCATGCAGCTCCCGCCGACGCAGCTCCGGCTCCTGTATTGAGCATGGTACCTCAATATGTTCGCGGAGAGGAGCATGTTTCAACTTATATCCCACCGTTGCCTTACACGGCACCAATTATATTCGCCCCCAAACTGAGCCATGAGACACATCATGAGATGCCGCAAGTATACCAGCAGGCACCGGATGAGGGAAGTCATCATATACACCAACCACAACCCGTGGCACCGATTCCCCCCATTTCTTCGATGGATGAGCCATATCAACGTCCACCTTCTCCGATACCGGTGTCTCCAACCTTTGAGGCACCTAAATATGAATGGGATCCGGCGCGGTAAGATGAATACGTCTTGTTAGAATGCGTGAACACCTACTTATGCCATACAGAGAGCCACCACCGGCGAATTCGAAACCGGAGGGAATCAGTCTGCAACAAAAGACATACACCATGTCTGATGACACTCAACTATTCCAACCCCCTGCATCCTACCCCGAGGCACCAAGAAACATGTACTACCAAGTCCCCGCAACCAGATCAGCACCTGAAAAGCCCGCCCCAGTATTCCCCTGGGAAAGCCATGCCCCGAAACCAACCCGCGTCTTCCCAACCGAGCAACCACCCCAAGAACCAACCGAGGACGAACCAACGCCTCCCCAAACAACCAATGACCCCATCCATAACCCCCCACCCCCACCCCCCTCAGGCCCCTCCTACACCCGAGTCCCCTACGAACCAAGTTCCGAATCATGGCAAACATACACACGCTCCAACGCCTGGGACGAAGACCCCGAAATCCAGCGCTACATCGAAACAGTGCAACAAGCCCGCAAAGCCAGAACCCAAGTGATTTCCAGCCCGGGCTCATCCAACACCAGCGCCACAAGCCACAACAGAGACATAGACAGCGTCTCCTCACCCCCATCCACGGGCCGCAAACCAAGCACCATAATAACAGACTTCCCAACCGAAGTCGAACGCCCCAGCCTCCCCGTAACGCCCGCGCCAATCCATCGCGGCAGTGGTAGTTACGGCGGGAGCCACGATGGGAGCGATGCCTCTGGCGCGCATGGCCTGCCCACTGCGGAGGGCGTGCCGAGCCAGGAGGAATGGGTGGGTGTCACGGTTGATGCGTTTTCTTCCTTGCTTAACGCAACATACTTATTCTGGCGGTCTACAGAATCCCCTGGCTCGGCTCGAGGAGCTGCGTCGTCGGCAGTCGGAGGTTTTGGAGCATCCGGAAAGACTTTTTAGTCGTCTTGCTGGGTTGCCTGATAGGGCTAGTTTTGAGAGTGCCCCTGAGGCTGAGTGACTATATATTTTTCTTTCATTATGCTCTTTCCTTCGTGTTTTTTAATTATCTTTTCTTGAATCTTTTGGGTACTTGGTGAGAGTTCATTTTTTTGTTTCTCACTCCTCATCTTTCATTTCCCGCGTTGCATATGCATAGAATTGGAAAGCTCGAGATGCATACTTGATATTTGGTTAGTGGAAATATTAATAGCGAGGCTGAGTGGAAATGCCTGAATCCGCGTGTACTTTTTCCCTATACGCCCGCTCCCTGTAGTTCACATCTACAACGGGGTCATGAGTCCTTCCACACCATCACCTTTATATGATCTAGAAGGTAAATCCGAGGCACTCGAAATGGGGGAAAAAAGAGGTAAAAAAGCAAGGCCAAAGTAGGGTGAAAGCAATGCATGAAACGGTACACTCGCTCCGAGGCCTTCGTGTAGAAACTGTCCAATACTTCATAAACACTGTGTACACATTTATGACCCCTGTTGTATAAAACCTGTCACTTGCCTCTCCAAATTCTCTATTTTGTCTTCTCCTGCCCACAGTCACTATTTATGCTCGTGGCCTTTCTACCCGCTAACACTCCTGCCCTAACCCTGCCCGACGACTACCTTTTTAGTCGGAAGAGTCCCCTTCCTAGGTATACTCCTAGTGAAATGTACTACTTTTTTTAAGCTTTCTCAGCTACGGTAGTCCACGGACGTCATAGTGCCTTAACAAACCTCAGGGTCTAGTGAGAGATGTTGTCTCCGATGACAAGCACCTGCTCCGGATTTGCCCCTGGTAACCATTTATTTGCGTCGCCAGTACTGTTGCTTGTATTTTAGCTACTATACCTCTAAGTCAGTCTCATCAATTCTATTGCTTGTATTATAAGTTAGTGGGTTACTGTACGCTTATCGGGTATACAGATACAGTGCATTAGCGCGTTTCCACAGACACAATGAAGTGCGAGAATTAATGCACTTGCAGCTACATCTAACACATGAAATGCAGCAGATACGTGTAGTCAAAGTAAGGTGGTTGCTGAAAATAGCAAGATCCCCGCATGGTGCGCATATGAATCAGACTTTAGGCACCGCGTGCAATCCTGCGGATTTTACAATAAAAGTGATGTTTTGCAAGCTGCAAATTACTAGTGTAGTCGTGGCTTATGGTCCCCCGACACCACCGTGGTGGGTAATAGGACCAGCTCTAAGGTACATGAAATCAACGTGGCAGTATGCGTTTCAGATTAGCCCTCCGGTATTACATTGACTCCTAAGATCGAGAGCTCCCTTTGGACCAACCAGTGAATAGGACTGCCAATCGAGCAAATAGGTACCAGCCAAATCTAGGATAGGCACAAGGGGGTCATGCATTTTAGGTCCCTAACTGTTAGATTGATTCGTCTTCGAGAGAATAGCATAAACTTGCATTTTTCCATAAGAATACAACAAACATTCCCATTTTGTCAAGTCTATCAACGCTAAAGATAGAGAAAAGGGTATAAAAAAAAAGACTCTAGGTGCATAGACAAGGTTACTCTTGTCCATTATCAAAGCGTTGACCACGATAGGAGTAAAAATTGGTCTGCTTGACATGAAATGCCTTGCCCGTTTTCGCATCGAAAATGGAGAATCCATGAATCGCAGCGTTGGGTGGAGTGTAAACTGTATGCAGTGTCAATTTCTAGAGATCCGGGAGATGGATACATAAAAGGACGTGGCGAACATACGATGTAATGAGATGGCAAAATCTTCCGGGTCAGGGTTGGATATCCGGTGTAGACCAAGCTTGTCGGACATGTAGGTCACTTGGTTTTCGCCGTAGGTGGTTTGCTTGGTAAGTTGCGGTGGAGAGGGTTGACCATCCTCTATCTTTGCTTGGTCGGGCCATGAGTAGAGGTTCTCTTGAAGTTTCCCTTTCAAGATCTATATTTATTTCGAGGTCAGCCCGAGAACTGAATGCTCATGACGATGTCGATATTTACGACCAAAGAGTCACGAACCTTCATAACACAGTGTGCGTTGGCGTGATCATGGATTAAACTGCCTTTTCCAGGACTCCACACTAGTATCAACTAGTAGAAATAATTAGCTTATATGTTTCCACAAGCGACATGAACGTCATTTGGAATGGCATTGGCTTGACCCACCAAGTTGCTCTTGCCGTTCCCCTCGTCAATTAAATTCCTTGTGTAGGTCCTGCTTGCATCCCCCAGTGCATAAGAGCCCCATTCTTCCTCATTTGAAACATATTTCTCCATCAAAAGTTGTATTTCCATCGGGTCAACATCACTAGAATCAAGCCCCGAACTCGGACCTAAAGCCGCACTAAGGTTCTCCACGAGCCTCTCGAAGGCGCCTGGACCTGTTTGGTTGTCGTGGGGTAATCCAGATTCGGTTTTAAGGAAAGGCATGATGACGAGGTAGGTTCTGAGAGCTGCCCACGGGCTTCTGTGTGCTGTAGGGTGTTGACGGAGGATAAGGAGCGCTATCGGAGGTCGGAAGGTGGAGGAATGGAGTTGGAAGTATTGCGTGCTTATAGTAGCCACCAATGGTAGGAATAAAACTCCGCCAAGTCTAAATGACTATGTCCATTGATCTGAAGTGGAAACAACGAAGTAATAAAGTAGCAAAGTCGCAAGTCGCAAAGTAGTCGCGCGATAAGCGATAAGGAAGGATCTTGGCGCTCAGGCATCGAATGACATAATTGCCCTCGTTGCCTGAGGCGCACACCCCGCCCTGACTAAAAACTGCGGTGCCACAATTCAAAGATTGTCCGCAAGTGCCTTTCACTACAGCAGTGCTCTCCCAGACACATTCGAGTCCCTGAGTTTCGGGGATTCCCACCTACATTTATTCTGATTTTTAATTGCTGGTTCAAATCGCCAAGATGTCGACCACTATTGAAAAGGTGAGTTAATCGCTCAGAATTTTGACCATGACGTCGCATGTCACTAACCATGCCATTTCTCCCAATAGATCAAAGAGATCGAGTCCGAGATGGCTCGGACTCAAAAGAACAAGAACACCTCGTTCCATTTGGGTACGCGCGCACACCCAGACACCCTTTCGACGTCATCGACATGATTTTTGACAACCTGTACAGGACAGTTGAAGGCGAAGCTTGCTAAGCTCAAGCGTGAACTCTTGACGCCAAGCAGCGGAGGTGGTGGCGGCGGTGGTGGTAAGTACTTGTCTAAAGGTCTAAAGGAACTTTTCGGTCGCTAACTGTGTCTTTAGCCGGTTTCGATGTTGCGCGTACTGGTGTTGCGAGTGTGTAAGTACCCTAATAGAGGACGGCAGGGAGATTTTGATCGCAACGTACTCACAGTTCACAGTGGGTTCATTGGTTTCCCATCCGTCGGCAAGAGTACTCTGATGAATAAATTGACTGGACAGCATTCGGAAGGTTAGTTCGCGCAATACCCTTCGCGCGACAAATTCTAATATCTCTCTTCAGCCGCGGCTTACGAGTTCACAACCCTCACAACTGTCCCCGGTCAAGTGATGTACAACGGTGCCAAGATTCAGATTCTCGATCTTCCCGGTATTATTCAAGGTGCCAAAGACGGAAAAGGTCGTGGTCGACAGGTTATTGCAGTGGCTAAGACTTGCAACCTTATCTTCATTGTCCTTGACGTGAACAAGCCATTGGTTGACAAGCGTGTCATCGAGAACGAATTGGAAGGATTTGGTATTCGGTGCAACAAGACGCCCCCCAACATTCTGTTCAAGAAGAAGGACAAGGGTGGTATTGCCATCACCAGTACTCAGCCTTTGACCCATATTGACAACGACGTGAGATATTCATGCAAGTCGGGGATATCGGAGCAACGCTAACAACGATGTCTAGGAAATCAAAGCTGTGATGAACGAGTATAAGATTTCGTCTGCCGATATCTCTATTCGATGCGACGCCACTATCGATGACCTGATTGATGTCCTTGAAGCCAAGAGTCGCAGCTACATTCCCGTCATTTACGCGCTGAACAAGATTGATGCCATCTCTATCGAAGAGTTGGATCTGCTTTACCGGATTCCCAACGCCTGTCCTATCAGTTCGGAGCACGGATGGAACGTTGATGAGCTGATGGAGATGATGTGGGAGAAGCTCCAGCTGCGCCGAATCTATACCAAGCCCAAGGGCAGAGCACCCGATTACTCGGCACCTGTTGTGCTGCGTTCCTATGCATGCACAGTCGAAGACTTCGTAAGGGCTACCTCTTATCTCTCATAAAGGAAGAACATAAGCTAACCGCAATTAGTGTAACTCCATTCACCGCACTATTAAGGACGACTTCAAGCACGCTATCGTGTATGGTCGCTCCGTGAAGCACCAACCGCAGCGTGTCGGCCTTTCGCACGAGCTGGCCGATGAAGATATCGGTAAGTGACCGCTGTATCTCCAATGTAACTATGGATTTGAAAGCTGACTGGGCTACAGTGTCGATCGTCAAGCGGTAAAGGATCTGGCCACAAATCCTAGACCCCTATAGCCCGCGTGCGGAGCGGCGAGCTGATCCAAGCGGCGCTGGTGGCAGGTGGTCTGTGCCAGCATGTCTTTGCGCCTTCGGTATGACAGGCACACGGCTTCTGGGATAGCTCCCCGTAAGACGCCACCGGACTCGAGCGTGTTTGGATAGACTCGTTCCAGCACGGGCGACCAAGATGAATCGGGGGGAGCCTGAGTCAAAGCTACGTTTTGACGAGATTGATGGGTTGTGAGCAAGTAGCCTGCATGGCATCTGCTTACATCTTGGTGCCTTTCAAGGTATAGCGTGGCTTGTGGGTTGGTGAACTCTGAGTTAGGCGTATGCCAGGGGTTACACAACCCCAGGGGCAGACACGAGGTGAAAAAAAGCCCTGGGTATTTTCTGATGCCCTTGGCATGCGAGAGTCATTTCTTTGTTTAGTAGTTGACCGAAGCGACCTGTCCATATTGTTATGATTACCCCCTTCTTTTTCATTCAAGGTCCTTTGTTCTTTATCTATGATCCCACCAAAAGTTCTAGATTCAGGTCTTCACGGCAAGCGAGTCTATTCTTTCATACTTGCCGGGTGGCTTTTTAGAAAATCAACAGAAATCGATGAAAGAAACAGCAGCCCAGTCATATATTGCTTTTGTTGCCCAATCTCGATGGTTAATATCAAACCCCAGCCGATGGGGAGAGCAACCACATATTGCCCCTCCCTCTCCATGCACTAAATATTCGCCTGCAAGAATTTACCACGTTGAACGAATAGATTCCCCGGATTATCTCAAAATTCGCTATAGCATCGGACGATACAACCTCTTATCGGTCTTGTAGGGGTTACAAATCCCTACCAAGGACGCCTGCATGGACAATCATATCCAAGGTAATCCGATTGGCGAATTCCCCTACATAATTCCATCCCGTCCTGTGCGGCATCCTTGCTAGTCATATGAATTCTTTGTATGAAATGAGGATTTACGGTGTTTGCTTTTTCCCCAATCCTGACCTGCGCCCAGGCTTACGAGTCAGGCATTGTCCAAAAGCCACAAGGTCTAGCCCAGGTCCCTCGTTTACCTCCGTCGATCTCCGTACTTTGTTTCCGTGTATTTTACTTGTTAATTTCCAGGGCTGTCTCATGTGTCAGCTTGAAAGCTCCGAGATGAGAAGTGACAGCTTCGAACCGGGGGGAGGAGCCGGAAAGGCAATTATGGTGTGCATGGGTCGACTCGCACAGACCTATAAGTTCGGCAACGGTGATCATGACGGGCCTCTTTTCGGCTGCGTGCGTAGACTTTCGAACTTAAGGAGCGGGCTTAGAGCTCTATCCGATAGGCCGCGCAAAAATGGATAAAATACCCAAGAGTAATGATAGGGGCTTGTTATATACACAATTGATCTGTCAACTACTGTAGTCTATGCTAGCTTCTGGTCTTTCCGTGGACCAATTTGCTCGCTACCAAAAATTGAGAGGCAAACAAGGTACTAAGGATCTGCACGTTGAGCAAACTAACCCATTTCAAGAAGGAGTGAAGTGGACAGAAAAAAGGAAAAGCAGGGGAAAAGCAAAAAGTGAGGCGAGCTAGGGCTAATGTACAACAAGCGGTGAATGGTCCGGTTGTCAACGGTTATCTGATCCCTTATCCCATTCCCAGTATGGAATAAATACTGGTACGCTAAGTGTAGTTTGCATCTTATGAATCGGAATTCTGTTAGTCAAGGTGGAGAAACTCCGATCTAGCGTAAAGGGCTCTTGAGGGGGCTGTTCACGATCTGGTCCGTTCTCAGATGCAAGATCGGCAGGATTCTCAAAGCTACTGCAAGGCTACGTATCTATCGTATGCTGTATACATCTGTATACATGCACATTTATCAGGTGACTGTTCTGGCACCGTCCTGTTTCCTCTCTCGTGGAGAATCCAGCGGTTATCCCCGTCGCATTGCATTGCATTAGCCTATGCTCTTCCCCGGAGTCATGGCCCGGAGAGGCACGATTTTCCATGTGTGAAGTAGGTACCATCATGCCATGGCTGATGTTACATTCCTGAAAAGCTTTAAATACTGGCGCGATCCTTCGTTCATTCATCACTCCACAGTCCCACAGTGTATCTCCGAGTAATCAAGAAGAATAATGCATGCACAATTGACACCCTACGCGGAGATAGCCCGGGCGGGATTGTAACGGGCTGTCGATCGGTACCTGACTCAATACCCTTGTTCACACCTCTTTGTTTCCTCTGTGCCTGAGATTCAACGGGAATTTCGCCCCGGAGCTTGATCATTGCCAAGAAATGACGGACCAGACAGCGAGAAGCAAATATGCGTACCTCCCATCCAGAGGCTGGCGATTTCAATTCTGACCGGTCTAGACTGCCTAGATAATTACTGTACTCTTTAACGATATGGCTTTGCAAGAAATTGCATTCTTTCAATGGCGTCAGCCCACTTGCTGATCGAATACGATTTCGCTCCGGGCTACATTCGGTAATCACTAACCTGATTTTCACTAGTTTTTATTTTATTTTATTTCATTTCCTTCATAGTTGCATAGCACGTTTCTTTTTTAGGCTGCCTTGGCGCATAACAAAATGGCAATGTAAGCATGATTGGCGCTGCGACCGGATCAGAGCCCCTTACGGGGTCAGACATAAGTAGTGCGGGAATCGAGGATGGGGTTAATTTGTCAGATTCTTGTCAGCTCAGCCCTTTTTGTACGTTGCATTTGACTTTTCTTTGTAGTTCAGACATTCCATCCCGGTTATATGATTCGAAAAAATGCCTCATTCAAAAGGCCATGAAACGGAAGCAGGCCAATTTCACATCGGCCTCCTCGTGGTTTTGTTGAACAAGCGGGGAGGCTCTCGGGCCTGTATAGTAGGCCGGGTTCAAATGTGAATGCCGATATGAGGAGGTATAGACGTCAGAGGCCATATTCTACAAAGCCCGCAAAAGCCTCCTTATACTTCCAAAGTTCCGTGCAGAGCGTAAAGGTTCCCGGGCCGGAGGGTACCGCAGTGGACCAAGTGGAGAAATGAACGCTGAAAAGTTAGCGCCAAAACATCGCATCATTGGGAGGTTCCCCTCTTCTCAGGGCTCCATCCACTTCCTCTTATGCCTCTTTTCGGCTCTGATAGGTCAGTCTCTCACGATGTTGTTCGGCCCTTGTATCGGCCTCTGGTATCAACCGTAGGGAATCCTACGAGGCGGATTCGTCCATTTTCAATCATCCATGTTGCTCCTCATTTGTTATTTGCTCCCTTTTTTTGCCGTGTCGATTCGTTTGCTATGAACCCCCCAAGCAGATCGGCTCCTCCAGGCTCCATAATACTCCCCCCTCCAGGAATAATCCTATTTGATGGTCAATCTGTCCGATCTAGGGATTTGCTCTATCCTCCTATCCTATTTACAGACAAGATCGAGACCTCTCGCACCTACCCTCAACTTTCTACGGGCACCGTGCCCCGCTGAAACATATCACATGAGGTACAAGATCTGGAAATGTTTGGTTTTGCCTTCTCTTTGGTTGAGTTGGGAAAGGCAAACTGTTGAATGTCAACCAAAGGCCCCGAATAGAAATGGTCTCTCTGCACTGCCGCTATCGTCTTGCTCCCGGTCCACTTTGATCGCCCTCTACACGGATGCGATGCGGGATTTAGGTTCAGCGTTTTATCGATCCGCTCTCCAGTCCTAAGCAAATCAGCTACGACCTGGGCGCTTTTTCAGCGAACTCCATTCCAATCCCCGCGGATGATCTACTCTGATTTGACTCAATCTTCGGGGAGACCCCAAGCCTCGTTCAAGCAAGGCGAAAACGACAAGCCACTGAAGGATTAGACACCCGTCATAGATTAGCAGGTGAGGGATAAACGGTGGACGGTCACGCCGAAGTTGCCCCCAAAGACGGAATTGACTCCATATTGGGTATCGATGGTAACATTCACATTAACTGTAAATTGAATATAAGATGTACAGTGTAGACTAGAGTCCAACTCCAACCCCTGTTCAGGGTAGCTAGGAAAAAAGAAGTGAAAATGACAGAAATGACAGAAATGACAAGAAAAAGAAAAAGGAAATGACATTTCCATACCCTTACGCTGTAATACGACTTGGGCCTGACGAGATGCAACCCCTGCCGCAATATATCGCACCTCCAACCAACCAGAGGCCGTTGCCCCCTCCATGGCAGGGATGATTTCGAAATTACAAAATCATATTTAATTATATTTCTTTTTTGGATCATGTCGGATGGGTTTTTTCACCCAACGACCCAATCAAAACTCAGTTCGGCTGGATTCCTCTTGGGGGAAGGTTATCATGGGTTTCTCCGGACTCTAGGCTTCTCGTGCCAGTTGCAATCGAGATTCAAGTTCTGTCAATCCACGCGATACTGATCGCCCTGGCCTTGGTGGCTCGGATTTTCCTTTTAACTCCATTGCCTTACCCGCATGCGCACTTTTACCTCTTCTCTCCTGCATATTGTATACATTTCTCCCCCAGCTTGATAGCTCACAGTTATTTTATCCTTCTCGGGGCATTACCTGACACTTCCTCTCTTGCTCAGGGCATCTCGGTAATTTGATACGGGTTGACAGAAGCAGTGGAACATGCATCGGCTCTTATTGTCTTACCCTTAGATTGTCTCATTGTTCCCCGGGATTTCTTTTGTCTCTCTTCCTGACGACCATTTCCTCCCCAGTCTCGAGCCTGTCAGCGGCAAAAAGACTTCATCGGTATACAAATCAACTTGTCCTGATATTCGCCGTCCATGGAGGATCAATCCACCATGGAAACGGAGACTCATCATGCTCCAGATGGTGAATTTCCACATTCACCATGGGTGGAAATAGGCGCGTTTACCTCGCCTCAACATTCTCCCCCGATGCCGGAATATAGTGGTTTTGATTACGGCCCAGCGCCGCTCATGGCTGTGGATGGCTCTTACAACATGTCAATACCACCACCCTACGCTTCGATGCCACTCCCTATGCCCTCGCATTCCTGGCCCAGCATGCTCACACACCACTCGCCTTTTCAAGAAGGTGGTTTGCCGCATGTGTCCGCTCCGACTTCGGTATCGCCTTCCGCTCCCATGCCTCCAGTGCGAAAGACCTCAACTGGAGGTTCCACGCCGCGCAGGACACTTACCGATGAGGATCGCCGCCAAATGTGCTTATATCACGAGGAAAACAAGACTGCCAAGCAGACTGATATTGGAGGTAAGATTGTGCATATTTGCTCCTGCAGAGTCACGGGATTAGGGCTGACTTCATGACCAGCATTGTTCGGAGTGGAAAGAAGGTACTTCTGCACCCCTGGGTAATTTCTTTGCTGTAATTTAACGTGGTTGTCTATCTAGTACGGTTTCAAAGGTACTCCGCCAAAAGGAGAAATATCTCAACCCTGACGATGGGAGTCGATCTCCCATCAAACGGGCCAAGGGCAGAGTCCCTGATATCGAGAAAGCCCTATCCAACTGGGCAAGAAACTACCAACGCCAAGGTTACCCATTGAGCGATGAGATGATTAAAGAGAAAGCTCTCTTCTTTGCCAGCACCTGTGGCTGCCCAGAGGGCAAGGACAAGGTGCTGACTGCAGCCTGGCTTGACAAGTTCAAGCACAGGAACAACCTGCTCGGTGCAAAGGTGCGCAGAGGGTCTGCCGATGTACGCAGCGGATCAAACAGCCCAACCCGTATCAACACAGACTTCTCCACAAGCTCTGGCCTTCAAAGCCCAACAGGGCCTTCACCCTCCTCCCCGATCGATGGCTTTGGATCCCCACTGTCTCCAACCCAGAGCCAAGAAGGAATCAAACGGGACATTGCTGATGCACTGCCCGACCTGACAGGGGGTTACCAACACAACTACTCCAAGAGTACGACGTCGCTCGATACAACCTCCTCGGCGGGGATGATTAGTCCAGCATCAACCCTGGTCTCCGATAGCCCCTTCACACCAACAAGCCAGTCGCGCCTTCCAACCAACAGCCACAACAATAACCGCCCGCGCAGCCAGACCTTACCCCTCGTGCCTATCGACCCAACCCTCCTCATAGCAGATGGAACAATGGACCACCAACACACAAAGCGTGAGCTCCAACAATCTCTCTCCGTCCAAACCCTACAGTCCCCCCTTGAAATGGGCGACGATGACTCCAAGCCCATAAGCCTGGATCAAACAAATGGCATCAAACGAAACCGCAGCAACCCAGAGATTAAGGCAATCTCCATGCCACCCCCGTCCAAGTCAACTACCATCTCCCCTACCAGTTCCCCTGGCTCCCCAACCCAAGACGAGGCCCGCCGGGCCTTGGAACTAGTGATGAGCTACTTCGAACATCAGCCTGCTGGTCTTGCCGCGCAGGAGTATCTCACCATTGGTAAACTGATGGAGCGATTGGAGCTCGCAAAGAGCCAATCTGGTGCCCTGTTCAATGGCTTGCCGCGCATTGATGAGCACGAGGATATTACTCCGCGCGTGACCAAGAAGAGGAGCATTCATAACATGGGTTGACATCCTCCATCGTTGCATTTTTTTAGCCCTTGTTGTGAACGTTACACCCTACCCCATTTTTTGTTGCATCTTAGGTTTTCCAGTCGTTTTGACTCTACCTAGACTCTCCCATCACGAATTTCCCTCCCCAAACACACCTGCGATTTTTTCATGATTCCCATCCCTGTTCAATTCGGTTACGTCTTTTCTTTTCTACTCTCACTATCAAGAGAGGTTACTTGTTAGTTTGCCTCGCTTTTTGATTTTTCCTCCCTTATATGCATGCCGTTGTACGAAATTATCTCTGTCCTTGTGTCTCTTGGGCCAGTGACAACCAGGACAAGAAATCCTGGCACAAACACCCCCGAAAAACATACAGATATCCAGAGGGCGACCTCTACTCTTTCTTTTGTTGGAATGGGACGGATTTGGCGCATCACTCTCATGCCCGGGCGATGTCTACGCATACATGGAATATGGCATATGGAAATGATGGTATACGGATATGGGCCTTGGACCTGGGAGTCTCTACTTTTCTTCGGGGTTTGCTTTTTCTATTTGATTTTTTGCTTTTCCCGTTTCCTTGATTCGGTCTATTCCCCCATGTTGCGCTTTTCTTATTCTTGCATTCTATTCCCACACTACTTTCCCCCTCCCCTCCCTATCTTGCAACCGTTGTATTGCATCCCTTTCTTACACTCTTTTTCCTTATCTTGTTTCTTCTCTTTTCTTTTTAGTTTCTTTAAACTGGGCCCGCTCGCGCGGAAAGAACATAATGTTGCTCGGTTCGCTTATACATGAACCGGCATGTCAGATTAGTTTCTTTATCACCTCTGTTTTTTCGTTTCTTTTCTTACTTTCCTTTACCTTGGATCTCCTATATTATACCCCCATCTTCCACATCACGTTGTTTATTTTACAATCTTACTGCTGTTTTGAGTTCGAACTTATGCTGGTCATAAGTAAGGCATATCTCATTAAAAGAATTTAAGTATGGTGCTAAAAACAAGTCCGTGAGACAAGAAAAGTCTAACTAAGACTGGCCGGATACCGAGACCGAGATTCTAGAATGCAGATGGTACTGACGCCACCCCACGGTCCTCCAGTAGATCTTCCACGCTGTGCTCAGATACCTCAGGGAGGACATTTGCGAGCACAATCTCAATAATAGAGTAGATTAGATGTTTGTTGCAGTACTCATCCGCAAAGACGTCCAGGATATCATTCTCAATTGTATCCAGGAGGTACTCATCCTCTAGATCAATGCCAGACGGATCGTCATCTGTGCGCAGCCGCTCAGCGGCAAGGTGACCACTCTGCTCAGGCAGGGCTGGAGATGAAGCCGAAAGCGAATGCGATGATGACAGGGTTGATTCCTTCCCCTGAACCGCAGGTCGGGGCTGGTCCCCACCATTCGCCCTGGAAGGTGGTTGGGATGGCGAGGTGGTGGTGGTGGTGGTAAGGGAGGGCGAAGTGTTGGTACTGCAGGTACGATCACCGCTACAGGGTGGAGGGGCCGACGAGGAAACACCAAAGAAGGTTCGTGCGAGGCTGCGCGGAATCAAGGCCAGGAGACTAGCTGCACATCGCCGCTTGATAGCGGCGATCTCCGTCTCAGATGGAGTGTTCCTTTTCTCCGGCTCAGCCGGCACGGGTGTCGATGCTGTTGTTGGGGCATCGGCTGCAATGGAAGAAAGTGACGCTGGGCTGGCTGAGGCTGTCGTTGTTGAGGTTGGACCCCCGCCACTGCCGCCACTATTGCTGTTGCTTTTGGGTTCGATTCTTTTACCTATTGTGTCACTTGCTGCAGGTTCCCTAACTCCTTCCGTAATGGGGGGGCTAGGTGAGGCGGTGGTTGCGTGGGCTTTCTGACTGGGCGCCGAGGCCTGTGGCGGAACCGAAGCCGGGTCTCCAATATTCACGACCGCTATCTGAGATGACGGGCGGGTATTGGCCGGGAACAAGGCGGTCCTTGTCGCAAGAAGAAGGTTGGGCAACAAAGTGGGGGTCAGCACGTATTCCTCAATGGTTTCCCGAAGGAATCTGTGGAGTCAGCATGGTTTCTCAAATGACGTCGGAGCAATTTAGCCAAGCAGAGGCCGTAAAAAAAAGGCAAAAAGAAATGAAGCGAAAATGCTTTCGACTGTGGAGCTCTCGGGACGTTGTGCTCTTTTTTTCACTCATTTTCAGAGCGAGGTACATCAAATGAGCTCCGGCCGTAACCAAGTGGGGAGAGGCGGAGCAAGATCGGCTTAGGCAGAGATGAGGGAGCTTGGGCCAGCGACAGGGATGCTATTCCTAAGCGGAAATGAAGCCCCTCTTCAGCGGCTAACATCCCGTACCTGGGGCTCCATGCACGAACCTCGGTCAAGTTGCGAAATTCCAATTTCGCTCATTGGACAGAACACGGTAATTCACTAGCCTCGGTCAGGGCCTTTTTCTCATGCACCTAAAAGGCGCATAGTGCGTTTTTGGTGATCGGCGTCGGGTTTTTCTTTCATAGCCCCCCTAAGTTGCGATCGTCGTGCTTCCAGATGTGATCTTTCATTTCCCTCAAAACAAACCAAGTTGAAAGTTGGCATATGAAGTGGAAGAGCGGCACGGAAAGGCCCGGCCCCCGGAACAAAGAGAAGATGTGAGCAATCTCCAGGGCTCGGACCAGCTTAGACACAGCCAATCATAGCGCAGAACAGCCATGTCGGCCTGACAATGACCATACAGTAATTCTCGTAACAGCATCGTATCAAAGTTACAGATCAAGTGACCGACGCAGCATGCGAGCAAGACGCTTCTTGTTCCACGGTGGCACAGGTGACACCCTCCTGGATCGTGGAAGCACCCTTGCTCCACAGTCGAGTATCATTTCCAAGGTTGCAGAGGGCAGAGGGGAGATAGGAATAGAAACTCACCTATCAAGGACTCCGTCGGTACCACCAACCCTGCCAGGGCCTGCCAGAATCAGATGCTGGGACAGAGCGAACAGCCCACTCAGCCATGGCATCCTCCAGGGGACTCCCAAAGTCTCTGAGACCATGGAATACATCCGGTAGCCGAGAACCGGGCGCTTCCCCGTGACACTGTCTGAGCCCATCCCATTTATTTTCTGATTGATGGCTGTCGAAGAGGCAACTGAAACATTGAAACCGTGCGAGGATGGGCCTGGACTCGATGCGACACGGAACAGGCCTATGGCAATGAAACGCAAAGCGACGTAACCAAGATAAATGCCCTGCAGAACATTCCATATCCAGGCTGTGGCTGAGAATGACGCCGATGGCTGATTCGCGGATTCGTCTTCATTTGATAGTAAGCCAAACTTCTCTAACCGGTTGATTTGAGAGTCCGGGGCCGACTTTGCGTCGTCTGGGGTTTGACGTTGTCCCACTCTCGTGGCGAGTTTTGTTACAGTTTCCCAAATGAACCACCCTTCGCATGCTCTGCCACTGATTTGGTTTCCCAGGATCAGGTCTGCGATGACATCGACGACCAGCGCTCGGAGACTGCTGTTTTCGAGATCCTCGGTTGGGAGGAGAACGGCCAGGGCACCGTTGGCCAGGAGCCGCCGATACACTGTTTCGTTGTCACTCTGCTCCGTAATCGTGTCTGGATCTGTTTGATCAGGCACCGGAGAAAGACCAGGGTGTGGATTTAGCTCATGATAAAGCGCACGGTACGACGTCGGTAGTCCTGAGAGATGCGACCGTTGCTTGGCCAGTCTGTATGCTGGAAGGTAGAGTTAGCACAGGCTTCCCCTGTTCACGGAACAACCATGGTAGTCGAGGAGAAGAGCTTTGAATTATTCAAGTCTTACAGAGTACATGTGCTTCCACCAGTCCGGGGATCTCATCCAGGGCTAATTGTGCGACATCGATTTGGCGTAGTCTCTGCTCCAGAGCACGTGTACAATGAGCGATGACTTGTAGCACTTCATTCACAAGAGCCTGGTCGGGGGTGATTTTCGCGTACCACGAATAGACAAATTCTTTGATTATTATAGCGAGAAGGGCGTACAGCTGACGGTCAACGTCGTTGGAACTCGTGAGGGGAGGTAACAGCTCTTCCGGAGGCTGTGGAGAGGATGCCCCATAGCTGCTTGTCTGGGGGCACAGGACGCGTCGGATCAGGGCAGTTGTCGCCCTGTCACTGATCGCATCCGATAGTTCATCCTTGCTGGTCTTTTGTGTTCGGAGTCGAGAGGACGGACGCGAAGGAGGCTGCACTGCCGTCGCGGAGGGCAGCGCGGTGGATCTGGAGCTGGAGGTTGTCGGCCCAGCCTTGAGGTGGGATATCGGCTGAAGCCCGGATCGGAGAGGGTCGTTCATCTCATTTCATGCGGACATCTCCAGGATGGCCCGTTCAGCAAGAAACAAAGAGCTCTGTTGCCCTGTTGGAGACACCAAGTGACATCAAAGTTGATGGCTCAATCAGGGAAGTAGGGCTTAGGGCTAGATTCGTTGATAAGCCTTATCTCATGCGGGGATCTTGTTTACTTGCGATGTCAGGACTTTCTTCATTGCCAGCTGTCTACTTCGTTGAATATGTTAAATCCTATGAACACAGATAGTCCTATTCCCTTGTGGTTGGATTGTGATCCCGGTCGGTCAATATGACCCTTCTCAGCCGCTGCATACTGACCGTTTCTATCAGGCCATGATGTACGCCTCAAAGATAGACGCCGAGATCGACGCTAATAGGATGACCTAGGATGCCTTCGCGATCCTACTAGCTGCTCATCATCCGTCCCTTCATCTGCTCGGCATTAGCACGATTCACGGAAATGCATCTTTAGAGAAGACAACCGCCAATGCAGGAAGCATTCTGGAAGCCATCGGCAGGCCCGAGATTCCCGTCTATCCCGGTAGTCCGAAGCCATACTCCCGGCCTGCTCTACATGCGCCGGATATTCATGGTAGGCTCAATGGAATGGATGTATATTTCAGACTGACCAGGGTCTTCGACAGGCGAATCTGGCCTTGATGGAACCGACCTTCTCCCCAAGGCGTCTAGACCACCCGTCACCGATAAGAACACTATTGTGGCGATGAGAGATGCACTTCTTGCGCAGCCTAAAGGTACTCCGTGGGTTGTTGCAACTGGAACCATGACAAACGTCGCTCTGTTGTTTGCAACATTCCCCGAGGTGGTAGATCACATCCAGGGATTAAGTCTCATGGGTGGTGCCATCGGCGAGGGATTCACTGATGCCCCCATGAGCAGAATTCCGGGAGAGAAGTCTAGAATCGGCAATGTGACGCCATGGGCTGAGTTCAACATCTATGTATGTTTGCCCTCTCTAAGTACCTTCCATACCCCTCCGCTGGCACGTTTAACGTAGATGGCCAATCCAGTGTGATCCTGAGTCTTCGGAATCAATTTTCAGTAACCCGGCTCTTGCGGCGAAAACCACCATTGCTGCCTTGGATCTTACGCATCAGGTCCTAGCATCACAGGCCGTTCAAACTCGCATTTTACATGGCTCGATCCATTCAACCCAAGAGCCTACAGTCCTTCGGCGGATCTTGCACGCACTACTTACATTCTTTGCTGCAACCTACGAGAAGGCTTTCGGTTTGGCCACTGGACCTCCACTGCACGACCCTCTTGCCGTGGCTGTGATATTGTCGACTCTGAACCCATCCTTTGCCAACAAGCATCCTGACCAAGCCATTACCTTTGACGATAAAGGCGGCGAACGATTCGATCTTCGTATCGTCACAGATGGACTGCATGGCAAAGATGTATCCGTTACTGGTCAACTGGGTCGTACGATCGCTACTCCTGTTGAGGGTCCAGGCGTTGCTATCCCTAGGGGCGTTGACCTGGAAGCCTTTTGGAATATGATTCTGCAATGTATCCAGCTGGCCGATGATTGCAATGCAACACGGAAATTGGTGGGTGGTATGTGATATGTTTCTCATCTCTTTAGAGCTTTCATTTCTTTTAGATACTTTCATTTCTTGAAGTGCATATATGGTCAAGATGGAACTCTGTTTTATGGATGGAAGATGGAGAAAATCAGGTTCCCATAGAATGCATTGTCCGTAGCATGCCTGGATGTTCTCACCTATCCTTATGCATTTGTGACGTTAATTCAACATATAACGTCTACACGCATTGCTATGCAAATCACCACAAATATTGAATCACCACTCTCGAATAGACCCATCAGGACCAAAGAACTCCTTTGGCTGCCAAGCAGGAGTGTTCTGAGCCACCCGTCGAACGACTTCTTCATCCACTTCAATCCCCAGCCCAGGAGCTTTCAAAGCCTCAACGTACCCATCCTGCACATTAAACACCTTCGGATCCTTGACGTAGCTAGTGATATCATATTCACCAGCGTCGAGATTATAATGCATTCCGATGCTCATCTCTTGAATGACAAAGTTGGAAATCGAAAGATCCACCTGCATACAAGCAGCCAGTGCAATAGGTCCCAGCGGACAATGAGGCGCAATAGCAACATCGTATGTCTCCGCCATATTGGCGATGCGGCGCAGTTCCGATATACCACCACAGTGACTGATATCAGGCTGTAGAACATCCACGCTACCATCTTCCAGGAACCGCTTAACATCCCAGCGACTATATAACCTCTCACCAAGGGCGATAGGACAAGAAACCTGCTCGGAGAGTCGCTTGATTCCCTCGGGATGTTCCGAAAGAAGCGGTTCCTCGAGGAAAAGTGGACGGTGTGGCTCCAATGCCTTGGCTAGTTGCTTAGCCATTGGCTTGTGGAGACGGCCATGGAAATCGAGCGCCGCATCCATGCCAAGTGCCTTAACAGTCTTCAGACGCTCAACACTGGAGTCCAATACACTTGGAGAGTCAAGCCAGTTGACATCCTCAGTTGCATTCATCTTGACAGCCTTGAATCCCTGCGCTTGGCGGGCCTTCGCGGCTTCGCCAACATCTGCAGGACGGTCTCCGCCAATCCAGGCGTAGACTGAGAGCTTGTTGCGGACTTTGCCGCCTAGAAGTTGGTACACTGGTACGCCTAGACGGCGGCCCTTCAGGTCCCACAGGGCAATGTCGATGCCGGAGATGGCTGACATGAAGACTGGGCCACCGCGGTAGAAACCGAGGCGCCATGCCATTTGCCAGATGTGTTCGATGTTGCTGTTGACAACGGGTTAATACTTTGGTCTTAGTATATTGAGCGTGTGAGGACCACTTACTCGGCTTCGTAGCCCTCGAATCTTTTGCATAGGGCGTTCAAGGTGCCTTCCACGGCTTCGGTGTGACCTTCAAGGGTACTTTCGCCCCAGCCATATTTGTCCTCTTCGTCGGTGATCTTGACGAAGAGCCATCGAGGCAAGACTCGGAAGTATTCGATGCTCTTGATCTTCACCATTGTGTAGATTGTTTGTCGTCGTCCCGGGCCTTAATAGCGCACGTTCAACATCAACTATTCGTGAGAGGGAAAGGAGGTAATTCCCAAGTTATCTGGCAAGGGACAAGGTTATAAAACTCGGAGTTGCTCCGTTTGAAGTGATATCCGGATTGCCGACATGGAGAGCCGGGGAATTGTCGATGGGAGAGATGTATAGACTCGGCATCTCACACGTTCGGAGTTGCAGAACGTGTGTACAGGGGGTCCCACGTTCCTCGGCACTCTTGTCTATAGCTTATTTCATTACTAGATGTATCCTAGTCCCTGGAAAGCTGATCTGCGTAGACGTCGTAAAATGCGAAGATGGAGAGTCAAAAAGGCCGGTTGAAAGGAGGGACGTCATACGTTGAACTTCTCCACAGACCTCAACCACTCCACAGATATTCGAATCTCGATGTTCCTTTTCCCCATCTTTGTATAGTGAACTCTTGGTCTTTGATGCTTTTGCCACTGCATGGCAACCCTGTCGATCATCCCACACTCCTTGACGGCGGATTCCGACCATGCCTCCGAACTCGTCAGTATGTTCCCCTGTATTCACCCTGTCGCCAACATTGCTAATCGCTTCATCTCCTGCAGCCTGATACTCCTCTCAGTCCGATAGACCTCCCGCAGTCATCTCCCGATTCCCCTGGGCAAACCGATAGCGCACACGATGACAACGTGAACTTCCTGCGATCGCGACCAGCCCTGTTCAACCCTTTACTACCCTCTTTAAGTCGACACCGTCGTCGTCGCTACCCACCAAACCCACCGCCCGAAACCTTAGATCGCATGGAGGTAGACGACCTTCCCAGCAACCAGCGCGCATCCGTTGAGATCAACCGTCGCATCCCTATCGTCCGCCGCCACGGAGAAACACCAGCCGAAATGCCAAACTACGAGGGTCGCATGGCAAATCCACGGTCGTTGTATGGCTGGGCGCCAGGGTCTGATGATGAGGATGGTCCCGGTCGCGGCGACGAAGAATCAGACGACGACCAAGTGCAGCCCTTCCTCAACGCCATCTCAACCCGCGGCTCGGCCCCATCGCGACCTTTGCGACACGAGACTTCAGGTCCGCCACCACTGCTAGGATTAGGACCTGAACCCGATGCCTTGCCCGCCCGCCCTCGATCTAGGCAACCGCCAATCTCTGCAATGGCAGCGCTGCTACAGTCCGCGAGACGCCAGCCCCGGCTTTCAAGAACTCGCACTCTCGAAAATTACCTACTCGAACGCTACTCGGATCAAAGTCAGGAATCAGAAGACGCCGATCACACGGTGGCGTCTGCATCTCGCGCTTACCGCTATCGTCCTCCCAACCGCTCTGACTCACATAGCACCCTCACTCATAACGACCTGCGCGCTCGCGCTGCCGCCCATCGCCAGTTACATTCGGACAGCTTGTCGAGCAATGTTTTGAAAGAAACGATCAACTACCTCGATCGCCTCCGGTACTCGACCTCTCTCGAAGAGAGCATGCTCGCGGCCGCTGACAGCCGATTACCCTTTGACATGGACAACAAGTCGTGGACAGATACCGACTTCATTCTCTATACCCCCAATATTGCGCCTCCGCCGGAATGTTCATGGCTTCGGTCCGGTATGGTCTTTTCGGGCTGTCAGCGAGCTGCGAGCGCCGTGTGTTCAGTGTTGCCGCAACGAGTTCCCAGTCCGCACGCCCCTGGTGAACCGGTTATTGTGAATGGCAGTGACAGCGCTCGGATCAGCGTATCTACCACAAGTGGTCGCCGGTATTTGGCCAACAACCGCGATGAGAACTGGCCTGTCAAGGTCACCATCCATGACATCAACCACGATGATATGACATTGTCCGGAACTATGGAGGCATATAACATTCCTGATAAAACGTCGCCTACGCACGATGCACATATTGTGACGTTTTTGGAGGGAGAAATCATCGACTTTAACAAACACACTCTGGAGACCAAGAACTTCAAGGCAGATGCAGATATTGACAGTACTTATTGGCGGGAACTTCAGCCATTCAAGGATCTCACAGATGGCGAGATGGCTCAGAAGCTCGTGAGCCGAAAGTGGATCACAGAGGAATTGTCCACGGGTTGGATTTTAATGCGATGGAAGGGTGAGTTCCATGAGGATGCAATAAATCACTGCCATTGCTATTGAAATCTGGTTACTGACATTCTTAGAACGATGCTTCGTCACCCCCACCGACGCTCGACAAGGTCTGACAATTTCTGGATTCTACTACATATCCCTTCGCCGTGAGGATGGGCATATCGAGGGCTTATACTATGACCCTGGAAGCTCGCCTTACCAACAGCTATCCCTGAAGCCGCAGACGTCCAAAATGATGCGTCCCTCTTATGGATTCCGCTAAAGCAAACTCATCTGCGCACGTCTTCTCTTTACAAATTCCACTCTGCTTTTGGCACAGAATAGTCTTCTGGCCCTGTTTACTTGAACATTTAGTTTTTATGATTTGGCGTTTTTGGTATACGTCAGATGGCATCTGATACGGTCAAATGACTTTTGCATAGCTAGGTGGTGTTGTTTTACCTCGGTCATCTTGGACAGTTCTGCATATTGTCGCGGAACGAAACTGTCACTTTGGAGTGGTTATACCTTGGTTCTGGTTTGTTCTTTGGGTTTCGTGGCCCGTTGCACTGCCATGTTCTGTTTGTATTTATGGATCTAGGAGCTACAACCTTTCTTGGCTGGTTGTGGTTTATAGCATTGGCCCATGAATGGTTCTTTTCCTCACATGCATGACTATACACGCATTTTAGATCAACAACGTTTTGCATTATCAAGGATGAATGGGTGTTTAAAAGGAGTTCGGAGTTGGATTTACTCTTCGGAATGGAGCCCACAGCAGATGTTGTTTACTTCACCTATGAGCTGCTTACTGCCAAATCCACCCCTGTACACAATTCCCAGTAAACAATCCTGCTCGTTGTCAGCCTCGGTTCACTTGCCAATTTGAAGCGAAGTTGACTTGGCAATCATTCGCCTCGACGGTCAATCGCTTTTATGACAAACCGTGAGTAAAGGACAGCATTCACAGCCCCATAGCTACTGTATGCCAGGCATAATTCATTAGAACGCGGGGCTCCGCAAATTCAGTCTCCAAGTGTCCAATATTCACTATACTATATTGACCTGTCGGATCAGAAATAAGGTCCGGGTCTGACCGCGAATGAACTCGGATACAATTGCCCTGAATCTTTCGGTCATGTCGTCCAATCCAGACCCCATTTCGGCATATTCCACCTATCAAACCTCTGCAGAATGAACCTGATAAGGTGCTCAATCTAGGTTATCGTCGTTATGCAGAATATAGTTTACTCCATATTACCACGGGCTGAAGTAAACGATCCCTGTTAACGGTGTGTGACAAACTCTATCTTGATTGAGATATCCATGGATGTATGCGTGTTAATAGCTCCTATCTTGATTCTCAATCATTCCATGGATGTTTACATTCAAATTAACGCAATTGCAGACATCTATGCTATGGTGGACCTAGATGGCCACGCGGGGCAACCTCGGCCATCTTGACGGTGAACGCCGAGCAATAAAAGTAGCTCGATTCCTAGCTTATTGTCCATTTTCCACACGTAATGAGTATAAACAGCCATATCATTGCAATTGACTTCAAAACGCGGGGAAAGTGAGACTAATGTAGTTCATAGCTACTTAGCACTAGGTACAACGCATGTACTTGCCCGATCAAGTCGACAATTCGGATTGTCCGGTTACATGGCCCTGGCGATCTTTCTCTCCTTTTGAATTGTTATCTACATGCAGGAGGACCTTCACCATGTGGGTCGCTGGATCGTCATGCCGGAACTATTTATTCCAATTGACTCCCCGGTCGCTGTTCTCTTCAACTCATCAAGTCAATTGACATGCATTTGCAGCACCTTTCAGCTTTGGCCGCGATAGCAGGCTGTATTGTTCAGCCTGTGGCCGGCGCGCCCCAGAAGTCCCAGGAAGGGACATGCAAAAAGACCAAAGTTGCCATCCTGTGAGTTTTCTCTTATTTACAGTGTCAATTAAACGCTAACACAGTATAGGGGAGGTGGTGTAGCTGGCATTACCGCAGCCGTGAGTCTCGCATCCCTTGAGTGTTCAGATTCCTCAGCTGACCCGCCATAGCAAACATTGAGCAATGCCTCGGTTCACGATTTCGCAATCCTTGAATACCGCGACACAATCGGCGGCCGAGCCTGGCACAAGCCCTTCGGCAAAGATAAAGATGGCAAGCCGTATATCATCGAGATGGGCGCCAACTGGGTATGTCTCACAATCACACACAAAAGGACCCCCACTAACGATGTGCAGGTGCAAGGCCTTGGAAATCCCGGAGGTCCACAGAATCCCATTTGGGTCATGGTGGGTCGTCTCTTTTTTGTCTCAGATTCAGTTCGATCCCGCTGATCTCCGAATAGGCTCAAGAGTACGGGCTGAAGACCCACTACTCGAACTACGATAATGTTTCCACCTATAACCAGCATGGGTATTCTGACTACAGTGATCTTCTCGATGCCTACGAGGAGGCTTATAGCATTGCTAGCCAAAGGGCTGGTGAGATCCTCACTCAGAACCTCCAGGATCAGACGGCCAAGTCGGGTCTTGCTCTGGCTGGCTGGAATCCTAAGCCGCATGATATGGAGGCGCAGGCTGTGGATTGGTGGTCATGGGGTAAGTTCTGTTTCCTTGGCATGCACTCGCTGCGTAATATTGACCTTGAGTCCACTAGACTTTGAGGATGCCTATTCTCCCCTGGAGAGTTCTCTTGTTTTCGGCTGTGCGGGCGATAACTTGACCTCGAACTATTTCAGTGACCATGACAACTTCGTTCTGGACCAGCGTGGATTCAATCACATTGTCAAGAAGCAGGCTTCATCTTTCCTTCGCGAGAATGATCCCCGTCTTCACCTGAACACTGAGGTCACGAACATCACCTACTCAGACAACGGTGTCACTGTATATAACAAGGATGGCAGCTGCGTCGAGGCAGACTACGCCATCTGCACATTCTCCCTGGGAGTCCTGCAGAACGACGCTGTCCAGTTCTCCCCAGAATTACCAGTCTGGAAACAGGAAGCCATCCAGAAGTTCACCATGGGTACCTACACCAAGATCTTCTTCCAATTCAACGAGACCTTCTGGCCCGAAGACACCCAGTACCACCTCTACGCTGACCCAGTCCAGCGTGGCTGGTACCCAATCTGGCAATCCCTCTCCACCCCCGGCTTCCTCCCCGATTCAAACATCATCTTCGTTACTGTCACCAACGAATTCGCCTACCGTGCCGAGCGCCAGTCAGACGAGCAAACCAAAAAAGAGGCAATGGAAGTCCTACGCAAGATGTTCCCGGAGAAGGATATTCCCGAGCCAACCGCGTTCATGTACCCCCGCTGGACTTCAGAGCCCTGGTCATACGGCAGCTACTCCAACTGGCCTCCTTCCACCTCCCTGGAGATGCACCAAAACCTGCGTGCCAACACTGGCCGGCTCTGGTTTGCCGGTGAGGCTACCAGCCCGACCTTCTTTGGCTTCTTGCACGGTGCCTACTTCGAGGGACAGGATGCCGGTAGACAGATTGCTGCTATTATGCATCATCACTGTGTTAACGCTAACTCGACTAAGCTGAGGGAGTGTGGCCCACGTAAGCACTACGAGACTTTGCATGGAACTTCGCCTTATTCGGACTATACCACGCTTAATGGCTGGGCTTTTAGCAGCTTTATTGATACTAACACCGATTAAGTTGAGATGTGGCATTAATTTCGGAGGGATAATTGTACAGACTTTCAACTTTACGTTTGAGACTTAAGATTACTCCATAATAGAAACATGCGAATTTGACAATTTCTATCTTCAACCCAGGCAATGCAACTCAGGCAACAGACTTGTTCGCAAACCATAGAACAACTCCACTTGGATGTTTTCGACAGGGTTGCCTTGTGCAGGTGAGCAAGCCAGACTATGCAGTCAGCGTCAAAGAGCCGGCTGCGTGAGATCCGTGTTTTGCCATGGCGGAACTAAGCGCTCTACGAACTGTACATACCAGTAGCAGCTAGTGACGTCGCATTCGGTTCTTATCAGATCAGATTGACTCATTATCTGATCTTCTCAACCTTGGTTCGGTCCCTTCTACTTAGACCCCAATTTGCCCTCCATGGTCTGAACAGAATCCTACATTTCAGTATTGCACATCATTATGAACCCCAACCAGACCATGAAACTAACGACACAATCACGATCGCTCCTCCGATAGAGCTGGACCCATCCCAAACCAAAAACTAAACAAAACGACCCATTCATGGAGTCGTATCCTGAGTATACTAGTAGTGCTGGGGCTACAGAGCAGTTTTTACGTAGTTTGACGGCGTTTTTGTTTCCGCTTTTTGCGCCGAGGTTATATGAGGTTCTTGGCTATGGGTGGGGGAATAGTACTATTGCGTTTATTGGATTTGTTTTAGGGATTCCGGCTCCGTTGGTTATTCTGCTCTTCGGGGCAAAGCTTAGGGCCAGGGCTAGATTGATCTTTTTGAATTGGAATTGGATTTAGGAATGGTGGAAACAAGTGGTGTTTGAGCGAGATATGGCTATTTAGGGGCCTATCCATAACACGCAAAAACTCCTCGTACACATATTTCAGGTATTCGTATTCATTAATTGCAACTAAGTGGTTATCTATTGAAAAATTTTGCTTTTACCTCGCAGTAACGGTCCGTAAGCCCTGAAGATGATCGGGATGGGAATCATGACTGCAGCCAAACAGCCAAGCAAAGTCCCAGCCCATTGCACGCCCATGTTTTGAAACATCTGTCTCGAAAACAATGGAAATCCTGCAGCGACTGCTGACCGGAGCATGATATTGGAAGCGACAGCTGAAGCAGCACTATGGTCAAGTTTGTTAGTGCGAGTCGAGTCACAGTAGGTTAGCAAATAGTAATCACATACATGGGCAAATAAGAATCAACAAGATAGTTAAAACACGGAAGGAAGATACAAAGGACACCAAATCCGATGAAGATCCCAGCCGCAGCAGGTGCAGCCCAGTGAATGGTGGATGTGAATCCAGTCCAGCCGAACCTAGTACGGAATGTGTTAGAATACGTTGACCTGAGATAGGACTCTTGACTCACCAGAAAAGACCAATTGTGAAAACAGGCGCTCCTAGGAGCGTCGGTGCCAGACGCCACTCGGGTACTGCAACGCCTTTATTCTCTTCCAGCTTCTTTGCATACGTAACCTGCTGGAGGAGAATGAAGGAGCAGGCGAGCATAACGCCAATAATGAGTCCAATAAACATCAGACCTGCAACCCCAGGGGACATGCCGTAAACATGTTCAAAGACATATGGGTATGCTTCAAGAAGGGCATAAACAAGGCCATAAATGAACGACATGTACGTCGATACCACCAAAATGATCGGCTCTGTGAAAAGTAGCCTGATTGGTCGCGTGAAGTATTTCTCCACAAGGTCTGCTACATCAATCTCGACTTCTTCCTGCTTGGCATGTATCCCCCAATTCCCAGATTCCTTGCGAATAGCGGCAGCTTTCACGACAAGAAGACAAGGAGGATAAGTCTCATCCAAGAACAGAACACTGATAGCCCCATTAGCAAGACTGAAAATTGCCGGGATATAAAGAGTCCACCGCCAACCCAGATAACTAGAAGCAATAAAGCCACCAGTAAAGGGAGCAATAAACGGACCAACAAAAACAGTCAAAGCATAAAGCGAAATCGCAGCACCACGAGTGGCATTGCTATACAGATCCGCTAGTACACCAGGCACAACAGTTAACTGACTTGCACCAAATAGCCCAGCAAAGAACCGACAAATGATCAAAGTCTGGACATCTTTAGCAACAGCTGATGCAACAGTGAAGATACCCCCACCCAGCATGCCAATCGTGAGAGGCCATTTTCTTCCTCGAAGTTCTGAGGCAGGAGCCCAGATTAGGGGACCTGATGCAAAGCCCAGGACGTAGAGTGTTGTTCCTAGTGTTCCGACTTCTGTTCCGATGCTAAATTCTTTGCTTGCTTTGTCAATCCCTGGTGCGAAAATTGCGCTTGTTAGGGAGACTATGAGTGTCCCTGAGCAGACGAGGATGGAGGTGAATAATCTGTTTAATGTTGTAGTTAGCATTTACTGCAACAGGTGCAATGGGTCATTTAGAGCCTACTTATTAGATAATTTCCAATTTTGAGGATGGTAGGGATCATCGACTCCTTCAAAGTCAACGACGTAGTTATCGGCGCTTGGAAGAGCGTCCGGGAAAGGTTTCCCTGCCCCGATTGATGCCTTTTCGACCATTTTGGACCGACGCTTCAATGCACCTTGATTTGGGACTCTCTAGGGCAATGATCTCAGGCAAGTATTGACGGTGTCAGCTTCCTTGTGCCAGCGATGAGTCCCAGAGTATTTGAAGGTATCTTTATCTCTGCGACTGCAAGACTTTTTACAAAATACCTTGCGGAATTTGCGGGCCCGGGAATTTTGGTCAGAACGGGCCGGGATGGACTAGAAGGACGGGTAATGCGGGAAATAGGGCGACCCTCCGTTAGACGTAATTTCCACATGCCACTGAACTTCCTAATAAGTCTCGGAAATGTCAAGAGTCGATACAAGCTCGCGATACGTTTTAAATGTTGCATGTAAAACACAGAAATGAAGGATACAGTATTATTCACCCAGGTCCTCCTAGAAAACTTGAACCATACATCATATCTGCATTAAGGAATTGGTCAAGGTCAACCCTTTCCAAGCCCGGTAAATCAGCAACCAAAGCCCCTAGCCAGGAATACTCCTCTGCGCTAGGATTATCCTGTGGGGATGGTCCAACTGGGGTGTCTTGTTGTTCCATATTCAGTGCCTCATTGAAGATTGCTATATCATCTTTCCTGCGTTGTTGATGAAGCATGACGAATAAGCGAGCTGCACTCCATGCTTCTCTCATGGTTTCTGTATCGTAAGTTGATGCGACAAGTTTCAATGTCTGCATCGCTTCGGAAAGCATCGCTAGTGATGACCGTGTGTCCATTACAAGCAGAACACATGTGATGTGAAAAGGTACGTTTGCCATCTGGTGCCAAGGAGAGCAGTTCATTACCATAGTGCGCGAGCAACCGAGTCCTTTCTTCAAGAGTGCGAGGACTCTTTCTGCGAGAGAAGAGGAGATGTCGAGGTTTTGGGTGTGGATCCTCCTAAGAATGCAAAGGACAAGATTGCACTGTGCCATGGTGGAGGGCGGCTCCTTGTGGACTCTATCCAAAACCTCAGAAAGCGTTACTTCAAGATCTGTATCGTCTTCCTTTGGCTTTCCGGGATCTAGGCTTGCTGATATGGGGAGGAGGCCGAGAATCTCATTTGTATAGTCGCCAGGTTTTGTCGATGGCGGGAGCGGCAGATCATTCTTTTGGAAGGAGACCCTTGATAGGCCTAGGTCAAAGGATGTCCACATGTTCAAATGCTGTGCCACACCGAATAGTCGCCTTCGAATGTCCGGATTACACTGTGCGGTACCTCTGCTGCTCGGGAAAACCGAGTCTGTAGACTCCAAGTGAAATCCCGCAGCTTCTATCAGATGCATCAATCTTGAACTGGCTATCCATGTCGAGTGTGGCAGATCTGTCATTCGCATATAGATGGTTCGCAGTGTCCACCCGGTGAGGAGGTCTACTGAGGGAACTCCAGACAAAACGTGCATCTCCAGGATAGATCGTGCCGCCCCGCTCAGATGTAGTTCCGTGATGGTCATGTTTCGTTGTGAGAACAGACAACCAATCGTAGCGACACCACCCAGAACACTATCATACAGCTCACTAACAGATGTTGACTGCCAGCGGGACTCCAACCGCTCAAAGAACTGACTTTGATCAATAAACCCATAGCATGGATCTACTTTGTCGAAGTAAACCTGAGCAAGGCTCCTCATATGTTCCAAAGATGTAATCTCTGTAATTGGAAGTGCAGTATTGACACCACCGAATCCCGATGATAGGCTCCGGGTACCAATATTCCACCCAAACAAGCTAAGCTTCGGCGCTTTCGCGGGGTCGATTTTTAGACCCATTTTGCGTACGAAGGCTGCACCGGAATTTGCCTCAAGACGACGCACTAGCCCATGGGTATCTGCTGCCCCATCTTGCTGTTGTGGAGACTTCGCAGCTGGGGCGCCTTCCAGAGGATGCTGTTCTTGGGTAGTCCGTCGCTTCCGTCGTTCAGTTTTGTAATGGCAAGCATAGCCCCATTCACTGCAGGTGGTGCAGGGATCGGTGCCGTCGCATTTTCTTTTGCGTTCCCTGCATGGCTCACATGCGATTCGAGCCCGCTTGCGCTTTATCTCTGATTGCGACATGGAAAAAGGCCGGGGATGGACAAGATAGAGATCCCGCAGGTGCCGGTGTGAAGGGGGTGGGTGCGGAAAGGCAGGCGGGTATTGCGGGTATTTACATGGTGACGTCGATGGCCTCGGTAACTCTGACATTCTTCACATTCGAGCTCGTTGCTCTCCTTTCTTTTCAATACACATCTAGCTACAATATTCTTCAAGTATACGCCAATTTTCTACCCTATTAGAGCACGGCAAAAGCACCTAGCATGGCTGCAAACCTGTTGTCCCGATACCCATGGGTGTCGAGCCCCTTCTTGGTCAGCGCCCCAATGCGAGTAATGTCCGGTCCAGCATTAGCAGTCGCTGTTTCTCGTGCCGGGGGTTTGGGATTCATCGGGCCTGGTGCCAAGACCCAAGACACAAGTGACGATCTCGAGGAAGCATCGTCGCTACTCCGCCAAGCAGCGAACACAATCTCAAACACTGGTTCTGCACTACCTATCGGTGTAGGATATCAGCTCTGGGCTGATGATATCAACATCGCCGTTGCTGGAATTGAGAAATACAAGCCTTGTGCAGCCTGGTTATACGCCCCGCGCCGTGGACCCCAAGATTTCGATGACTGGTCTAGCCAAATCCGACATGTATCCCCTGAGACCCAAATATGGATTCAGATTGGTACACTGAAAGAAGCAAAACAACTTCTTCAAAGTGTTCAGCGGCCAGATGTTGTCGTCATTCAAGGGGCCGAGGCTGGTGGGCACGGTCGGGCAAAAGATGGAATGGGACTCATGGCATTGCTTCCTGAGGTGGCTGATGCCATGGCAAGCAGTCGAATTCCCCTATTCGCAGCTGGAGGTATTGCCGACGGGCGCGGAGTTGCAGCCGCGATGTGCCTGGGGGCTTCGGGTGCGGTGATGGGCACTCGGTTCCTGGCTGCTAGTGAAGCGCGAATTAGTCGGGGATATCAGAATGAGGTTGTTCGTGCATCAGATGGTGCGGTTTCAACGACCCGCACTCTGCTATACAACCATCTCAGGGGTACAATTGGGTGGCCAGAGGAATACAGTCCAAGAACCATCTTTAACAGGTCATTCATTGAGCAACAGGAAGGAAAGTCTTTTGAGGAACTCAAGAAACTCCATGACGAAGCTATCAAGGCGGGTGATAAAGGCTGGGGGCCTGAGGGCAGACTCGCCACCTATGCCGGAGCAGCTATTGGGTTGATTCATGAGGTAAAGAGGGCAGGAGATATTGTTCATGATGTTCGAGAGGATGCACTGAACAGGATTGGGAGGCTGCGGCCCCATAAGATCTAAGCAACCATCATGTTGAACAAGCTTATGAATCTATGATGAAGTGAAGACTATGGATTCACTCGCACCTCAGGTCTCAACTATAGTCATGGTAGGAAATCCACCAATCGTACTCATACCCAGCGACCCAATGGTTTGGCCGACAGCGGGGACCATCATCAAGAAAGACCCGACAAAGGTGACGATTAAACCCCCTTTTCCCCGCAAATGAGTCGGCTTCGGGTTGAAAATCTCAGCCCGGTGACTGAATACCACAACTATCAAAGATCTGATGATGTATACGTGTGCATCAAGATTTAATGTTAAATCAGCGTGCGTTCCTTGACGAATTAACTTCGAACGAAGAGGCTGAGGTTATAGATAAAGAAAAAGACATGTAGTTCCTGGAAGATCTTGATCCAATTAGTGACAGTGAGTAAGACTGAGGTGTTGCTTGTCCAGGAACAGCCTGCTACCCAGGGTATATCCCAGCATGCCGCTGATAATAGACAGAATAACGTTGCCTTCTGAATCAGACAAAGAGGCTCATAGGTCTATTTAATCTGATGTTGAAGCAGACCTTCCTCTACCTGATACTCAGCAGCGTATGTCAAGGCGGGTACGGAAGCAACTAAAATATGAGGACGGTCAGTATTTACATTATTAGTCGAGTACTCAAGGGTGAATCGAATAATATCAGGCCTGATTTGTGTAGAATCTCTATCTTTCAATTTACGACTTCGTATGTAAGGCAAAATCTACAAATTACACCTAGAATCTGAGGACCTGTGGAATTGACGCTGAAAATAACCGCTTTCGAGGCCAGAAACGGCCGCCTTTCGTAACTTTGGACTTTGAGTTGCCCCTTGGCCGCCCACTGCCCTGTGACTTCACTCATGGACTATTCTGCTCCCGCCCAGCACTGTCACTCATCGTCTGGTCCTGATGTTGACGCTCAACTTCACAGTTGTTCCCCCCTTTCCCACTGGCGACCAAAACGAAGCCGAAATTGGCTCCCCTCCCTTCTCGTCCAGCTCAGTCAAGCGCCTATAAGATGTTTCGTCTTCCCTCTCTTCCAGTGTCCTTCCACGCTCCCATTCTCGCTCGTCGCCGTTGCCCACGCCCCAAGTCGAGTTTGACGTTATCGTTTCCCGCAACACAATTCCTTTCAATTCTTCTCATTATTTATATATAGTTTCTCAATTGTGTATTCCCAGCCGAGCGTAGGGTCGGTCCCCTGAGGGACGAAGAAGAACACTCTAAATATAGATGTCTAATATGTGATCACTGCTATCACTAGGCCTATTCGAGGATTTTGCGCTATAGAAGTATGATAGTACAATTTTCCACGGGCCAGCTTTAGTCTGCTATTACCGGGACCTAGCATCCTACTCCCATAAAAAACCCCGGTGCCTGACGACTCGTCCTTAGATACTCGCAGACGAGCTCATACTTTCTATGGTGTTCCTTGAAAAATCTTCCGGACTCGGTCTACTACCATGATATCGAATTTTGCTATCCGAAAGAAAAAATCCTTAAAGCAGACATGACGTCCCGTGCGCTATTATCGAGTTTCGTAATCTCAAAGGTCGGCCAGAAGGCGCTAATGGGTAGGGATATTTTCTTATCTTCAATCCTCCGATCTAATCTGATACTAAGCTCTAGCGTTAGAACCAAAGTTTTTA